GATAATACAAAGTGTTGTCCCATGTGGGGATCGAACCCAGAACACTCAGTGCAGTAAGAGGTGGTGACAGAAGAGGTAACCGCTTAAACCACTACGCCATCTGTGCAGTCACTCACTGCTTTCTCCATATTTTAACCGACTTCAAAACAGTAGGCAATTCTCAATTCGGTTGTATACTTTTATGTTTTTTAAATGAAAACTACTTTTTTTATAAGTAAAGGTTTTTAACTTCTTTGGTGAAGAAGTCTTTTCTTGAAGGTGTGAAGGTCGTATCGGTCTGGAAATACCGCAGACGATAACTTGCTTTAATTGATCTAAAGAACTATTCTTAGAAATGCTCTCATCATTTTTCTACCACAGCTTCACTTGGGACCTCAGTATGTGCCAACATTGGAACATGGAACTGCTCTCTCTTAATATGGAAAGTGTACAGTAATCATTACGTACTGTATTTCTTAGGAATAGTCACATATTTGTTAGGAAGTTAGGACATGTCATGCGAAGGGGTGAGAAAAATACGGCGAAGAAAGTGTTAGTTATGGGAATTGTAGGGTACAAGGAAGAGGAAGACCAAAGAAGAGGTGGATGGACTGTGTGAGTAAGGATATGGCTAGGGCGTAAACAGTGAAATGACGAATGATAGAGTAGAATGAAAATTTATTTATATACAAATAAATTTGGGATAAGGGTAGGCAAATGATAAAAATGATTGTCAGGAAGTTAGGACTAATTTAGATAGGAAATAATCATTAAATATCATCAAAACATAGTTAGTAAGTATTAGCAGAATCATTAAATATGTATAAATGAATGAAGCTATAATCGCGTATCGGATGATAGCAGCTTAAATGGGGACTAACAAACAAACAAGTCATTACAAACTTTGTAACACTCGCAGATAACAACATTCTTCGCATACAGATGATACTAATTATAATATAATTCGTTATTATTTTTAATTCATGTTGAAATGTCTTAATATTATTGAATTATGAGGTACTTAATGTTTTTTTTTCTTTTTAGTCAAAAAGGACAACTCATTAGGAATTTATATTTTACCCTGTGTCGCGGGAGACTTTACAAACATACATAAAACGGACACAAAGCACACCCAGACTCAGAACAACAATTTGTGGATCACATAAAGTGGTGTCCCATGTGGGGATCGAACCCACAACACTCAGCGCAGTAGGAAGCGGCGTGGCGACCGCTTAAACCATTACGCCATCCGTGCTTTGATAAATGATATTTATTCCTGTAAGTAAATCTTTGCAGATATTTTTACAACTCGGACTGCAGTTGTTTCCCATTCATAAATAATTTTGTTTGGAAACCAATTATTAGTCTATACCTATAAATACATAAATGAATGATTAAATGTGTTGCTAAGTGCACCATTCGACCAGTGACCTTATTAGGTCTGTAATGTTTTGCTTTTACAGACCTAATAAGGCTTTTAGGTTATAAAAATTTATAAAAGTCCTCGAAAAATAAGGGATTCGGAAATTCATATTTTTATAATCTTTGACAAAACAATTTTCTTGCCGGAGTTTAAAAAAAAAACAAAAAGAATACACGCTTTTGTACAAGCCGAACAAAAAAGCAGAAAAAAAATTTATTAGTCTTTGATGTAAATATTTTATTGACAGATATTGGTAAAAATGAAGTTTTTCTTTTTGAACTAATAGAAAATTATTGTCTACTTTAAAGTTCGGCTGGTAAGTACAAAAACGTGTTTTTTTTTGGTTTTTTTAAACTAGAATTTATTTTTGCTCTTTAATCATTAATGATGTTTATTTTTTCATTTGATTGATTGATGTTTTAAGAGTGGGGAAAATTACGTTCAAAGATTACAATTACAATACATACCAAGTTAACAAAAGCGTGTTACAGTTAAGTGAGCACAAATTGTTGTATTCAATGAAGGCTTTTTAAATATTCTTCTTTATACATATACTAATATCCCTGGAGTATTTCATCACGTCAACAGCCTTTAGCAGTGGACTATACTGCTGGACATAGGCCTTAGAAAGGAGGTTTTGGCCTACTATTGGGGTATTTACCACGTATCAAATTATTCTGATTCTTTTGCCTATTTCCACAACCCTGATTATAATCTGCCCAGAAAGCATCTGTTTATTAACTTGAAAAAACATTATCATAAACATACAATATTTATATATAGATAAACAATAATTCGTGCTACATTCATCATTGTTGACTAATCAGTAATTAATATTGGACTGCAAGTTCATAGGCCCAGGGTTCAATTTCCGTTCAATGCGATTAATAAATAATAATCTAAGCATAAACCATATCTAACTTAATAGAAGAATACACAATAACCGTAAATTAAACAAAACAATAAACGAGTTTAAAAATTAAAGAAAAAAAAACTACAATTCTTTTTAGCGGCATCTTATGTATACTCGTATAATCCTTTTATCCCAAGGGCTTGTAGGCGTAAAGTCCACGGGGTAAAATAAATTAAACACGAACTTGTAACACAAACGTACAATAGTTTATTTACGGTCACTTTTGTATTACAAACTATAACAGTTAGCCACAAAGAGAGGAGAAGCTTAGACACGCACAAAAGACATAGAAAGGCACAATAGTTTAGCTAGAATAGCTCACAGTTTAGGAAGATTACGAAAACAGAAATAAATACGTTTTATCACTGATAACACGGGGTACTAGCTAGGCAAATATTAAAGCGAACAAGCGCGGAGTGTGCGTCGGGCGGAAGCAAACAATGCACTATTAGGTGGGAGTAGCCTCGAAACGAAGCTGCGCCGGCGCCTCCGAGCGGACCCGAAGACTGCCGAAGGCCACACTTCGTCCACCCAGCTGCTCCGCTATAGTACTCCCCCCCGAGACCGTTCCTACGGTCGATAAAAATCAGTAAAACGGACTTTCCTACCGCTTTTTGTGTATTTCTCTTTACTGACGGCAGGGGACGTAGGCGGCATCGCTACGGCAGGGGACGTAGGCGGCATCGTTACGGCAGGTGGAGTGAGGTCCTGAGCTGTGAAAGCGGGTTTTAATCGGTCCACCGAAATATTGTCCTCCTTACCATGCAATGCTATGTTAAAAAATTTCGGACCTCGGCGCAGTACCTTATGCGGGCCTGTATACGGCGGCTCCAAAGTCTTCCGAACTCGATCTTGCCTTACAAATACATGGGACGTATGTTGCAGATCCTTCGGTATGTAGAAGGTTCCTCTACTGTGCCAAGATGCATGTTTGGGTGCAAGGTCAGCCATGTGTTTAGCGAGGCGGGTGGCGAAGCTGGTGATGTCTTCAAGCTTATGGTCATCGGTTGGTGAGAGGAATTGGCTCGGCAAGCGTAATGGCTCGCCGTAGACCAACTCGGCCGCAGAAGCTTGCACGTCTTCCTTCCAAGCACTGCGCATCCCCAAAAGGACCAGTGGTAAGACCTCCGTCCACTGGGTAGTGTTGTGGCACATGATAGCCGCTTTGATTTGGCGATGTGTACGTTCTACCATCCCGTTGCCCGAAGGGTGGTAAGCCGTAGTGCGAAAGTGATGCGCGCCGACTAGGGATGTAATGGCCTTGAACAGGCCGGACTCGAACTGACGACCTCGGTCCGTAGTAATTCGTGTTGGGCAGCCAAACCTTGCTATCCAACCAGATATTAAAGCAGCCGCGCAGGTGTCAGCAGTCATGTCCTTCATCGGGACCGCCTCACACCACCGTGTGAACCTGTCAATGATAGTGAGACAGTACCTGAAATCAGCAGAAGGAGTTAGTGGCCCTACGATGTCGAGATGGATGTGGGCAAATCTCGACGAGGTGATAGGGAAAGAGGAAAGTGGAGTAGAAGTGTGACGGGTGACTTTGCTGCGCTGGCAGTCAAGGCAGCGTCTTGACCACTCTCTACAGTCCTTGCGGATCCCTGGCCACACAAATCTTTGTGTGACCAGTCGCACGGTAGCGGTACGTCCGGGATGACTCAGACCGTGCAGTGCATCGAACACTTGTCTACGTAAAGCAGGTGTTACATAAGGCCTCGGCGGCTGTGTTGAGACGTCGCAGTATACTTTGGTGTCTGAGCCTGCCGGCGTAATAGGTTTTAGCTTAAGCGATGAACCTTGTAAGAGAAGCGCTTGAAGCGCATCGTCTCTCAGACTGACTCCAGATCAGAAGGTTGCGTGTTCAGATCACGTCGGGGTCACCAATGTAGGCGTAAAGTCCACGGGGTAAAATAAATTAAACACGAACTTGTAACACAAACGTACAATAGTTTATTTACGGTCACTTTTGTATTACAAACTATAACAGTTAGCCACAAAGAGAGGAGAAGCTTAGACACGCACAAAAGACATAGAAAGGCACAATAGTTTAGCTAGAATAGCTCACAGTTTAGGAAGATTACGAAAACAGAAATAAATACGTTTTATCACTGATAACACGGGGTACTAGCTAGGCAAATATTAAAGCGAACAAGCGCGGAGTGTGCGTCGGGCGGAAGCAAACAATGCACTATTAGGTGGGAGTAGCCTCGAAACGAAGCTGCGCCGGCGCCTCCGAGCGGACCCGAAGACTGCCGAAGGCCACACTTCGTCCACCCAGCTGCTCCGCTATAGGCTAACACTAGTGATTTTTTTAGTTATTGGTATCTTTCTTACAAGATATTTTAGTTTTTTTTTTTACATCTGAAGCAAAAACTTATTACATTTGAGCAACATTAACGAACTTCGAATTTTCATAAAAAATACAACTAACAGTAAAAAAAAAAAAAACTCTTAGCTGTCCTCATTATACAGGGATTATAAGATTTAAGAAAAATTAAACACTATTCATGAAACCCATTAGCACCAATTAGCAGTTTAATGAAACATTTTCAAGAATCATAATTCAAACATTCACCGCAACTTACGAAACAAAGCTTAGTTTATTTCAGTAGTACGACAATATATGCTCCATTAACTCGGGGAGCATTCCAGTGATTCCAGTATTGTGTGTCGAGTTGTAAGATGTGGACGTTCGCGGGAGTGCTCGCCCTCCTCGCGTGCGCGGGCGCTGTTACGCGGGACCAATTCTACCCCCACGGGCATGGGCTCGACAAGAACTTGCCTAAAGGAAATGAAATACCTTCGCCTGAGGTGGCACTCAAAGTACCCATCACGTTCTATGGAGAAAGTTATGAGAGTATTTTCGTGAGTACTTTACTTTCGTTTTTAATTTTAATGTGTAACATAGATTTTAATTCTGGTATTAAAAGCGGCCCAGAATTAGATTTAAGTTTCAAATAGAACATAGTGTACTTTTTATTAAGGAAAAAATGATTCACTAATTTTGACATCAACGTTATTAAACTAGCTTTTACTTGTAAAAGTAAGTTTTAAATAAATTATAATTCAAATTGTTAAAAGAAAATTGTAGTTTAGAATACTAAATATAGCCCTGAAACGTTAAAGATCTCTTAAGATAGCAGTTGACAAGAGAATTTGAGGTTGTAGGTCACTCTTGATATGTAAATGATTTCTCGGAAACTATAAAGACGAATTACTATATTAGATAAGTATTTGGAATATTTACTAAGTAAGTGTAGTTTATAAATAGATCAAAATATAATTTATTACCTACTTTATTTAGGTAATCAATCTTGAGCATTAAATAGCTTATTCGTCACTTTGTGCTTGAGTTTGGATTGTATTTAGGTCGCAGGTTAGGTCGCCCTGAAGTTGTTGTCTTTAAGGTTTCGTGGTCCTAATAAGGAAGCCTTCAATTTAGCCATGTCCGTCTGTTCATCTATGGTTTAACTTAGAGACTATTAGTAGATACTCCAAAGCTTATGCCCATTTTGTCGGTGCAGTAAATGGTAAATTAAAATCAAGAAAATATTTTTTTATAAGGCTATTTCTTGGTAACCTGAAGTGTTTTTTTTTTCTATCCAAATGTGTAATAGTAGTAGGAATTGTTTGATTACTCTTGAGAAATTATTTTTCGATTCAGTGATCCGTTTGTAAGATATTAACTTCGATCGATCGAAATGCGGCGGAACGCTCACCTACAGGCACTGGTGCAGTGGAAGGCACTGGTGCAGTGGCAGGCACTGGTGCAGTGGCAGGCACTGTCGGTGCCATTCTGCCTAACCTCGAAGCATGGTTAGTTAGGGAGGGAGGTCGTGTCACCTACCGACTGACGCAAGTACTCACTGGGCATGGTTGCTTGAATCGGATCGGACGCGAGGAGACGGCACAATGCCAGCGATGGCGGGTGAGGAGGGCTGTGGCGCAGGTGTATCTTTCTGTGAACCTGTAATGCTCTAGAAAGAGACCGCTGAACGGGATCGGGAGAGGGCCGATTCCGAGCGTAGAGGGCGTCGGCGGCTTTATCAGCCATTGACGGGGCCGCAGGCTACCAGAGAGTGGGGATCGATCGCACATTGAGATCAGGCCGCAACACACATTGATTGGGCAAAGCAGGCTTCCCCCCGGATAGGCGGGGGGAGGCCTGCTTTGCCCGGGATAAGGCCTGGCCAGGAACGGCGTCGATCTGGGGGGGGGGACTGAAATAACACGGTCCGGGTCCTCCCCAGAGCACCCAGACCTGAGACCGGCTATCGGGATGATTTTTAGTGGAAACACATACGGGAAATCCGAAGGGATTTTCCAAACTTGTCAACAAAAAATAAATAAAGGTGTATTGATTCAAATTGCTATGGTCATTTTCACTTGGTTATTCTTATTACAAACAGGATATTTACCATGTTTATTTTCGAGAATTAGTTTCCGATAGTTCAACACTGTTACAAGCACGTTTTGCGTCGCTTAAAATAGGTTTACTCACGAAGTTACGTATACAGAGAAAAATGTAGGATAACATGTAAGCAAAGAAACGTATTAGCTACACTTTCGTTCAGAGTAGGTATTAAATACCATGAGCTTAGATACATAAATTACCACCCATTATACTTTTAATAAACATTGTCTATGGTTTACCAAAAATAGTGGTCAAACCTGCGCCGGTATACGTTTTCAGCGCGGGTTTAACAAGACTTTTAGCTTCAACAAAATCCTTTAGTTCACTTTACTAGACAAGCAACTGAACAGCGTATTGGCAAAGTTTATTGACATCATATAAATCAATTATCATTCGTTTTCGATAGCTAATATTTTAACGAATAGGAAGAATAATCTTTCATTTACTTATATTTCATCATCATCATCATCAACAACAGCCTTTAATAGTCCACTGCTGGACATAGGCCTCTCCTTAGAAAGAAGGTTTTGGCCTACTATACCACGCTGGCCAGACGGGTTGGTATAGAGTTTGTGTCAAGTTTTCCTTCTCTCTGCTGTGCTGTTGTTGTACTGATAGTTACTACTATTTAATAAACTTCTCAGGTATCTTTCTATTACTTCGGTGATGCTTAAATCAAAACACTAACTCTTCATCAAACTTCAAACTACTTTTTCAAGCAACTTTTTTTAGATAATGTGTTTGTACTAACTAATATTGTGTGACGTCATACTATATTTTATTTTATTTATTATTGATATCTTTATTGTTTACAGTTAACACATAAGACATTACAAATATATAGACGTAACAATCGGCGGTCTTATCGCTCACGGCGATCTCTTCCAGACAACCTTGATACGGATATTATTATTGATAGTTAGTCAGTCAAATTATATGGTTTCAATATTCAGTTCTACAATAAAAAACGAAGACAAATTTAAAAATAAAATGATATTATAACAAGAATTGCACGTTTATGTCAAAAAGGATCTGGTTTAGCGCACGAAAAAAATGAGCCTGACACTGGTTTTCAAACATTTCACAATTTCACGAGGACTTCCAAAGCATTTCTTTTTACAGTTATTATAGCTATTTATTCTCATACTCCAATAGAGTATCATGTCTAAGTTCTGAGTATCTCCAAGTTGTAGAAATTTAATGAGCCCTCAAAAGTTTAATTGTTAGACGGCAAGTTTTATCACCGAAATCTTTATTAGCAAAGCGGTTGACATATACACGACAGACGCTGTTTCTTTGAAAAAGTCCGCGTTAATTTCAACTCCATTAACTACGAATAAAAATATATTAATATTGTCACGCGACATACAACATTATAGGGTTTTTATTACGTCTATGCGTCATACTTTACTCTTAACGTCTCCTTAATAAGAAAATAGGAAAACCTAGTATATGTAACCGAAATATATGTACACTAAAAACATAAATAGGCAGCACTTCAACTGTTAATGGAAACGGCATACTGCGGAAGTCTTAGACTCCAGAGGATATTCGACGTCAGAGTCACAGGTCGAAGGTTCAAAATCGTAGGCTGCAATGAATATAATTGTGTGCTATCTCACAAACTTTTTTTTTAATCTGTGATGGTATATTTATGGCTGAGAAGTTAATTCTAGAAAACTTAAGAAACGAAAACTAAACCGTCATCACACAAAATCAACCAGACACAAACTGAACATCGTTTGAGTCTAAAGAGTACGCGTTAATAACTATTGTATAACAAGGAATCTGAAGATTTCAATTTGATACTGGTTTATTAAAACAAAACATGTTGTAACATCACTACTTTAGTAAGTAGTAGTATGTCGTATCACTGAGTCAAGTAGCAAGATGTACACTCTAGCGCAGCCATTGCTTGATCGTCCGCGACACTGTGTAGACTTAAATCTAGTGCTCTGATTATATGACGATAGAATATTCAAAGTCGTTCTTATTTACTAAGTCCTTAAACAATACGTGAGAACACAATTAACACAACCAGGCAGCAAAAATTCAAACTTTTTTTTTAAGGCCACTGCCGCACTAGGAATATATTCAGTGTCGCAGTTGACTTACATATTACACACTACATTAATGAAACGGACACAAAGAACACCCGATCACACAGTGTTGTTCCATATGGGGATCGAACCCACAACACTCAGGAAGCGGCGAGGTGACCGACCACTACGCCATCCGTGCCGCCATCCGTTTTGAATGTCTTGTTTCTTTACTGACCATCATAACTCAAGTAATCTTAATAATATAGGAATTTCACCATGACAAATCATAATATATACTGAACCCTAATAATTTCATAAAGCAATTGTTACATAATTCGTATAGCATTATTTATTTATTAATGAGGACCTCCAACAAAAGATGTACTCGTACACAATAAAATCACTTTGTACAAACAATAAGTTTTTTGTTTGCATGCACTTAAATGTTGGGTATTAACATTTAGTTTATAACTAAAATATTAAAAAAAAAACATACAAAAGAAGAAGAAATAACATTAACAACATTCCCTACAAAAACATTCGTACAAAGATTTTTTAAATTCGATAGGGGCTCATAGATATCTATGCCATGAGCCTTGGACTACTGTTTAAAAATTGTAGCTTTCTGCATTTCTACATAATATAAACATTAAGAACTCCAAATTAGGGATGGAATAAAATCACAATCACTTGTGATAAATCATATAATCACACCTGTGACTAATTTAGAAAATCACTGCTACTTGTTATTATTATTACGCTAGCGCAACTCACGAAAGGTCTAAAATCTAAAAAAAAATCGTCTGTCGTTATTTTCGATGAAAACAATTTTGATTGATTTTAATAACATTTATCTTTGTCTATGACGAAATCACAATCACATGTGAAATCGTTGTGACTAAAAACAATCATGTCATCAAATAAATATGATTTAAAAGTAGCAATAATTTCCATGTCTACTCCAAATATGATGTTGCTTCCGTTGGGCATATTTGTTTAAAAGGAGTATAAAGAATTTCCTTCACGTATTAATAGCTAGATAAACTGTTTTATGATTTTCGTATTAAGTAAACTTATTCGGTTTATATAAAATCAATCTTAAATACCCAGTCGTATGAGTTATACATGCTTACAACAAACTTGAACCATAGCGCTGTATTAACAGCATAACACGGATACGTGGATTCGATCTTGAGGTATGGGATCATATTTTAGGATAACTTTACTGAAATAGAGCAAGTATTCATAGCGTTACAACTTCTGAATATTATGTTGTCCTCAGCATAAAAGCGCTTTGATTGATCGGAGTGTGTTTTGCATGGCGCCACGAGTCTATAACCGTCTACCTAAACGCTTACCTAATAGAAATTAAGTGTTTCACCAATTTTAAAAATATGGTTTAACAATTTCTGTATCAAAAGGCGTACTATACAGTGAATGAAATTTTAAAGGATAAAGACTGTACAGAATATGTATTATCTGGGTCTGTTTGTTTTAATCTTAAATTATTGTGACATTCTATTTTTAAATTTTTTTCAACTGACATAAAATGCACCTCTTTTCATTTAGTTTATAGTTATAAACATATGATAAATTGCCATTCTTAAATCTCTGAATATGAACAATGTTGTTATTAGATTCCTAACGTATGTAATTATAAAAATTTTAAGTATTGCATGCCGAGAGGTCGATAATAGAGAAGCTATGCTCATTATTACATCATAATAATCATTGTACCTAACCATTTTCGCAATACAGTAATTTGAATTTGGAAAAGTTTTTTGAAAGGCTAAATTAAAATGTTGCCATGCGGTAGCAACACTTTAAATACCTACTAAAAATAGCACTTTGACCGTATAGAACCTGAGACAATGAGTATCAATACAATGTTAGATTGAGTCACAAATAATTTTATTGTTTTGTATCGTTACCTATTGAATTAATGGCGTAAGTTCAAAATGTCACATTTTATTATGTACATATTTTGATTGTGTTTACATCGCCTTGGTTACTTGACGGAATAAAGTACTTTTTTCCTAAAGGTAAAATTAATAACTAATTTATATCATGGATATCGTGGCTAAGTTTTAACCGAGGTTAGCACATTTCAAAGTTAAGCAATCCTAACCAGGTCAGTCTATGGATGGGTGCCTATTTTTGATACATTGAGACCCCTCCGTGCCTCGGAGAGCATCTTAAGGCGTTGCGTCGGTCCTGGTTGCCACACCAACTTCTCGGACAATCGTTACAGGTAGTTCGAGTCTTAAAAAGTCCGAAAACAAGTATCTCTACAGAACTATGATATCGCCTAGTACATGGGTTGTGGAGGTCTGATGATTAGGAAACAGGCTCGGAGGATGATATCATGGTTATCTCCTGGCTCCATGGTTATATATGTATGAAGTATCGCTGCTTTAAGTGACTCTGCCTAGGTAAAACTCTAATCGAAAGCAGCCATGTCTTCTCCAGAGGACGAGCGCTCTCTTGTCAACTTCAGGAGCAAGGAGTCCAAGTGCAACACTGTCCCTACCAACTACCAGATGTATTTACATCTCAACAGAGAAGTTAGTAGCTTAGATGTCGATTTTGCCAATCTATTTTTCCGAGGTAAGAAGTAGCATAATGAGCTATACCAGATCCGTTCCAGCGTCGTGGTCTGAATAAACTTTCATCCAAACTTTCGCATTTATAACAGTAGTAGTAACTATGTAGCATAGGTTTATATTCTTATTTTATTTAAAATATCAAATTTATCCATCTATTCAATCCCGGATTTCGAATCTCTAAGATATGCCTAAACATTGTCAACTTTCCTTTCAAAAACTTTTGACCTTTGGCTCTGCCAGGACGCCAAAAATGAGTGTTTCAAGCCCACTGAAGTCTCAGTGAGTTTGATATTTTACCAGTATTAAACATGTCGCTTAAAGATAATTCAGATCGAAGACCAGATGATTTCAAACCCTTTTTTATTAGAATTTAAATGTAAATCTAAATAGATGCTCAAGGTTTTCGAATAGATTAGAAAGAGTGTCTCTGTAGGCTGTAGGTCGGTAGGTCGTAGATGAGTTAAAAGACAGAAGCCTTCGTTTAATTTTCAGAAGATGAACAACGTTATCTATTGCTGTCCAGCTCGAGTTCAGGCTTAGTAGGATGTATCCGTTTTCTTACTCGGGACTAACTGAGTTTATAAATACTATTTTAAAAAAAAGGTCTTCTTCTTATCTTCTGCTGAACTATGCTGCTGTGCCCGACAGGGTTCACAAGCGTTACTATTAATGTAAATTTAACACATGTACCATACATTGAGAAATGCAATAAAGAATTGAGAATCGAGTATTGAATTTATGATAATTCAGCTCATGATAATTCACAATAGCTAACAAAATGTTGAAGGGTTAAGGAAAACTGTTGTGTATTACTATAATTTAAATAGGGTTTTATTTTGATTGCAAATACTCTGCACAATGCATTTATGCAAGGCCCGTGTTCCACAAACGGACGGATATTGCACGTGGGTGTATCAGACAGATAACTAAGGGTGGATGCCCTCACTTTTGAATTTCAAGAGTATAATTGGTTTTGATTTTCAGATCGTTTAAGTTATTGAATATATCTCTTCAGTTTTCGGCTAATTTTGTTTAATAAGAATTTTTAATGAACCAAAATGCTAAGAATCAAAGGATAAAGGAATCTGAAGTGTGTTATAGAAAATAATTCTTGCTACGGGAATTAGTTCACTTGAGGAAATTTTCTCAACAACCTGGCATCATTTTTTAGTATGGTTCAGTGAGATAGTCGCTCGGTCTGCGGTACGAGTACAGTACTACACAAGTACGAGACATGAAAAAAACGATTATGTAAAACAATTAGCCATTAGTAGTGGGAGAGTAGGGGGAGGGAGAGAGTGGCTTACACTCGTCGCATCGTCACGAAAAGGCTGATTCGACCAAATACCACGACCTCGGAGAATACCAGTATCAAGCAACTTGCTATCGAGTGAATGTGGTTACCGGAGCTCCACCCCAAATCTCTGGGCAGCTCGCACTCAAAAGGCGACAACGTACTTCTGTCTCTAGGGTTACAGAAGCCCATAGGTGGCGGTAGATCATTAATCATTTCTGACCTAGCTGATTTTCCCCTTTAAAAAAAAATTTAAAAAAATGTTATTTGACACAAATTAATACATTCGCAGTGGGTACATTGTTCTTAAACACTATGTATACTTTATCTATTTCACAATAGGTACTTACACTTTTAACCAAACTAGGCAACACGCCTGTATTTTGGCTGACAGTGTTCGGTCGTGGAAATTTACACAGCAGTATTTAAAATCAGTCGTGAATGTTATTATACATCAGGTACAGGTGAGTATATTAACGTTAATTTTATAATGTGTACACTATGTTTCATTAATGTAGCCAATAAAACAGTAGACATCCATTTGGATTAAAATGTGAGTGAGTGTTTAGTGTGAGTATGGGTGTGTGTGTGGATGTGTAGTGGCGCATGTTGTACATGCGTGAGAAAGTTTGTGTATGATTGTGAATTCGTGTGGATGTGCATATGAAGGTAATATCATCAACAGCCTATACTAGTCCACTGCTGGACATAGGCCTCTCCTTAGAAAGGAGGTTTGAAGGTAATATAGTTGAGTGAAAAGGTGAGATTTAACTGTTATGTAGTGTAGGTAAGTAGCTCTTCCCTCATTTGGTAATTAAGTTGCTGAAGGCATTCGTGTACTCTATGTTTGACTTTATAACTATTTTGACTGGCAATGTTCATTTTTTTATTTCTATGGTTATATTATTTTACAGCTTAGACTATAGTATTGCCGTCTCCCAAATGCCGTTTGGCAAGAAGGGTTGTGAATGATAGGCTTTTTGCTACGCTTATTATTTTCTAGCTTTTCTAGATCGGGAATTTTTTTCTAGCTTAGCTAGAAGGATAGGGACAGAGACCGTGTCAAAAGCTTTAAAAAGATTTAAAAATATGCCCAAGCACCTGATGTTTGCGTCAAGATGATTGCTTAGTGTACTTGTAAGATTGAGTATAGCGTCAGCGTTTTTTGTCAAAACGTTAAAGTTGTTCAGTTATTTTTTTAGGACGTTGTTTAATATTTTTTCAAGCATCTTAGAAATCACTAACACAGCCCTTGTCCAAACTCTTATAGATTGGATGGATTAAGGACTTTTTAAAAACTACAGGGAATACATCAGTAGTTAGTGCTAGATTTCATATATGTGTTATAGGGAGCATTAACACTTTACGACTTTCTTTCAGGATTCGAGAAGCCATATACCATAAAACTTAAAAAAATACACTTTTATGAAACTAGGAACGCATTTACTTTCTTTTTTTTATGCGCCTTTATCGATGCGATATCTAGCACTTCACTAACACAGTTTTTTCCATTTCACAGATCAACAATTTTGGTGTACTCACATTCCGGGCCGACATATCATCATTTTTGAACATCGAATTCCCTCTGCCATATGCGTCTATAGCCGCATTCTATACCAATGTAGACACAACGGCCGAAGGCGCAGTCTATTACAGAGAGACTGACGAACCACATGTACTATCCAAAGCAGAAGAGAGCGTCCAGGATAACTTTAGGGACTACTACGATTTCAAGCCCACTAGTGTGTTCATCACCACCTGGCTCGACGTCACTTACACCTCAAATGTGTCACAATACACACCAAAAAACAGTTTCCAAATTGCCATCATCAGTAACGGAACAGAGAGTTTCGTTGAATTTTTGTATCCCGAAAAAGAAATCCAATGGTTTCAGAAGGAATCTCAGATAATAAGCCTACCGGACGCTAAGGCCCAGGCTGGTTTTATCTCAGAGGACGGACGTATATACTCGCTGCGAGGATCCGGTAGTCATCAAATCAGAAACATTGTCCTGTAAGTACATTTTAATTAAGCTACACTCTATATTTTTATACATTTCGATTCCGCGTATTATTTCAGATGCAATATTGCACTGCTACAAGTTCATATCATCACATTCAGTGTGTTCTAGTGACCATCATCAGTGTTTATTAACAGATTGTAAACTTAAATTTCTTTATTTCCTATTTGGAACCATTCGTAAATTCTACATAGTTAAAGCGTGCGTTATATACGTTTAGAAAACGTGATATTATAATATAATTATTATATTTCTAGATGGTCTAATACACGTACTCCTGGAAAATATGTCTTCCGCATTGGACAAATACCCTCAGACGGCAACGTCGTTACACCTGATCAGTATAATCAAAACGAAGTTGAAATCGAAGAGGAATCTAAGACTTGCGCGCAGAGTGGACCTAGTGTTTGCCACATGGAAGCTAGGTGTGTAGACTACTCTGATGGAATCTGTTGCCAATGTAAAGATGGATTCTACGGTAACGGTAAATCGTGTATTAAGGATGATGTTCCACTACGAGTTCACGGCAAAATAAACGGAGTACTGAATGATGTCAATCTTAATGATGTCGATATACAGTCGTATGTAGTCGTTGGTGAAGGAAGAGCGTACACAGCTTTGTCTCTCGTACCGGGTGGACTGGGAAGTAGTTTGCAACTTCTCAATGTACTCGGTGGTGTAGTCGGCTGGCTGTTTGCTAAGCCATCAGTTTATGCTAAGAATGGTTATCAATTTACTGGAGCTCTATTCAATCATACCGCAGATGTTTGGTTTCCAGACTCTGGCGCCAGAGTTGTAATCAATCAAGAATACCTGGGACACGATGTATTTGATCAAATCACGCTAGAATCAGATATCAGAGGCAACTTACCAGTGATTCTAACTGGTACCAAACTAGAGATAGTGGATTATGAAGAGCAATATACTATAGTGAAACCGGGTGTTATACGTTCAGACTCAAGTAGAACATATACCAACAAGATTACTGGTGAGAAAATCGAACAAAGAGTTTCTCAAACAATTACTTATAGCGCTTGTCATTTTGCACCCCCCACAGATGAAGATAAAAAACCCTTGACTTTGAAAATTAGCAAGAACTATTTAGGCTATGAAAACAAAGAAAATATCGTTAGATATGGATCGACCAATAGAATATTTCCTCTAGGCCAGGAAGATCCATGTATCAAAGGCCGAAGTAGTTGCGGTCCACATAGCACATGTGTAGCTCAAGTAGACTCATTTACCTGTGTCTGTCAGTCTGGTTTTGCAACTATCTATCAGAACAAAGAAGTAGTTTGTATTGATATAAACGAATGTGAGGCTGGTACACACAACTGTGACAGTAACGCTGACTGCTACAACCATGCTGGTGGTTTCCAATGCAGGTGTCGCCCTGGTTTTAATGGAAATGGGTTTACTTGCAATCCCTTATCCGGCTGTTACAATAAAAGATGCGATGCCAACGCACACTGCATACAGCATCCTGGACAGGATGCTACATGTGCATGTAATCCTGGATTCTATGGAGATGGGAAACTGTGTTATAATGACATTAGCCATGGAGATGTATCACAAGTGTCTAATGAAGCAGACTATAATGAAAGTTTTGTTCTACCAACCTGTGATGCGTACACCTGTGTATGTCCACCATCGTACTCAGAATATAGAGATGATCTCAACAACCAACTCTGTCGTCTTGAAAATAATCGTGCTCCTCCCCAGACTGCTAGAAACGAATACCAGAGTCCCACAGAAACGAGTTATAACTATCAGCAGCATGCAGAGGCACCAACAACGGCATATTACCAGCCGCAAACTGAGCGTCCTTATCAATACCCCCATCCACCGAATACTGAACAACAATCTGAAACAAATACTGAGCCTCCCTATCAGCCGAATTTTGACGATTCTTACCGTATTGTGCTGCCAACCTGTGACGCGTACACTTGTGTATGTCCACCTGGATACTCTGAATATATCGATGAAAATAACAACCAACTCTGTCGTCTTTATAACAATGAAGCTCCACCTCAAGAACTTTCTGGAAATGAATATGAGAACCCTACGGACTCTACTTACCAGCAGCATACAGAAGAACCGGAGACACAATACTTTCCATCACAACCTGAAGGTCCCTATCAAACATACAGTGATCGTCCTTATCAACCCAATACCGATCGTACTGATCAGCCAAATGTAGATCCCACACACCCATCTTCAACACCATCTTTCCAAGCACCTTGGGATAGTAATTACCAACCAGGGCAAACTAACTCACAACAACATAATCAAGGTCAAAATTTTAATAATAACTACCAACAAAATAATTATGATCAGAATTCAAATAATAATTACAATCCCAGTTACTATTATCAATCACCACAAAATAGACCTTCGGAAAATAGTTACGATCGATCATCAGAAAATAACTATTATCAAACGTCTGATCGAAATTACGACATCTCTACATCTACAAGCAACCAACCAGCGCACCAACAACCATCTTCTGAAAATGAATACCATCAATCTGTCGGTGCAGGAGCTACTGAGGATACTTTGAGTAAGGGTCTAACTTTATACCTCAAAAGTTATATTTTATGGTCATGTATACATTACTTAATAATAATTTCTATTTGCAGTACCGTGTGAAGATGATGCGGAGTGTCCTCCGAATGCCGTCTGCTTTTCGCCAGATGGTCATAATAAACACTGCGTCTGTCCTGAAGGCTATGAAGGCGACGCATTCGAATGTATCGAGCGTAGTGGACCCAATTGTGCATGCGGTCGCGGAGCTCATTGCGTCAACACTCGCACCGACGAGTACATCTGTGAATGTGATCCAGGCTATCACGGTGACGGTTATGACTGTCGACCAAACTCAAGTTGCCGTAACAATTCCGATTGCGAGTTCAACGCGGAATGCCGACCAGATTATAAGACCAATGAATATATTTGTAAATGCCTTAAAGGATACATTAAGGACCAGAACGACGCGTGTATCCCTGATGATGAGCTTTGCAATGGAGCCTGGTGCGCAGAACACGCGTCGTGCCTATTCGATGAAGAGTTGAGTCTACACTACTGTTACTGTGACGAAGGTTATACTGGAGACGCTATTTCACAATGTGTACTCGCTGACCAAACGTGCGATATTGCCGATGACTGTAGCCCTGATGCTGTTTGCACGGCTGTCGATGGTTCTTACCAATGCGTTTGTAAAGATGGATACAATGGAGACGGTTATAAATGCACACCAGAAGCGACTTGCCGATTTAACCCGAACTTGTGCGATTTACATGCCTCTTGTTTAAAAAAAAATGATGCTTACGATTGCGAATGCAACACTGGATATCTAGGTAACGGAAGTCATTGCGAATACGATGCCCGCCGAGCTGCCAACTTCTTAGTGGCCAGTGATGGTACGTCTGTGTACAGAGTTCCTTTCAAAATAACACGGAGAGACTTTGCAGCACCATTTAATAGCGGCCAATCACAAGTAGCAGTAGACATTGACGTGGATTGCGAGAGCGGCATTGTATACTGGGGCGATGTCGTTAGTTTAGCTATAAAGTCTTCACGATACGATGGAAGTGGATTTAATATTTTCTTAACAAACGGTGAGTGACTTATTTAGGTATAATATATTTCAAACATAGACAATTTAGAAAGAAATAAACGACTCTAATCCAGTGTTTGCATATTAAATAAACTCGATAATGTTAAAAAAGTTCTCTTTATGTAGTTTATACTGTCCACAGGAATAAAATCACCGGAAGGTATCGCAATCGACTGGTCAGCAAGGAACATTTTCTGGACGGACTCGAAAAAATTGACAATTGAAGTCGCAAATCTGGAGACCAAAGTCAGGAAGGTGTTATTCGCAATTGATAAAATATCCAACCCACGCGGCATTGCTGTACATCCTCAGAGAGGGTAATTAAACTTTGGTATAACAAATAAAATAAAAATTATAAACATAAAACAAACCCTAAGCTCAACGTGGAATCGTAGGCCAAAACCTTCTTTCTAAGGAGAGACCTATGTCAAGCATTGCAAAGCAAATTCTATCTAATTCTTTAAATATTTTATTAAAAACTACTTGATTAAAATCTACTAATCAGAAAAAGGTTAGTTAAAAAATTGCTAAAAAGTTTAAAGTAATGTTAATTCTTCTTACAGCAAAATCTTCTGGTCGGATTGGAAACGAAACGACCCAAAGATCGAATGGGCTAGCATGGACGGTTCTCAAAGGGGCATATTCTTGGACAAGAATGATGTGGCAGTGCCAAACGCACTCGCCATCGATTGGGTTCGGGACCGGCTTTGTTATGCTGACGCCGGCCTTTTGAGCATAGTATGTGTGTCCATAGACACTAGAGAGAAAACTATCATTGCCAGCAACTGTTCATATCCCTTCGGTTTGGCAATACATGGCAATAGATTTTACTGGACTGATTGGAAAACGTAAGTAAATAATTAGTTAAATACTATTATATACCAAACAAACCAAAACGAAAACCAGCGTAGTTCGTGCGCATGCGTTTTATGATACGATTCCCGAAACTTATTTTCTATATGGGGTCTTTTATAGATTCGAGTTGCTTTCCGAATAACTTCTTTAAGTTAGCTCTAGATTCAATACCAGACCCAAAGTAAGTGATAATAAAAGCAATAGGTACCGGTAAAAACCAAGGCCTCCCAAAAGGTTCTTTATACTTTAATGGCATTGGAGAGCAAACAAGCAGACGAGTTACCTGATGAGAAGAGACTACTACAAAAGACAATATCCAAAAATTCATCAATACCCCTTGACCCCCAAACCCCCCCTCCTCCCTTTAACCTTGAAATCCAGTGAAAATCAACGAACAAATTGTTTGCATGGATCTCGTACAGTAAAGTGGAAATAATTGACCATACTGTGACAACTGGGGTCAAGAATGTCCTATGTCAAATAAAAACAATAAAAAATGGTTGGTAACAAGTATGTTTTATTTCAGATTGAAAATCGAGTACATTGACATTGCAACCCAAGAACGCGGACTGATGCCTATAGCAACAGCATCAAGGCGTTTATATGGTGTTGCAGTTGCTCCTGATCACTGTCCACAAGTTCACAGCCTCTGCATGTACAGAAACGGAGGTTGTGAACCTCATCAGTTGTGTTTGCCAGATGGGAACAATGGCAGGAGATGTATAAATGGTGACACGACATTCACAAGGCGTTAATAAATTAGTTTAGGCTTTCGAGATATTGGCTGATGGATAAATGTGAAACATTATGTATATGAAATATTAGAAACATATACCTGTTATATAAAAGGGCTTATGATCGTGAAACGGGTCAATAAATTTTCTTTAATAATTTTTAGGGATATTATATATAAATAATAACAATCTCTATAAAGTTAGTTTCAAAAAAATTAAATCGGTCCTTTTTCTAAAGTAATTTTGCGTATTTCAAACTGTACCTATCTCCTAAATACAGCATTAACACTCCTTTTCAAGATTGTTTTTTAATTATTAATGGTTACATTGTAACCCTATACCTAAGTGTACAAAATAAGTTGAAAGTACACGTACCTACCTACCTAAACCTGGTAACGAATAATACTTAAACAAATAGGTATTTCAAACTACACTTGTACATATTGAAATAATCGTAAGTTGGTAATTATGAACATTTATCTGTAGGTATCATAATTCAGTCAATACTTTCGAAACCTAAATATCTATTCGAAGAAATTGATAAAGACAGAATGTGTCGGATAGTTGCATAATGTTTGAAAGAATTTGATAAAACATGTTTTATACCTATTTATCATAAGAATACTAGTTTAATAAGAATTGAACAAAACTACTAACCTAACCCATTTTTATAACCTCTAAACGTATTTCCCGCCTAAATTAACTTTTTTAAATAATTAAATAGATAATATTATTGTTATCACTGTATTCGGTATCTGACTGCAATACATTTAAAGGTTATACGACTGAACAAGTTAATAGTACAGCATTACCAACCAAGGTCCACGGCCTTTAGAAGCACAGCTATTTCTAAAATTTTTATCGTTACCTTTCAAGTTTTCAACACTTTTTTAAATGTTATTTTTTAATGCTAAATCAAAGATAGGTACACGATATATTACACGGGATATTAATCATATCTTAGTCTAAATTGTAATAGCGATGTGAACATGCCATGCCATGCCATTTTAAATCTATTTATGCTTGGTTTTAGAATAAAACAATACATTTTCTTAATAAGATCTTTAATGTGTACTTCAAACAATGTAATTTATTAATACCAAAACAATAAAGTTATTTATTTATACAGAACAAGTTTTTGTTTACTTTTGCGAATAACATAATAATAACAAAATATCGATGATAATCTCTCTACAATCATAAAATATATGCTATAGTTATTTATATTTTTAATAATAAATTAACCTAAATTGTAAAGAAAGTCTACTAATCGCCCTGTCCAGTACAAATTTGTCATTCATAAGCTGAAGGTAATGAAAAAAGATCAACATTTAGGTTCTACTGCCTTTTTAAAAAATACTAGAAAAAAATAAAAAAACGAGTGTGCTTTGGACGATACGACTAAAGTAAAACTGCTTTAAAGAAATGAGAGAAAGAGTAACTCTCTCTCTTTCTATCTTCACTAACTTATATCTCTCTCTCAACTTCCGTTCGCCTCGCCCGATCACACTTTTCGTAACGCTCTCGTCACGCATTCATCAGCTTACTAGCGTTCGTAAAGAAATTTTACTTCAATAATACCAATGATGATGATGATATAACGTTTTATTAAATGTACAAAATGCTACAATTCCAATATTATTGTGACCACTCTGTGCTTGTTTCGCTACACATTATAGTTTGTTAGTATTCCGTAATTTTCTATTTACACAATTTCTTGACAGTTCATAATGTTTCGTATTTATAATAAGCGTAACAACGTCTAAGTAATACAATTATGAAATAAGGAAGAAAAGCTGATTTTTAAATTGATTGGTGACATATTAAGATTTGACTATGAAACATGTCATTATCTGTCCCTCTTCTTGATTATTATCAATTGATTAAATATAATATTTAGTACAGTATTTTTTGCAAGGTACTTATTTGGAAGATATTTTAATCAATAATATTCCATTAACTGTGACATTCATTACCAGACAGACGGCTTTGTTGAGATTATCCGTGCTTATCCCCATAAGTCCTCGGTGCGGCCGAACTTAAACACTAGCGAACCAGCAAAGATCAATGCATTTTGCATAAAAAGGCACACGCCCGGGTACGTCTGATCCTTGCCTGTAAAAAAGAAAGTATACTAGAGATTCTTAAGTTTAATATACCAAAGGTTAAGAAAAAAGTCGCAAACATATTACATTAAAATTATTTAATAATTTATTATTTCAGGATATCATTATTCCGAGCCGACTAAGCAAAATACGCAAGACAACAGCACTGCAAAGAGAAGGAAAACTTAAAACAAACACTATACCAACCCGTCTGGCCAGTGTGGTACAGTAGGCCAAGACCTCCTTCCTAAGGAGACGCCTATGTCCATCAGTGGACTATTAAAGGCTGATGATGATGATGATGATGATGATGATGATGACATTTTTCACATTTTGTGGCTGCACATTCATAACCCACTATTTATAATAATCAGTTAACATATAATTTATAAACAAAAAAATTATCATCTAAAATGTTAGTTAACGGACTTTTTCAACCAAAAATATGATAGACTATATAAAAAGCAAAGAATGAGTTTTGTGTTTAACTATTAAAATTGAATTAATTGAATGAGTCTTATGTATTTATATATAAAATTCGAATTTACTTTAAAAAAATTTTACTAACTTGAATGTCTCGAAATAATGTTTTAATAAGTTCTTAACATCTATTTAGAGCAAAAATATTTCTTTAAATTTCATCATCAACATCATTAACAGCCTTTTTTGTCCACTGCTGAACATAAACCTATCCTTAGAAAGGAGGTTTTGGCCTACTATACCATGCTGGCCAGACGGGTTGGTATAGGGTTTGTTTCAAGTTTTCCTTCTCTTCCCAGTATAAGGGGTGGTGAGACCTCTATATTCTTAATACGTCACCACAAATTTAAATAGTACTTCTTGGTTTTTTTTTTTAAATGTATGTCACAAATGAACAAACATTCATCTTTCTGAAGCTATTTGATAGCACAAAAAACTTAAAAGATTTTTATTAAAAAAACTTACTTCTGTTAACATAATTGGCAAAGAGGATCCACACTGCTGCAATGAGTGATGCAAACCCAACCACAAAACCTAAGAACAGCCACAACCTTGCTCCACGGGGACCCATGCACCCACCAGTATATGTCTCTCCACGAACCTGGAATATGCAGATCATTCTTGTTTATATATTTATATTGTTAAATTGAATATTTTACAATGGTTTCTTTTTAATAACAAGCAATTATCAGTACAGCAATCTCTAAATAAAGCAATATATTAAAATGGTGGTTTAGGTGAGCTGTTTCTTTAGTAACAGTCTTTAGAACACAATTTATCTATTATAAATCTATATAAAAACAAATTAATCAGAAATCATGCTATACTGATATAATATTAGTATATAGATAAACAACTCTGTAGCAATTTAGAACTCTCTCACCTGTGCATTCGATACAGAGTTGATCATAATCAATGACAGTGTGGCCATCACTCCACACACATGGGCAGCACTAGGCAAGCGGTTGGCTACTTCAGGCACCGTGGCAGCATCAATTATAAACCACCATCCTGAAAAGAACTGTTAGAAAAAGATACATTTACTGACAAAAGAAATCTCATACAAAAATATTACACACCAATCCTGATAGTTACTTAATTGCTTCAGAGTAAAGTGTAACAGTAAAATCTAATGATATACTCATTACATCAGTGTTAATGTGTGAAATACACACTTGCAACATCAAACTAAAGCATATAGTAGGTCATTATTATCTAGAATTTTAAAAATAAAGGCTATTCTAATTAGCATTTCTTTTTCATATGAAAATTTACATTGTAAGCATATTACTACTATTTTTTTTAAAGGTATGTTTATATTTATGACAATATTGAATAAAATCTGCATGAATCATCAAATACAAACCAAGAGCCCCGCAATAATGGACGCGACAATATTGCGCTTTTCTCCACTCTCAAACCACACACAACTCGGCATAGTCACGTTCTCGAAACAATTCATCTTGAGAAATAATTTAATCAATAATGATTACAAAACTATTGATTAATTTATGACGAAAAACAAATCGCAAAGTAGTAAATACTGTAAATAGTTGTGACAGTACGAATTATCTAGATGACGTTTGTGACAATTGTTTGTTAGTTGCGTTCCGAGTTTTGCTATCGTCGTGATAAGCGTGCTTGTAATTGTCAAGTATAAGCTGAAAACAAACAGTGCCTCGAGTCGTTTAACACAAATAATTTCTAAGAATTTCTGATTAAATTACTGACAGGCAGTATTTCCGATATCTAGAAAAATATTAAAATTATTACTAAATATTGAATTACACAAATGAATGAACATAAATGAATACTTAACCTTATATTAAATGTCGATTTATAAATACATATTAATAGTTACAGACAGACAAATAAATATCGGAACTAATACATGTAAATAAATAAATAATGATATTGAATGTTAACTACTTAATAGTGAATAGATGTTGATAAAATTATACATGTAAAAATAAATAATGATTCTATGTATTTTAAGTTTTATTTTCTAATATTATTTATAAATAAATGACTTTATTATTATTATTACTATATAGTATTGCCGAATATTTAGCAACAAGTGTCTCATCTATTTAAAATACACAAGATTGTGTTGATGAGACGGACTTATAAGCCTTCTCATAATCAAAATACACAAAAAACAAGATTATTTTTAGTCTTTAGATTTATTAGTACTGCTGCTACTTGTGGTTACATGTTAACTATCCGTCTATCCGTCGCAACCTATGTCCTTTTGCTAGAACGACTTCGTGATCGTCTCCACAAGCGAGAGAATCGTGACAAATTCACGATTCTATCGTAGGGTAATCTTAACCAGTGATTATTCTGACAGCCAAAATATGTATTTATGTCTCCATAATAAACTACAAGTACTCAGGCAACAGTACATCGTAAAGCAGGTCAGTCTCTCACTTCAAAAATAAACTTTTCAATCTCAAGCATTTTCGCTCGCACTCAGAAACTCGGCATAAAATCGCCATGTGTAGACACTTTTACTTCCGGGTAAATGCATACTGAAACCAAAAATAAAAATATTATAAAAATTTTTAAATACGTATCTATCCGTGTCACGCTTTAATGCTCGACCCAATAAACACTATAACGTAAAATTTACGTCCGGATGACATCATTTTGTGTCGTGATTTACGTAAGAAGTAAGTCGCAAATGAGTCAGAATTTCATACCTCCTGATGTAAAACATATAACGTAAATATGGCCTTTAATTTGACCTGCGAACAATGCAATAATTAGGTATAGATTTAAAATGGGATTGGTTTAGAATATTTGAAAGTTAAATTATAAAATGAGCAAGGCACTGGCAAGTACAATGGAACTGCAATTGTTATGGTGCCAGTTTATTTATTACTTAGATCAGATATTAGAATGCTGCTTATGCCCTGTATATTAGAAAGCAGAGTACCAAAAACACAGAAGACTCATTTAAGTGTTCGCCTCCACGGAAATCTTTAGTAAAAGGTGAAAGATTTATTAATAATTATTTATTATACATTACGAAGGGAAACCAAGAGGTAGAGTTGTCATAATCACTCTTAGTGACATCATATCAAAGTCGTCAAACATAGTCAATATTATGTCATACTTACGTAAAAACCAGTGTGTTCGCGTTTGTGACTTGTGACCTCTGTGTGACCTATATTTAACGTCATTTAAAAGTCATGTTTTCACTGAGTCATAGGTATAAATGTAATACAAAATATCTTAATTCTATTATCTTTATAAATCTCAGCCACGAATATTTTATTGTTTCATACTTTTTAGGGCCCAATTTATATCCTATTACGTATACAGTTGTTAAGATTTATTAGAGTATTTAGAGTTATTCTGTAATGTTGTGTGCTAAAGTGTGGAGAGAACAGAAGTCATGTTTTTGTAATGACGACACACGTGACGTCACGATGCGATAATATGGATGATTTCCACATGACAAACTATACATTATGTAAACATTGCAATCTATGCATTTTTATAATCATTTGTTGCTAAATATTGATTAGGTACATATAGGTAATGCATAAAAATACTACTGTTTTGTTAAATTAACAGCAGTCCACTACTTACCCGTAGATTATTTTACTTAGCAGCGTTAAAGTAAACAATTTTAATTTTCTACATAGATTTTATAACACGGGTAAAGTTTTTATTTTATGAAGTAGGTAGTTCATAAAATAAAAACTTTACCCGTAAAGCTATAAGCGTTGGGGGTATATTTAAAACTTATATGCAGGTATAATTTGTGCCTCCAGCGAAGCTCGTTATGGCTAACACATTATGTCCATGCCATATTACAGCTTTCTAGTACTGACTTTTTAATTATGAGTACGGATTTCTACTGAAAATCAGCAGGGGACAGATCCGTTATTTTTGGGAATATTCTGCTGCGGCTAAAGTAGGCTGTGTTAACGTAAATAACACATGGGCTGAAAAGTCCCGGGCCTAACAAAGAAAACACAGTTTTTTTGGTTCAACATTAGCTGTAATCAGTAACGTAATCTCCATCAAGAGCAACGCAATCATTCCAGCGCCGCTCTAACATTTCAATACCACTTTTGTAGAACGATTTATCTTTTGCCTCAAAATAGGCCTCAGTTTCAGCGATAACCTCTTCATTCGTGCGAAATTTCTTACCGGCGAGCATTTTTTTCAGGTCTGCGAACAGCCAATAGTCGCTGGGAGCCAAATCCGTGGATATGGGAGCTATTCGAAGTTCAATTCATGTAGTTTTGCCATTGTTTTGATTGACTTGTGACACGGTGCGTTGTCTTGATGAAACAATTTTTTTTTCTTTGCCATATGCGGTCGTTTCTTTGCAATTTCGGCATTTAAACGCTCCAATAACGCTATATAATATTCACTGTTAATGGTATTTCCTTTTTAAAGATAGTCGATGAATATTACACCACGCACATCCCAAAATACCGAGGCCATAACCTTTCCAGCCGATTGTTGTGCTTTCGGGCCCTTTGGACGAGGTTCACCAGTTGCTGTCCACTCAGATGACGATCGTTTTGATTCCGGAGTGAAGTGATGGATCCATGTTTCATCCATTGTCACATATAGACGGAAAAAATCCGGTTTGTTACGTTTAAACATAGCCAAACACTGCTCAGAATCATCAACACGTTCTCGTTTTTGGTCAACAGTGAGTAAACGCGGCACCCACTTTGAACAGAGCTTTCTCATAGTCATATGCTCATGCAATATAAAGCCAACACGTTCTTTTGATATCTTTACGATGTCAGCTAACTCACGCAACTTCACTTTTCGATCATTCAAAACGATTTTGTGGATTTTTTTTATGTTTTCTGGTGTTACCGCCTCATTTGGACGTCCACTGCGTTCTGCATCATTGGTGTCTCTACGACCACGTTTGAAGTCAGCAAACCAACGTTTTATTGTTGTTTCTGATGGAGCGGAGTCCCCTTAACACTTTTCAAGCCATTGCTTCGCTTGAACGGTATTTTTTCCCATCAAGAAGCAGTGTAAAATTAAAACACGAAATTGTTTTTGTCCATTGTTTTGAAAATAATAAAAGTAGCGTCTTTCTTGGCACAATAACTCACAAACTAATGAATAGAATATCATGAAATTCTAACAGCTGCCTTTTGAAGGTTAGTATTAACTGAAAAAAAGGTGACTGCAATAAAACTAACGCCATGTATGTGTTAGGCTCGTGATTTTCAGCCCATGTAATACACATTGAAACAAACAACATCCATTTTACTAGACATAGAAATTATTTTCACTCATTTTGTATAAATTATGTAAGTATAAAGTAAATAGTGCAAAATCCTCTACAATTGACATCCCAAGGCAGTCTGCTAAAGATCCCTCTTGCAAAATGCCGCCTATGACGTAGAGATTTATTATTTAAGTTATCTGTGTAATATAAATATCAACATTGCATGGTTAACATTTGATAAGTTAATAATGACCTATCAAACAATACATTACTTACATAATTAAGAAATGTATGTAATAGTACTTGCTGGAAATTACGTAAACGATAGACACATTGATTGGTCTGATAAGTTGAAGAAATTTAATGAAGAAAATCAGACCATATGTTTGCATGTCACTATAAAAAGAAATAAACGCATATTACTAAATAATAAGGATAATTATGATTTTCAAAATTAACTTACCTGAGGGTGGATTTAGCAATTTCTAAAGTATTGAAACAATGTTTTATTATGTAAGTTATTGTCAGTTGTAACTTTGATAAGGTGTTTTAGTATATAACAGTGGGCGACTCATATTTGACTTTATTAAGTAAGTCATTTAAGGAGCAAACATGTTGGTCAAAAGTCTCTTCGTTTTTTGTATTCCAGCTGTACTTCTAAAGGTATTGTTGTTTTTTTTTTAATTTCATTCCTTTGTAGAAAATGCATTTAATTGCTACTCCCAAATTAAAAATCTCAAAAGAATATTTTCGTCGAAACACGATTCAAGCTATCACTGTTTAATCACTTATAAAAAAAATAATTACATTTAATTTAATTTTACAGGTCGTACAAACCCAGTGTATTGGGGCACCCCTAATAGCTGGTGAAACTCTATTGCCGTCAAATATGGCGGCTGAACTAATGACACCTGTCTTCGGGCGCGTAGTTGGCGCGAATATTATAATCGACACCTCAGCCCCTGAACCTTCAGGCGTCTCTATATTTTCGGAAGACGTAATTATTGAAGGTACCGTATTGGTTACAGGAAACTTACCATTTTTGGGTACCGTTGCTTTAGAAGGTGTCGTTCCAGCAACAGGCTCTAGTGCTGTGGCTTATGAATGTGGTACTGGAAATATTGGTATCGCTGATACACCCCCAGTTCCTGTCAGTGTAATACCGCCAAATGTTTCTAGTCTCGGCATGGCTGGTAGTATTAATAGATTAGCTAGATTCTAAGTTATATACCTTACCTTAGATTATCTGTATGTTTAAGCAATATACCTAAAATTTCTTGAAAATTGTGTTTCATTTTAAAACTTTTTCTTTCTAAACAAAAGACAACTTAACACTAGGAATAAATCCTGTGTCGCGGAGGACTTTACACGCATACATAAAACGGACACAAAGAATGCTCAGATTTAGATCAACAATTTGTACCATGTGGGGATTGAACTTAGAACTCAGCGCAATAGAAGGCAGCGAGGTGACTACTGTCCACTACGCCATTCATGCAGTCAAACTGAATATCGATGGATAGCATGGTTGTAGCATTATTAGTAGTGTAACCTGAATGTATCTGTATTTTAATACGACTAGATCTAGAGCAAAAACTTACACGTGAATGTATGGGCAAGTTTTTCGTCAATATAAATAAAACAAACAAGAAATTAACTTTTAATTAACTACTAAATTAAGTTATAGGTATACATAGTTCTAGTATAGTTCAAGTTTGTCAATTTTTTTCAAGGACTAGGAACTTATATACTCGTACGTGTACCCATTTTTAAGTGTGTCTTAAAGTCATTGTTATTAGTCCCTCATCATCAGCAGCCTTTAATAGTCCACTGCTAGACATGGGCCTCACCTCAGAAAGGAGGTTTTGGATTACTATCCCACGCGTGCCAGACGGGTTAGTATAGAGTTTGTGTCAAGTTTTCCTTCTCTTTGCAGAACTGTTGTCCTGCGTAGTTTGCTGCCTTAGTCGGCTCTTACGAGACCCACGGGATGAAGAGGGGTGGTGATAATAAAGTGATGATAATAAAGAGCCGACTAAGGGAGCAAACTACGCAGGACAACAATACTGTAAAGAGGAGGTAAACTTGACACAAACCCTGCACCAACCCGTCTGGCCAGCGTGGTATAGTAGGCCAAAACCTCCTTTCTAAGGAGAGGCCTATGTCCAGCAGTGGACTGTTGATGATGATGATACAGTTTACACATTGGTCATTTTAATAAAAATATAAAGTCAGTAAATATAAAATTTATTAGGTATCAAAAAGATTACAAATATTTATTAAGTCAATCTGAAATTGACTATAATCGATTTTTACATCGATCGCAAACACCTTGTCTATTTAGTGAACCGATCCAAGATCTTAACTAATCGAACCGTTTCACACTATTTGCACTGAGACTCCTTTGAGTGTGTACTACCGATATCATATTAGTAGTAGTAGTAGTTACTAAATCAAACTCATTCGAGACTAAAAGATTACACTATTGGCGTTTATTTGCAAAAAAATCAACTCGTTATTTAACTTAGTCATATTACTACATTGTCATTGTTCTAGTCAGCGCCAGCTCATTGAAATGAGCATACTAATTAATTCATAAGACATGTATGCTCAATTTAATCGACCCGACATTTGATTCACACTAAACAGAACGATTAACATCTTGAATCGATTCTTTAACATTGAAACCGAATCGAATGGATAATCGGTTCCCATTAAATGCTGATCACAGAGTATTTTTAGACGGTCACGTAGCTGCATAGGTCACTGCTATGTGATTAAGAGAGATAAGTTAATTATAAGTAAAGTTGGATTCAAAGATTAATTCTGACAAAGGCCCTCGTTCTGGTAGCACCATTCGGGTTCCAAAGATTCAGCCTTGATTCCCATACGAACTAGACGCTCCCTGTGACAAAAAAAAAGGAAGACGTTTTTAAAATTAATATTATTTAACGGGAATTAACGCGATCTCTTATTTAGGCGGCCGTGGTCACAGGCTGACTGAGTCAGCCTGTGACCACGGCCGGTGCAACCTGGTCGAAACGTCAGGCAAACCAGAGGTATGTAATACCCTAAATAAGAGATCGCGTTAATTCCCGTTAAATAATATTAATTATCATGGAACGCGAAAGTTTAAAAGTTAGTTTTTAAAATTGTTTATAAATCGAACATGCGAAATAACAAATCGATAACGAAAGTTCGAATAATATTACAAGAGACCAAAAATATTGAAGGAGTACAATACAATAAGTATAAAATGACTTTGTTTGAAAGTTATGAAAGATCTTAGGTTATGAGGTCTCGGGGGATATATCGTTTTTGCGAATAATGGGTCCTGTAAAGTGAGTGTATGAACAGTAAGTAACAGACCTAACGTTGAGCATCCTCTGCTCGGCGCTGCGCCAGGAGTGCGCGCGCGGCGGCTCGGCCCAGAGACGCTCGGCGAGCGCCGCCGCGCGCGGCCACAGGCGCCCCCCCAGCGACGACTCGTCCGCCTGCTCCGACCACAGCGCCGCTTCTCCGCCTACACACACGACATTTATTTTTACCGACTTAACATTCACCAGCTTGGTGTTTTTTTTTATTCATTTATTGCATATACATCATAAGGTACGCAGTTTAAACAGTAAGATGCCGCATAAACTCATTCGAGTTCTTCCGTGCAGCAGTGTCTACACTGATATATATTTATACATACTTAAACAGTTAATTATTCTAAATAATTAAGACAACAAAATCACAACATCATCTATCACCAGTGTACTTACATATATCGAAAAAAGAAATAATTAATTTGAGTGGGTAGTAGTAGAGTAAGGATTACACATTGCCGATCGGCAACCCGATCGCAACAGGTTTTATACAAAAGAACGCGATATACAGAGTGATGCATCTATTCTATACAAATAAATAAAATTGGAGTGTCTGTTTGTAATATTAAAATAACCGCTTTTTACTAAATGCAAATGTCTGTTTACACGGCACATATGCCAAAATATTTTTTTTTACAATTTTTGTCTGTCTGTCTGTTTGTCTTTTCCGGGTAATCTCTGAAACGGCTGGACCGATTTTGACAGGGCTTTCACTGGCAGATACCTGATGACATAAGGAGTAACTTAGGCTACTTTTTTTAGACTAGCTTCGGCTTCGGCTTCGTCTCAGCTAATTAAGGTAATCGATGCAATTTTAATAGTATTAATGACGTAACAAAACAAGGAAATAAAAAACATTCATTTCATGATTGATATGTATGCATGCATATAAACGTAAGACATAGTTATAAATTTTTCGATATATTTTGCAAGAAGTATCGTTTTAGTTTACTTTTAAAAATTTTTGTAGTTAATTGTTTCTTAAGTGATACATGTAATTCGTTAATGACATATGCTAATTTTCTTTAACCGTAACTGATTGAGACAGGAATAATATTGAACGCGAGACTATGCTTAAAGAACTAAAATTAATTTAATGTGCGGCATATACAAACATGAGTTCATAACACAAATATTTATGAGTTGTCAAGAGTCAGAAGCACCCAAAAAATATGTCACCTGATTACAGTAGTTCAACAATAATATTAATAATATAATATACTAAAATATAGTAACTGTTGTTCTTTATATTCACTGCGAGGTACGATGGAGTCAACATATATTATCCTTATTGGATCCAAACTTCACCAAACTTAGTACTATTCAAACTACTAGTTCAATATAAGACTTTGTTTATTTTAAATTCCCTAAACATTACAAAAATATCTCTTACTGTTGCCTAGGTTAAACCCTGTAATTTTTTTTTTGGATAATGTATGGAAATGAGAAAAAACGACGTCGAAACTTACCCAGAATGAGGTCTTCGTGTCCTGCCGCCATCTCTGCTGGACTGTTCGAATATACTTTTTGCCACCCAATGTATGGAGAACACCAGTTATTACCTGTCAAGACATTTATTTATAGATATATAATTATGTTTATCATCGTCCGTGTGGTGACGAATTAAGGATACAGAGTGTCACCACCCTTATTCATCCCGTGGGTGTCGTAAAAGCTTACTAAGGGACAACAGCACTGCAAAGTGAAGGAAAACTTGAAACAAACCCTATACCAACCCGTCTAGCCAGCGTGGTATAGTAGGCTTAAACCTCCTTTCTGAGGCCTTTGTCCAGCAGTGGACTATTAAAGGCTGTTGATGTGATGATGTGAATTATGTTTACGGGAATCACCGCGCTCACGGTAGGTATTTAATGCTACCTTTAAATTACCAGACGTTTCGATCAGTAAATAATTTATAATTTGTCCTCATGAGAACTATGTAACTCGTTTAATACGACATGACTCGTAGGAAACCAAGCGGAGAAGCTCAGTCTGGTTTCAGACTTACAAGAACTCCTCGTCCTCAAATTGTCCTTTAAGGAATATATTTGTTTATTTTTTAGACCCGAATAGTCCATCAAGTGCCTTGATATAATATACCCAAACTTTAATTCGTGTTTGCCCCTCCCGTACTAAGTATTATTAAATAAGATTTGTGTGTTAGGGATCACGAATTTTTCTACAATTGTTAACGCTTTATGACATTAACGTAGTCTATTAGACTCCTCCTAAATATGATCTTAAATTATGACCACTCCTATTTTAAAATTCTGTATAACCTTCTCCAACCCAGGCCCCGTATCCACAGTCGAAGTAAAGCGCGTCATAATTAGATATGATGAGCTTGTAGCCTTTCTCCAGAAGCCCCTTGATCTGAGGATCACTGCCGGTGGTCCATACCTAAAAGCAAGTAAAGAATATTGTATTAAAAAGAAAACTGGTTGTCAATAAATCAATTATAATATAGAAATAAATATTTTTTTTAGTCTATTGCAGCTTTGGATTTGAATATGCCACACTGATGCGATCGAGTTATTATTGTATTGTAACAACTTGAAACCTGATCTTGATCCCAAAGTTTTTTTTTTATGGTAGAGGGGGCAGACGAGCAGACGGGTCACCTGATGGAAAGTGACTATCGCCGCCCATGAACGTCTGCAACTCAGGAGTCACAAACGCAAAGTAAAGTAAAGTAAACCTTTGTTGTCTTAAATAGTTACACGGTTATTCATATTATACCCAACATGACATAATCTACATTTACGAAGCTGAGCGAGTACAATGATGATACCCAGACTGCGGTTAAACATAAGATATAAAAATATATATTCATATTAAAGATAAATTACATCCAGACGTAGAAGAAATGGTCGTGTTCGTGTGACACATGTTTGTCCCGAGTGGGGAATCGAACGACCTCTCATTTAGCCGTCAGCATCACTAACCTCTAAACTAAGAGGCCTGTTAAAAAAGAGAACCGAATCCGCGACCCTCGAAAGGCACAGTCGTAGTCAATGCACATTATGCCACACATACTTTTCGAGATCTAAATTTTAAACGCATATTTATAAAAATATCTTACTTGAATAATATAATCTTCATTGCTTAAAAACTGGTCGATATGCGTGTAATCGGTCAGTGTGCTGGTCCATAAAACGAGGGGTAATTTATTGTTGAAAGCCTGAAACAAATATATTATTATTATCGAAAAATAACATTTTTTTTTAAAGACTACTCACGTATTAGGAATATATTCCTGTGTTGTGGGGGACTTTACAAACATACATGAAACGGATACAAAGAACACCAAGACTCAGAACAACAATTTGTGGATCACACAAAGTGTTTCCATGCGGGGATCGAACCCACAACACTCAGCACAGTAGAAAGCGGCGAGGTGACCGCTTAAACCACTACGCCATCCGTGCAGTCAAGTACAGCAGTGCAAATAAATATCACTGCAACTTATGATGAACAAAAAAATAAGAATCTCCTTTTTTGAAGTAGGTTAAAACAAAAGCAGCCGCAAACAACTATTATACACTACTATATTAAAGTAGCAGTCCGGAGATGATAACAGCATCCGTTAACAAACAACGACGCATGCGTCGGCCCTCATACAGGTCAACCATCCTCAACGGAGATTTGGTTTTTAAATTGCAAACATTTACTTTAAAAAAATAGAATATTTAACTGATTGGCAATGAGTAGAACATTAATATATTAACACGTAAAAAAAGGAAACTTCTTTGTATCCTCTTTTAAATAAATATGTCGTACGAAAGCATTAATCATATTTGGATTACTGCATGTTTAGATGTCGAAGTGTAAAAAACTATATTTGCGAAAAAGTTACAAATAATTGTACTACATACAGACATATTCGAAGTGCCTATGTTTGTTAAACGTAATCCAGGTTTATTTACGTTAGCTTCAGATTTATTTAAAAGACGACAGCGAGATGTGCATAGACTTTGTGTGCGTAAAACTAATACTACATTGTTGCGTAAAAGTATTTTCCATATGGTATCCCTTAAATACAATAAACTGCCAAAAACAGTGAGGGAAGCAGACTTTAATATGTTCAAGAAAAAAATAAGTGAATTATTGGTAAGCAAATGCTATTATACTCTCACGGATTATCTAAACGACAAATTACACGATGACATTTAAGCTAATTTATATTATTAAGAGTGTTAGATTAACGTCTCTTTGCGAACAATACTCTTAATTTTCATTAGGCCTCGTTGCTTTGGTTGTAATAACATTTATTAATTATTCATCTGGATGACAATTGACTTACTATTTCCATTTTATAATTGACTATGCTTGTAACTATTATTATGTTTTTTTCTGCCCTATGACATCGTACTTAATTGTTTGTATTGACCTATTTTTTTTGCGTTTTTCTTTTACTCTGCTTGACATAAATATTTTGAATTTACTTAATGTTTTTGCATGCCACTATTCTAGTAAAAAATATTTTGTATCTTCTACTACCCATTTTAACACAATTTGTCACAATATTTTTGCAAATAAATATGATTCTGATACTAAAATCTGTCAGCTATCAGTCAGTAACGCAAAGAATTTATAATTGCAGAATCGTAAGAAAACTTCTGCAAATAGACGAACATATACACAATGCAATAGACAAATAGACCTAATTAACTAACAAGAACTACCAGCGACAGCTGAGAAAGAACAAATTCAACATAAAAACAGTAATGATATACAGGACTATCAATAACTGCTGCGCTCGGTCACCAATACTATTCAGAGCAGACACTACCTTCAGTTATGTAGAAGACGACCAAGAAGAAGAGTACATTTTTAAAATATTTATTTCGACTTGAAATTATTAGCTAAGTTTATGTGTTATACCTTTGTTATTTAACAACCACTTTAAAGGTTTTTTTCTTATTTAGTTAAAACTAGTTTCAGATCAACAATTTTTACCAATTTTTCTACAGAGTTTAATAAGCTACACTCTAACATCAAATCTAACATTATTTGGAAAAACAAATCAGTTTTTTTCGTAATGTTGTTCCAATTACTTTCAAAATGGAAATATCACGTCAGTCCAAGTACAATAAGTTCCGTATTTAGTGCGATCATCAAACCACTACTTGCAGTCTAATAGAGCGCTTCTCTTACCTTATATGCTCTGTCAGCAGCCTTTTTCTGGAAGTAGTTCCAGAGTTTCAAGAAACTATATTTGTCGAGGTCCCAGCGGTTTTGGATCATGAAATTCTTGATTTCCTCCGAAGTGTTCCAGCAACGTTCACTCACTTCATCGCCTCCCATGTGGAATATATCTGTGTCGAATGCGTCTGAAAAGTACCAAGTTTACAAAATCTCTGTTAGTGCGATAATGGGGTTAATTCTTTTTTTTAACGCATCTACTATTAAAAACTTCTATCGCTACCGGCCATGAACAGTACGACGACGGTAAAGAGAGTTCGTCTTTAACGACTGCAGTGAGGATAATCAAAACCGAGTAGATCCAGACGGAACGGAATTCCCTCCTTGTGACCGTGCAAGTACAAGTACCTTCCTAAGCAGTAGCGCCCGGAAATAACCTGACTCAGTCGGAAAGGTAGGGTGAAGTGCCCCCTTCCTGCCGACTAATGACCGGCTGGAGTCTCCAGGAGAGTCGGCCAACAAGCCAATTTGACTGGGCAAGGGATCTCACGTCACTCGCGTACCTCGAAAGGGGGGTGACTGCCATTACACACCCAGAATTTTAAGAAATAACATTTGAAAAATTAAAAAGATTTTTTTGTAAGGCTATTTTATCCTCTATTAGTGAAAAGTTTTTCTTTTTCCTTGCAAATTAAATAAAACGCATTTGTAAATACTACAATTATGTTATACTTTTGTTTGATGAAATAAAGCAAAACGTTTAGTCACTTATTCATTGTGTTGGTTCGGTTTCTTTATAAAAGAAAAACATTGTGAGAGGAACCATGAAAATGAAGGAAAATGCAGCAAATCATCAACACCAAAGTACCGTAAATTGTGTAATACGTAATGTAACAACAAATGTAACACTTACCAGCCATATCCTGGTATATATCTTCCAGGTGATCGTATAGTTCCTCCTTTGTCGGGTTCAACTGGCCGCAAGGTGGCTCAACGCAGTAGCTACTCCATGGTTCAGCCTGAAGATTTACACATCAATATAGGTATACAACATAATGTACAATAATAATTACAATATATCGAAGGATTTTTTTTTTTTCAAACTGTCGAAGATTTAAAAAAATTAGGAATACCTATGCGAGATTTTGACGGTTAAGCTATTTAGTAAATTTACTTATATTGGATTTTATTATTATTATTATGAAATTATAATTATGCCTAGGTAATTGTTAATAATAATAAAAGTATTTTTATGTGAAAGCACCAACACTTTTTGTCTTAAAAATACATACAGCTGAACAGGAGGATCTATACCTCCTCTTTTCTTGAAGTGGGTTAATGAAATAGCCAGACAGATAACATCTTTACATAGTATAAAATAAAGTCGCTTTTTTGTGTTGTACGCTCAGATCTTTGAAACTAAGCAACGGATTTTAATAACGGATTAACCAATAGAGAGAGTGATTCAAGAGGAAGGTTTATATGTACAAATGTATGTTTATATGTGTAAATATTTGAAATTTTCGGCTTTATTTATTTATTTATTTATTTTTTTAGGGATAACAACAGCTGCAATTCTTAACTAGGTAGTAAACTATGATTACATGAGTAGCCAATAAAAGTTATCCACGGTAGATACATAGAGTGGATGAATATGCTAACAACAATACATAATATTAAAACTGATTGGTAAACCTTGAAAAGATGGGTGAATAGATGTAAAATATGAAATATAATAAATAACTGAAATAAATAACACATACTAATATATATAAATATGGGAGAAAAATTTAATTGAATAAATACATTAAATTTTTTTATATCATCTAGAAACCTATAAATCCAGCCATTCAGTGCAATGATGTTGACATTTTAGAAAGCCTATGATGATAGTAATTTATAGGCTTTTCTCTACTATAATATATAATACTAGAGAAACACCGAAAATTTGTCGTAAAAAACAAGTTTTTGTGCGCTTACATTTAAAATGCTGGCTAAACCTTACGAGATGGACCAAAATAATGTACTGCCACTGCATATCTTAAAAAGATCTACAAATAAGTTTGCAATGGTATATACCTATCTCCTAAGGATAACCCACAGTAACCATTTTTATCTCTTAATTATTACAAAAAAATAATGAGTTATTTACGAAGCTTTTTTAAACAATACTTTTTTATTCCTTATCAAATATAAATACGATAAACATCTTGTACATTTAATGTACATTAAAATTTCTCTTTATAGCATATCATTAAAATGAATATTTCAAAAGATATCATCATCATCATCAACAGCCTTTAATAGTCCACTACTGGACATAAGCCTCTCCTGAGAAAGGAGGTAAAAAAAAGAAAAAAGATATTAGAGGTGTAAAATGCGGGTGTAAAGAGAGATGTGTGAGGTGTAAAGTGTAAACTACGCAGGACAACAACACTGCAAAAGAAGAAAAACTTGACACAAACCCTATACCCGTCTGGCCAGCGTGGTATAGTAGGCCAAAACCTCCTTTCTAAGGAGAGGCCTATGTCCAGCAGTGGACTATTAAAGGCGACCGCCGAGCCGTACGACAGTCCCGGGTGGCGGCGGTCGATAGGATCGGAGCGGGCCTATACATATTGCATTTAAAGATGTCCTGTGGTGTCCTTGCATTATAATAGTATAATTAATTACTTCACACTGAAACCACATTAGCAGTATCTATATTGCACCCGTGTGAAGTCGCGGCGGATCGCTAGTTACACTATTAAAAAGCTTGCTAATGACGACAAAATTATTAATACAGTTGTATAATTTCAGAATTAATATATACTAAAAAGAAACAAACCGAAGAAACATTCAATTGAAAAAAAATATTTAGATGAAGAATAAATTGCTGGAAAAATAGTATGAGATGTCTCTAACGAGCGAAGGTTAGCTCAATTTACATAATTTTTTCGGAGATAAATTTGCAAACATTTTTAAAGAGAAAACTTTACATTTAAATTATGAATATTTAACTCTGCTCTTAATACCGAGATGCGCATAGCAACAACAAGTCATTGACTTACTCTGATTGGAAGTCAATGACTTGTACACAACTGCAAATAACTGTATTTTATTTCACATCACATCATCAACAGCCTTTAATAGTCAACTGCTGGACATAGGCCTCCTCTCCTTAGAAAGGAGGATATGGCCTACTGTACCACGTTAGCCAGACGGGTTGGTATGTGTGGTTTTAGTCGGTCCGATCACGACACACCACCCCGCCGTAAACCCCGGTGGGGTAAGGGCCGAAGGGGTTTCCACACGTAAAAAAAAGGGTTTAAATTATTCGTGTGCAAGTGTAAACAAAAGACTGAGTTCGAAAATGTGCTCTCGCGCTTTCAAGTTCTGAGATCCGTTAAGTCAAATATCAAGCGAATATTTAGCTTATCAATAAAAAGTAGAAAGTACAATACCTTGAAGCAGACAGTGAGGCCGGTGTCCTGCCAGCCCTCGCCCACGTGCGCCGGCGCGTCGAGCTCGGGCACCACGCGCACGCCGCGCACCCGCGCGTACTCCACCACCTCCCTTATAGCGTCCTTTGTGTACACCTGCAGAAGGTCACGGTATATTTCTTTAGAACTTGAGAATGGCTGAACGAATTTCAATAAGGAAAGAACAATTGGAAGAAACGCTTGGATACTGCACTGTTCGATGAACACTGAAAGTGGTCTTTGAAGAAATAATCATTTTATTTTTATTTAATTATTTTTGCACTTAATGCATTACAACTTGGACTTAACGCCACATGGCATTATCTACGTGACTGGTAAGACTGGCTCCTTAAGATAAATAATAACAATAATCTTTATTTCCCAAAAATATGATTGTAGGTTTTAGAAGTGTAGGATACATGTAGTTTTATATACTTAATACAATAAAAATGGGTGTAGTACTATCCATCCAATAAGCTACAGATTAGACTGTGATAATGCGGTACAGCGCCGATCCCCGTTACAGAAAATAGTAGTGGTTTATGGTAGAAATTAAGATTAAAACATTAAAAAATGTCTTGACTAGTAATATGTGACAAAATTCACAAGTTGAGGTGGGAATACGCTCTATTCTTGAAGGTTTGAAGGTCGTATCGTATACCGCACATCCATTGCTGGCCCATTTGCTAGTATAACATTCAAACTCTACATAAATTAACGCCGTGTACGGCGAACACAATAAAAGTAACACATAAGAGAATGGTCAGCAAATAATTTAAAAAAAATACCTTGGCAGGAGAGTAAGCTCCAAGTTTATATAAGTCGGGTCTTCTTGAGGACTCGAACGGAAAGCTTTGTGTGTCCGTGATATGCCAGTGGAAACTGTTCAGCTTCACAGCTGCCATTGCATCTAGTAACAAGAGACAGGAGATTTAGTTATTATGTGGCAGTAATATAAATATTATCGCTAAACATCTCCACAGAGACGGAGACGAGAGAGAGAGAGAGAGACTTCTTGATGTTAAGGTTCCTAAAAAAAAAAACATTATAACAAGAAATTGTTTCCGTAACTTGCAAGCTTATAACAATCTACTGTTAGTTGCACATAAAGCATGATATACGTATTAATGAATTGTACACAATATCAATGTGTACAAATATTTTTTGTAAATCTGTAATCCTTATGTTAATGCATCATCTATAGGTTGACTGGCTGAAAGTGCCTAAGACATTAAATCCGTCTCTGTACTGCAAGCGCATACATTTTTAAAATAAACAAATAACCAACACTTATAAAGCACAAAGTTCCTGTTTTATTCAATACATAAAAATAATTGAAACAAAGTACTTTAGGGGGTACACTTGGCCTTGATAAGAAGCCTTATGCATTTATAAATGCCTGAATAGTGCCTACTGAAGCCTAATATTATTTAATATGTACAAGCGATGTGTTTTACTTTGTTATTCTTTACCTTTATTGTTCTTTTTCTTTTATGTATGTACACAGAAACTCACGCTTAAAAAACACTATTAGTCACGTGATTTAATTTTGCTTTTACTAAAACTCAAAATATCTTTATTTCTTAAATTTGTTTAAAATTGTTTGAAATCGTTTGTTTATGTTGACTCTAAAGTCATAGGTCAACACACAATATAGCAACAATCTCTGTTTTGTCAAATATTTAGTAAAAGGAAGTTAATCCATTATATGCCTGTGCCGATCTACAACCGCCCGTTTTCAAGGGTTGAGCCTTATGATAAGAAAGGGCCATCAAATTCACAGCCACTCTTTTTTAATTACAGCTAGATACAGATCGCATCATTAAATTTAAAACAACATTGTTTTGATTGTATATGCCCATGTTGTGGAGATGCAATTTAGGTATTTTTTTTACGTGTGGAAACCTCCTCGGGCCGTCACCTCACCGGGGTTTACGGCGAGGTGGTGTGTCGGAATTGGACCGACTAAAACCACACGGTGTGCCACTCTGCGCCTGTAATAGGAGGGATCCGGGAATGCAATTTAAATCTAATCTAGCTATAAACTTTATTTCTTTAATATTTAAACAATTGTAACTTGGTTTTGTGTATTAAATAAATAACAAGGAAAGCGTGGCACTCACCTATGGTCTCCTTGATGGAATCGATCGAGTAGAAGTTCCTCGCCGTGTCTAGGAGGATACCTCGGTACGGGTACTGAGGTTTATCGCTGATAGACACATCTCGAACAATCTAGAACAAAAAATATTACACATAGTAGTGAAATTAAGTAATAACGGCATAATTAAATAAAAAAAAAGGTTTTTTAGAGAATAAAACGCCAACCAGCAGTTGGGTCATCTGATCCTAACTATATTACGCGTTTGTAACATTATCTATACAAATAAATAAAATTGGAGTGTCTGTTTGTAATATTAAAATAACCGCTTTTTACTAAATGCATATGTATGTTTACACGGTACATATGACAAAATAACATTTTTTTCAATTTTTGTCTGTCTGTCTGTTTGTGCCGGGTAATCTCTGGAACAGCTGGACCGATTTCGACGGCAGATAGCTGATCACATAAGGAGTAACTTAGCCTACTTTTTTTAGACTAGCTTCGCCCCGCGGCGTTGCCCGCGGTTATAACAACAAACGCGGGTAACACCGCGGGTCTGCATCGATGAGAAATGAGACACAACACTGAAGCGAAAAAGAGATAAAAACAATAGTTGAAGTAGTATATAGTACTAGCTGGTAGAGACTTCGTTGGCGTAGAATTCGAAAAGCGCTGCCTTAGTAAGTTCGATTCCCGGACCAGTCAAAATTTTTAGGGGTATTTCCGAGAGGAAAAATAGCCTACGTTACTCCTTATATAGACAGCTACCTGGTAGTAAAATGTTATGAAAATCGATCAAACCGTTTAGAAGATTACCCGGAACAAATAGACAGCCAGAGAAATTTTTTTTTAACTGTGTGAACATCAAAATATCTATTATTTTGACTTTACAAAAAGACACTTCAATTTTATTTATTTGTATAGAAGACTAGCTGTACCCTGCCAAGCTACGCTATGGCACATTGTGATTGCATTCATAAAAAATGAGGCACAACACTGAAAAAAGAGATCAAATAGTTGAAGTAGTATATAGTGGAATATCGTGTCAAAATTTGAACTCAATCGATGCAGAACTTTCTGTCTTCTTGAAGTGTACACAAACCAACTTAACATTTTTATATTATACTAGCTGAGACCCGCGGTGTTACCCGCGTTTGTTGTTATAACCGCGGGCAACGCCGTGGGGCGAAGCTAGTCTAAAAAAAGTAGACTAAGTTACTCCTTATGTGATCAGCTATCTGCCAGTGAAAGTCCCGTCGAAATCGGTCCAGCCGTTCCAGAGATTACCCGACACAAACAGACAGACAGACAAAATTGAAAAAAATGTTATTTTGTCATATGTACCGTGTAAACATACATATGAATTTAGTAAAAAGCGGTTATTTTGATATTACAAACAGACACTCCAATTATATTTATTTGTATAGACTACCCGTACCCCGCAACGCTCCGCTGAAACACATTGAAGTTGCAGTGATGAGATTGCATTAAAAACCACCCTTGAAGCGGTTTGAACATCGTATAAAAGAGATCAATCGGTGCAGAACATTTTGACTTTTTGAAGTAGGTACACTAATCAACTTAAAATTTATATACATTTTACTGAACGATTTGGCAAAAATAAAGGAATTTTACGCCCATAATGCGTAAAATTCCTTACGCATTATGGGCGTAAGGATTTCCACAATCCAGCATACAATTTTAAATCTACTTGACTGCTAAGACATCCGCATTAAAAATTTAAAAATGAATACTACTCCTATCAGTTTTGCATGGCCTCTATAGAACCGAGGATCTGTACATAATAAATATGTAAAAAAGACCTTGACGCAACCGTACTATTTTCTATTGAAACCGAAACGGACAATATAGAAACTGACCTTGCTCTATCTGTCTGTCTAGTTCGAACATTCGACATAATCTACTATTTAAAATCTGAAGGGTTATTTTTTGTTTGTTTGGTTGAACGTATTCATCTCAGGAACTACTGGTCTGAATTGAACAATTATTTTAGTGTTAGACAGCTCATTTATTGAGAAAGGCTATATATTATCACGCTACGACTACGAGTAATAGAATAAGATTATAGACAACTAGCTGACCCGGCAAACGTTGTATTGCAAAACAAAAAAAAATTAGGGATGGGTCACCCTTACCATTTAGGGGTATGAAAAATAGATGTTGGCCGATTCTCAGACCTACCCGATGTGCACACAAAATTTCATGAGAATCGGTCAAGCCGTTTCGGAGGAGTACGGGAACGAACATATAAGATGAAAAATGTGAGAGATACACGTTGTTCAATCAGTAGGTTATAAATAATTCAAAACAGGTATATTCGTACCTGTTTTGAATTATTTGTGATCACCTATCTCCAATGAGCACAGCCAAGGCTGTCGTAAGAATGACACGCTGCTGATTCACACAGGATGAAGGAATGAGATAATCGATATGTACTATTAAAATGATTTTTATATTTTTGAAATATAAATGAATCATCAACAGCCTTTAACAGTCAGCTGCTGGACATAAGCCTCTCCTTAGAAAGGAGGTTTTGGCCTACTATACCACGCTGGCCAGACGGGTTGGTATAGGGTTTGTGTCAAGTTTTCCTGCTCTCTGCAGCGCTGTTGTTCTGCGTAGTACTTTCCCTTAGTCGGCTCTTACGACACCCACGGGATGAGTAGGGGTGGTAACACTCTGTATTCTTAATCCGTCGCCACACGGACTATAAATGAATAAACTATTTGAACTCAATATTTTATTCGGAACTTGCTGTACGCTTACCTGTGGCACATTGTGGTTGCATTGATGAGAAATCTATACTAATATTATAAAGCTGAAGAATTTGTTTGTTTGTTTGTTTGAATTCGATTTGAAAAATTCTTTCAGTGTTAGATAGCCCATTTATGGAGGAAGGCTATAGGCTATGTATCATCACGCTAAGAGCAATAGGAGCGGAGCACCAATGAAGAATGTTTCAAAAACGGAGAAAATGTATTACTATTGAGAGACGCAGACGAAGTTGCGCGGGTCAGCTAGTAGGGAATAAAACTGATACGAAAAATAAATAAACACAATCTTTGAAGCGGGTTGTATATTGACGACCGGATGGCGTAGTGGTTGGTGTAACGGACTGCTATTACAATGGTCGCGGGTTCGATTCCCGCTCAAGTCAAACATTTGTGTTCATGAACATTTAATGTTTGATTTGATCTGGGTGTTTCTATGTATAATAAGTATGTATTTACAAAAAAAAATATGTATAGTTCAAGCACTGCTTAGTTTGGGACTAGACGGCGTTGTAGGAATGAGGTAAAAAAAAGAAAATTGCGTCAAAATTTGAGCTCAATCAGTTTCAATTCGACGGGCCTGTTGGTCTAGTGGTTAGTGACTGACTGCTAAGCCGGAGGTTGTGGGTTCGATTCCCACCCAGGACAAATATTGTGTGATGAGCACGGTCATTTGTTCTGTGTCTGGGTGTAATTTATCTATATTATGTATGTATTTAAAAATATATAAGTATATTTATCAGCAGTCTGGTTACCATAACACAGGCTCTGTCTAGTTTGGGATCAGACGGCCGTGTGTGAGATGTGTGAGATATATATTATTATTATAATTTCAATCTCAATCACAGAACGTAACAGAAGCGTACATAAACCAACTTGTCATTTTTATTTTTATACATTCTTTTATTTTCATGTCCTACTTAAGACATTGATAAAATCAAATGAAATCACAATTATTTCATATAATGACCTTAGAGCCGTTTTTTAAAGTACATTCTTATCAATTAATCTGATACCGTCGTGTTTAATCTAAACGTTAACGCTTGCAAGACCAGTCTGACTATCTCTATATAAATGGCAGATCACGAACAAAGAAATTAGGTTTGTGACACAATTTACAGTTTACATGATGAGCAAAATATAGATTGTACGAATATAGAGTCGCGACAATTGAAATCTTAAATGAAAACTCTGAAATCTAGCTAATAACCAATCGGCAACATATAAAAACAAATTCTCTTTTTAGTTTCGTTCTATTTTCGGTCTGGCAACTTTTGCTCGTCTCTGTTACGTCACGACAAGTTTAAACCAAAATGTGTTAATTGGAAAAAAAAAACACTTCAGGGTCTCAATTCTGCTATTTTATGTTAACTTCAAGCCACTGACATTCCATTGACACGCTATTGAGATGCAATTAAGATGGCATTGTAATCGGTCAAAATATCAGTATTCTACCAACATCAATTCACAGTGTCAATAGACTGTCGCTATAGTAATATAGGTCATCAATGGTGATATCAACAACATTGCCATACCTGGAAAATAAAATATATCATTTTCTTACAAAGAACAATGGCAGAAACATATTTACCTAAAACTTAAGCGTTTAAAAAATCGAGTCACAGTAAACTTAATCAATTTTTTTTCTATGATTTATCATTACACCACCATGTGTTGTATAAGTCTCATAAGAGATAAGATATTTTTGAAGATTTTATTTGACCTAAGTACGTAATGTCAGATTCGCCATCACGTATAACTGACTAGGGATGCGTGTTGGCAATATTATATTATGGAACAATTTATCGATAATCGATTCTTATAGCTTTGGCTGAAATATTTACCGAAGGTTCACCTATTATGATTATGAATTTGCTTCTGCCCACGTCTACACTCGTACGGTAGAGTGACTGAATCAACATAATTAGAAATGATTTAAAATATTTTTGACTCTCTTTAAACGATTTTAAACACACTAAAGAAATAGAATACAGTTACGTTATTTTCCACTACACAGTGTGATGAGAAAAATACATTGTCATTGATAACGGCACATAAATAGACATACATCGATATTTTCAAAATGTCGATACGTCGTCGTTTAGTACATATCTCTTAATCTGTGGTTTAGATCCTGTCAAGTTCCGGACTCACCACGTTTGTTATTTTATTTTTGTTTAATTTAGTGTTAAACTCGAATAGATGTTATGCTTTAATTTTTTTTATTTCATATACTGTAATAATAATGAAAATAATATTTTCGGCTATCTGACACACAACGCCATCTAGTTTCAAACAAAACATTAACAATATGTTAGTACTTAACCTCGAAACATTCAAAATCCAATATCTTTTTTCCTAGACTTCTTTCGCAAGTAATTTTGATATGAGAATGGTCAAGAATAAATTCTCAAGTGTTAAGGATTTTTTGATATTTAAACGCTAACATTTCAGTTCAAATAAAATTATGTATGGGGACCTGCCATTGTCCTTTAAAATCTACCGTTTACCAAACTATCACAAAGACATCGTCGATATTTGTATCAGTGACAAGTCATAGAGAGGCCATTGGTCTTACATAGTTAGGAGAATAGGAAAAGTGCAAAACTATTTCGACGACATTCCTTCGACAGTCTATTGATACAATATTAAAATGGCAGAATTGAGGCCCTGAACGGGTTTCTTTCAGATAAATAACTCAGTAGTAGATTTACCTGCTTTAACAAATATTATTTTAAAAACTAAAATCTAATTATTTAAGTTACAGATCCCGTTTTTCCTATGTCTATACTAGTCCACTTACGATCTACATTTAAAAAAACTTGACCAGCGTTTAGGCAATAAATAATGACCTATTTAAAAACAAACTCTAATTTATTCAAATAACCGGTAACCCTCAAAATGTTATGCCGGCCAACTGGTCTTGTCATCAATAGCGTTAAGACTTTCGTGAATCCAATAGTCTGATAAGAGACATTTAAAAGAGACCTGTATGTCGTTATTGTCATGGGCGATGGGCAAATTGAAAATTAATTCTCATCAAATTTTAATAGAATTATTAGGTACCTAAATCAACTTCTTCATGCACACAAATAAATTAAATATATCATTTTGGTACTACAGAAATAAGGGAAAGTGCGATGCATATCTTTCTGTCAAGACAATGCAAGCATGACCAACTTTCACTGAGGTAACTGACGTCAGCATAATAATATATAACTAGTTAATTTCTGTATAATAAATAATTACAATATTACTTTGCTATTTAAGCTATGAAATAGATACTGAGACTCTCAAATGTATAAGTTTTTATTTCAAAAGTATAAAACCTTAGAGTATTAATAACCACCCGCATCATGCTAAACAGTGCATTCCTTGCAGTGCACGAATGATCTATGAAACTAATCACACATATCACATATAAACAGATGTTTAAAGAGAAATCTATGTATAAAGAAATAAAGTTAGAAGACTGGTACGTGGTATCATATATCACAGATCCAGAAAAAGTCTTAAAAAAACCACACAAAGGCTTAATGACAATAAGTTTATCGACCTTAAAATAAAGCCGCTCAGCAACCTCCTTGATACTGAATTTGTTATGCAAAAATCATGGACTAATAGTGTGTCAACGAACGCAACCGGTTCGGTCATAAGAACATGGAACTTGTTTGCCTCGCTTGCAATGACAATGGCCTAGCCCTGCAAGCCAAAGGAGTTTGTAATCACTATCATGATACAATTAGTTCCTTGTAACATTTCAAGTTTAAGCTACGCTGGTTAGATACCTGCCAACATCAAGTTTAATTCGAACGTTGAACTATAATTTTCTTTTATTTTGACATTTTGCGATTAATTTCCCATTAAAATAATTAATGCATTATTATTTATAAACATTTACAATGTACATAATCGTATTGTAAAAGGAAAACATCTCAGCATGATGTAGACCAAGGCGCAATAAAAATGTCATGTCAATGGGCTTTCATCTGTGTGTGTGTTTCAATGTAATAACTTTACTAAATTAAGATAAACTCAAATAAGTATTTCACGTTTATGTTTATGATGCATACTCAGAAGCAAAGCTGGTTACGTTGTTATCCTTTTCAACTTTATCTAACGAATATGAACTTAAAATTCTAATCTTCTCATCACAAGTATATTATTTTATCATTTTAGTGGCTAGAGAGCATTGCAATATCGACAGTTGCCGCAATCAGACGGTCAATAAAGTACCTTGTGCCAGTACATCTACGTGACATTAATAATTCATTAGCTGTCTGATATGCCATGCCACTAGGAATTTTACCCAAACATTATGCAACGTTTTAAGCAGCAGAGAGCAACAGAGCAGCAGTTACATCTTATGTAAGTGTAGCAAGTTACTCCAAATCATCAATCAATCATACTCAAGATGTTATCACGTCACCACCCCTATTCATCCCGTGAGTGTCGTAAGAGTCGACTAAGGGAGCATACTACGCAGGACAACAGCACTGCAAAGAGAAGGAAAACTTGACACAAACTCTATACCAACCCGCCTGGACGAGTCAGCGTGGTATAATAGTAGAGGCTTATGTCCAACAGACTATTAAAGTCTGTTGATGTGATGATGCGTGTGAGATTCAACAGTAATAAACTGAAGCTTTTTTAGAGGTCCATAGGTATATTTGTCAACTGACTTCATAAAAGGAGAAGGTTCTGAATAGAGAATCGAACGAAAATTGACGAACCGATTCGGACAATTCTTTTTTAATTGAGAGAGAGTTAAAGTTATTTTTTGGTCCCATTGCAAATTTTAAAAAAAACGCTCTTTGATTAATTATTCAGAAATGAAAGATACTGAATATTATAATGCGATGTATGTGCATTTTTATCAGCCCATTAAATGGTATTCATTTAATAGTCCGTGTATAAAAATATTTTTAAATACTTTCATGTGAGTTACGTAAGAATTTCAAAGATATACAGTACATTAATGTATTGCACGTACACAGAGACAAACACAGAGTCACTTTCGCATTGGCATAGTAGGAATAATTAGAATATTGGTTTTAAAATCAAAAAGTTCTTACCAGCATATTATTTCTAATATCATCATACACGATGAGTTGGGCGAGCGTCTCCAGACCATGTCTCACACCGAAGAAGGAACCGCCGCTGATGGTAGCATTGATTGTGTCGCTCGATACTGGGGACACGTGGACGGAGTAGCTTTCGTCCATGTCCAGGAAGAACTCTGGATAAATAAAACCAATGAATAGCAAAAGCTGTTACGCAATCCAGAGAAAAAATATGAAACTCAACTTCAATAAGTGATACTCGTAATTACAAAAAGGTATAGGACAGGTTTTAGACCTGATAAGGGGCCCTGTTCCAAGAAGTGAAACGTTCTACCGCGTCTCTTTCATAAACTATTACAGATATTCAAGTCATACAAATTCGTTCATAAGAGAAGCTTCAGGGTATAGGTGATGGACGCGTTAAATCTTTTAAATACAGTCAATTAATTACATAGATGTAGTAACTGCTGCACCTCCATCGCGCAATTAAAGTTCAAAACGTCGATTAGCCAGATCAAGCATAACAATATAGCGTGGCGGAAGGACTAGGCCAACATCACATCTTATATATAAAATTCTCGTGTCACAATGTTCGTTCCCGTACTCCTCCGAAATGGCTTGTCCGATTCTCATGAAATTTTGTGTGCACATCGGGTAGGTCTGAGAATCGGCCAACATCTATTTTTCATACCCCTAAATGGTAAGGGTGACCCATCCCTATTTTTTTTTGTTTTGCAATACAACGTTTGCCGGGTCAGCTAGTAAACTTATAAAAAGATAAATCATACCTCTAACATCAGGATTCCCGTTCAGTAAATACACGTGCAGCGATTTTCCACTCGCCTTAGGAGTGATACCTTTAGGCATCGACGTTGAAATTATTCTTTTAAATCTCTGTAGACAATAAAATTAATATATTACTACTAAGTACAGTATTGCATAAGTACAGTCGAACTTGTATAAGACATAAATACGAAACGAACGGTATTTTTTTAGTGCGTCTTCTCTTTTTGTAATATAGAAACTTTTTTTTTTTTTTTTTTATAAAAGACAACTCCCGCATTAGGAATATATTCCTGTGTCGCGAGGACTTCACAAACATACATGAAAGGACACAAAGAACACCCAGACTCAGAACAACAATTTGTGGATCACACAGAGTGTCATATCCCATGCGGGGTTTGAACCCACAACTCTCGGCGTAGTACGCCATCCGTGCAGGCACTGTCTGTTAAAATATTACGAATCATAACTATAAGTTTATATTAATGTACAACTACTAGTGATAACCTGGTATTTTTAAGCTCTAAAACACAAAAGACTCCCTTCTTGAGACGGAAAATCGTTTGACATTACTGAGCTAGCTATGTAAATATATGCTTTAAGCTATGAATTTTGAGACGGAAAATCGTTTGACATTACTGAGCTAGCTATGTACATATATGCTTTAAGCTATAAATCAATTTTTGGTGCTTTGTATTTGTATTGCAGTTTTTATTGTACAGTCACACATTAAAATAACATACTATTCTATTTCTAATTTGGATATATTTATACAACTCACTTTTCTGTACTTAAAACCCAATGAATGACCTAAGGTGATTCATTTATTATGCAGTAAGTGATTGAAATAACAATGATATATATTTTTAGATTTATTAACACAAAAAACAAAAACCCTCACAACCTTATTGACGTCATTCTGACCCACAGACCCAAATTTATTTTAATTACTACCAAATTTAAGGATTCCAAACGTAGATTGGTTACAATTAAATATTAATTAATGCAAACTTACATCTCCAGCCTCCTTCATGAGGTCGCTGGACCGACCCTCCTTCATCGACTTAATCTGAATATTGTTGATGTTGATCTTTGACAAAAAGTTGCCAAGATCCACCTTGCCCGTCGGTCTTGGCCAGAGTACGCCTGTGGGTAGAAAACACAATATTTTTAAATAATAATATCTTTACACATCAGCCATCTGATCCCGAACTAGGCAGAGTCTGTACTATGGTTACTAGACCGCTGAACAACACACTTACCAATATATCTGTAAATAAATGGCTACATATTATAGATAAATTACAACCAGGCATAGAACTCCGCCGTCTCCTTCTGCGTGCAAGTCATGCTTGCGAAGGAGATGGCGGAGCGGGACCGGAAGAGGTTTAGAACTCTCCCGGCCCGCCAGACCCGGGAGCGGGCCAGGTACCGTGGACGACTCGGGCGCCGGAGGTCGCAGAACGACCTCCGTCCTCCATAGGCGCAGGCCTGGGGGTGACAGGTGAGGCCATCTGTCACCCTAGCAGAAGCAGGCCGAGGTGGCGGCGAGACAAGGGTATTACAAATCTTAGACTTGGTAACGGGACTGACACTCTATTAATTCGAAGAGCACGGGGACTAGACATGGGACAAAATCACAGTGAACTGTGATTTATCATTCGATTATTGCGTAGGTAGGTAGATTAGACGCTATTTAACATGAAATCTAGTTTATTTTTATCAATATGTAGGGGATGGTAACTATATATAATAAATAAATTCCTAGATTTACTATTGAATAGGCGAAATAGGGTCTTAATGCATCGTCTGAAAGCAGCTTATTGGCAACAACGGGTGAGTAATTAGTAACCCAGAACTATGTACGAAAAAAACGAATGATAAATCACCGATCATTCACAGTTCACTGTGATTTTGGCCCATGTCTACGGGAACTTAATAGTAAATCTATCACATACATATATAAATTACTTTAGTTATTTGTATGAAATTAAAAAAAAATAGTATTCATCATTCTCATACTGAACCAATTGACGGGATGGTTAGTTTAGTGGTTAGTGACCCTGACTGCTAAGCCGGAGGTTGTTCGATTCCCACGCAGAACAAATAGTTGTGTGATGAGTCGTATTTGTTCTGTGTTTGGGTGTCATTTATCTATGATATGGTATTTATTTATGTGCAATAGAATAGGCGTATGTCCTGCAGTCTATGTCCACCAGAATGAGCTAGGCTGATGATAACGATGTTAGTTAGAAATAATAAAGAAAAATAAATAAATAATTGGGATTAGATAGGCCTGTGTGAGATTTTATCATTATTATCATTTTTTGCAAAAAATATATACCTAGGTACATATTAGACAGATTATTATTGCAGGTCTCTAATAAAAACAATATCGATGCATAAAAAAACAAAACAATATAGTTAGTAGTACCTACTTGTCTTTTTTTTAATGTTACAGCATTTTTGTAAAGATATCCCCAAATGCGACAGGAATAAATTGGTACTCAAAATCAATCAATCTAACCAATTTTATTTTTAGTTTTTGGGTCGTGTTGAGTCTGCATAATAAATAATCGATTTTATCAAGTAAAACACTTAAAACATGTAGTTTAGTGCTGGATCGTTTGCCAAAAATCGATTAAATTAAATTCGTTATTTGAATACTAAACGAAAATCGAGAGAGAAATCATTAAATAAATTGTTGTTGTTTTGTGTCTTTTGTAAAGGATCGAATGAGTCCCAAGTTTTATTGGGTCAAAATCCAGGTAGTTTCAACATCAAACAAAATGAGATGTTTAAAATATTTGAAATCGATGATATTTTCATTAAGGTTAAGCTAAAAGGAATAAGCATATTTTAGTCAGAAAATAAGAAGAAAACTTTATTAACTGGTTTTGGGCCCCAGGTAATATTTTTTTGAATGTACCTAAACAGATGTTAATATTTGATAAAATCTATGACTAATCTGGAAAATTACAGCCTAAAACATAATCTGCCAGTTGTCCATAACGCAGAAATAAATATGGCAGGTCCAAAAACGCAGACGGAGAATAGAATAAACTTTATTTTACACTAATTATTTAACAATATATAGGCATAATAAAAAAAATATATGTACAATGGCCGTCCTTTTTGCTAAAAGTAATCTCTTACAGGCAACCTTTGGATGGAGAAGTCGACAGTTCCCAAAGAAACAAGGGGAAGTCTAGGTGTGGTAAAACTTACAGTAGTGTTAAAATAATATATAAATATAGGCATACATACAATCATATACATACATACACACACACATATATAGAGATATTTACACACACATAAATATACAATATATATCAATAACCATGTAATCAGCTTAGTTCATAGAACCTTGTACAGCTATTGAGAGCAAAGAAGTAGTCACTTATTTTGTGTAACATGTGACATTTCATGTAGTATAATAATATGTCTGTCTGTTATCATTGGTTCTCCCTTTTCTTGCAAGACACTTCTACCCTCTTTCACGAAACCACTCTTACAGGTTGCAGAAAAGCGAAGAAAAGCGTTATGTTACGATTACGCGCTTGGCAAGTCTCGACAAGAGTCCTCAAACAAAGGCGTATAGACGTCGTGTTTAGCTTGGCTTGCGTGAGCTTGTCGTTTTTGAACACAGATCAAAAGGAAGCTTACGCCAAGCGCTTGCAATGTATTTTTATGTTGGCGTGTGTTTAGTGTATCTGTTTATATTTTCAATAAAAATATTTCAAGTCAAACGCAAAAGCCGATTCGGAACAGCAGACGTGTAAATGGCATCCAATCGTTTGTAAACGCTACGAGATTGTGGACATTTGTCAAGCCTGAGCAAGCGTGTAGACTAGGCATTTCTCATCAAGAAGTCTACAACGCCATGATTTTACGCTCTTTTCTGATAGATTTTTGTTTTTTTATTCAAACTATTTTATCTGGACACTGAGCCTTAATTAAGCCAATTAAGTGCCAATGTATTTCATGTTAAGGTCGTTAACTAAAACGGATTAAAAGGGCATACAAAAATAAACTTATGTTACCTTTGAATTATCGCGTTCCTTCTGTGACCACGGCCATTTCAAAGGTATGTACTTAATACCTAGCATATACATAACTTCATGAACCTATTATTATGAAAATCAGGTTATTATCTCTATCTTTACTCCTTATCAATGACCCAACATCAGACAAAGACAGAACAGCTTATTTAAAACAAGATAGTATTTATCTATTGTTAAAATAGGGTCATGGCACTCCAATATTATTGGTGCCCGCATTACCTACTTCCATTGTTAGTGATCATAATGACATATTTGACACACTAACTTTTAAATGTTCTCGTTTCGGGATAATTATAATTATGTACAAGGGCGTTTATATATTTTACTAGCATTTGCCCGCGGCTCCGCCCACGTGTATGTCGGTTATCGCGGTAAAAAGCCTATGTTACTCGCTGATAATGTAGCTTTCTGTTGGTGAAAGAATTTTTAAAATCGGTTTAGTGGTTTAGACGTGAAAGCGTAACAAACAAACTCACTTTCACATTTACAATATAAGTATGGATAACCGTGGGAGAGCCATTCGCCACAAATAGGCCGGAGTAATACCACAGCCTCACAGAAAATCGGTGTTGGCAAATCTTTTCTTTGCTTTTCACCCAAACCCAAAAAGGGGTTGGGCTCCTCTGATTCTAGTAAGAGGACTCAACGCACTTGTGCAGTAGTCAATTCATCAACATCGTCATCAACAGCCTATACTAGTCCACTGCTGGACATAGGCCTCTCCTTAGAAAGGAGGTTTTGGCCTACTACACCACGCTGGTCAGACGGGTTGGTATAGGGTTTGTGTCATGTTTACCTTCTCTCTGCTGTTGTCCTGCGAAGTTTGCTTCTTTGGTCGCCTTTTACGACACACGACAGATATTATATTTACATAGTCTAAAATGAAGTCGCTATTTGTTTCTGTACGCTTACGTCTATCAAACTTCGCAACGGATTTTATTGCGGTTTTCACCAATAGAGAGAGTGATTCAAGAGGAAGGTTTATATGTATAATACATGCATATAATAGTATAGAAAATCCGCGAATGTCAAAGATTTTAAAAGTGATGTCGTAAAAAACATGTTTTGCTACGCTAACATTGCAAACACTGCCTGGTTAAACTGGGAATAGTATTTTCTTAAAAATATCTACAAATAAGTTCTAAGGATAACCCACAGTTACCTTTTTTTTCTTTTTCATATTCTATTTCACAAAAATAATGCGTTATTTACGAAGCTATTTTAAACAATACAGTATTATTCCTTATCCAATTACAGGTAATTTTGATCATTAAATACTGTGTGTACTGTTTGTGACAGTAGTATCTACATTGCACCCGTACGAAGCCTAGATCACTAGTCAGGTATAACATAAAATTCAAATAAATATCATGATAATTTGATGGTTTCATATTTCGTTCGACACCGCGACACAGTGATTCATCGTTTTGTAAATCAGAAACTCGTTCTTTTTGTATTATGATGACATATCATATATTATGCATATATTATTGGCTATTATTATTTATCTACAATCTAAAATATAAACGTAAAGAATACTGTTATACCTTCTGTTAGTGTAAACCTGTATTATTTACGTATTAAAAGTTTGACCACCTTGAAAATATCCGTGAGAGCTAAAATTACAGTATTCGTTATTTATTAAATTTTTAAATAAAATAAATAGCAACACACACAAACTCCCACCAACACACACACACACATACGTGCATGCACATAAATACATACACATAAATAGGTACTTTTTTTCTTATTCTTAAAATAACTAATATTTTAAGTTCATTATTATTTTAAATCTTTATACGCATCCGTGACAGCTTTGTTAATCAATTTCGTTTGTTGTATGTATGTGTTGTGGGTGTTTTGTTTCTTCCTCTTTTCTTTTTTATAGACAACTCCCGCACTAATCGAATAAAACCTGGGTCACGGGGGATTTCAAACTATACGGAGAAACCCCAGACTAAGAACAACAATTTGTGGATCACACAAAGTGTTGTCTCATGTTGATCGAACCCACAACACTCAACGCAGCAAGAGGCGGCGAGGAGACCGCTTAAAAAACTAACTACGTCATCCGTGGAGTAAACATTGTTGAACAAAACTAGTAATTACTACATCTGTTAGTATATAAGAACCAATATTTTTCTATAATTTTAACACAAAAATATAATTTTTACTAAAGAAGAACTAAGAAACAAAAGAATAGACGCTTCACTTGATGGCTACATTCGCCTTACCCACTAGATGAAAAAAAAAAAGGTTTTTTTTCCGCACTTTCTTACTAGTTTTCTGTGAAATCGTTATATCACTACAGTCGAGCCGTCCGAGATAAGACGAAGCATGTCTCTCCCACAGCTTTAACACTTTACCAGCTTACAAAATTAACTCCACTTGTTCTTAAAATAGAACACCAAAGCCTCTTTAGCTCCAAATATAACGCAATAAAGATATAGCTTCATATTGGCCGCTAAATAATGCTCTTCTTTTAATTACATACACTTTTACGTAAACTTATTCTTTATTATCAACTGACTAACTAGCTAACATTACTGTACCTATATTATTATCTACATTGTCTATGTCCATCCGGAATAACATACAATTAAATGGTCCATAGTGTCGATAATACGATAAACATTAAATAAATAGAAACATTTATTTAATTTTAACGTATTTAAAATACTCGTATATAGATCTATTTCTTAGCGTTCCATGGATTCACCGTGCGGGTGCGGGGACCATCGTGTGAAAGATGTGGGCAACACATGCGACTTCGACAGCGCCCGAGACTTGCGACCCAGGTATGGGCTTAGGGAGCACTCCTAGCGACGCGTCAGCGCTCACCTCCACTGTCTGCTGTGTTACCCCCTTTACTTAACCGTATTTGACTAACGCCGACCGGCACACGCGGACGTCGCCTAAATAGAGCGACGCTGGGTCCAACCAGATTAGGCAAAAGTTGCCCAAAAGCAGACGCAGCGCCGACCAGCTTTGGAGCAACTTGAAACAAACCCTTTTTTTTTTTTTTTACGTGTGGAAATCCCCTCGGACCGTCACCCCGCCGGGGCTCTCGTTCGGCGGGGCGGTGTGTCGGACTCGAACCGACTAAAACCACACGGTGTGCCCTCTTTGCGCTTCCAGTTTAGGAGGGGTCCAGGTAGCTATCTCCTTCTGGACCCCTCCCAGCGCCGGCCCGCTCCTGGTGCGGGCTCCGTCTCTGATCTTTCCTCTCTTTAGGCGACGTCCGGCACACGCGGACGCCGCCCCCTTGCGGCTGGCCAACTAATGCGGGTGGAGGGGAGAACCCATCCCGTCCACCCGCGGCCACACTCAGGGCGGCATGAGGCGCAGGTAAGCGCGCCTCCGCCGCCCGGTTCGCCGGCGGCGGATCAGGTCCGAGGGGAGGTCGTCCTCCCGGGCCTTCTCCGCCGCCTCCTTCTGCGAGATTACCTCCTCGCAGAAGGTTGCGACCGCGGTAAAACAACTGTCGCTACCGGCCATGGAGCGAATTACGGCCGGTAGCGAGAGATCTGCTCCGATGACTGCAGTGAGGGCCCGGCGCTGCGTCGCCCATGCGGGGCAAACCGCCAGCGTGTGCTGGGCCGAATCCTCACTGCAGTCGCAGTGGTGGCAGGCGGGACTCGATTCCCTCCTAGCGACCGAGTACAGGTACTTTCCGAAGCAACCGTGCCCGGAAAGCACCTGCGTCAGCCGGAAGGAAAGGGTCCCGTGCTGCCGCCCTGCCCACTCGGCGATGACCGGCTGGAGAGCCTCCACGGCGGCGAAGCCAGCGCGTGGAGTCTCCAGCCGGAACGACCATCTCACCATGGTGGCTCGGCGAGCGGCTTCGCGCCACTCGCGCACGTCTTCGGGCGGAGGGCGAAATCCGCTCTCCGCCCGGAAGTCAGCCACTCGCCGATAAACTTCGGCGAGCACTTCCGCCTCCAAATCCCACGGGGGTGTTCCGGCCAAGGCACAGGCCGCCTCGGTGGACACCGTGCGGTATCCGCGTATGGCTCTGACCGCCAATATCCTCTGGGGGCGCCAGAGGCGCGCCCTATTCGGGGCGGTCAGAGCCGCCACCCACACCGGTGCACCATACAGCGCCATGGACCGGACAACCCCTGCGTACAGCCGCCTCGTGGGAACACTGGCCCCGCCCAAATTGGGCAAAAGTCGCCCTAGGGCGGAGGCAGTGTCCACCAGCTTCGGACCAAGCTGTCGGAAGTGCTCGTCGAAGAGCCACCTACCGTCTAGGACCAGACCCAGGTACCTCATCTGGGCCCGGACCGGTACGAGGACCGAGCCGACCTCGATTGAGGCGCCGGCGGGCGGACCACGACGGGGCCCATGAAATAATAGGGCCTCCGTCTTATCCAGGGCCACCCGCAAACCCAACGCCTCAATGCGCCCGACCACCAGGGGGACTCCCGTGGCGGCCAGGCGCGCCGCCTTCTGGAAGTTAGCCCCCCGGGCCGTGAGCAAGGTGTCATCCGCGTAGCAGATTACACCCAGCCCGGGGGGGAGACGCCCTCGTAGGGCCCAGTCGTACCCGATGTTCCACAGGAGAGGTCCTAGGACAGACCCCTGCGGAACACCGCACGACATGGCCCTGCGTCTCAAGACGCCATCTCGGTCCTCGTACATGACGGTTCGCTCCTCAAGATAGTCTGCCACCAGCCGCCTCAGGTACTCCGGCACTCCGTGGTAGCGGAGCGCTTCCCTGATGCAGCTGAATGGCAGACTATTGAAGGCGTTGGCGATGTCCAAGGACACCGCCAACACCACTCCGCCGCAGCTCACGGCCTCCTCGGTCACGGCCCTAAGGCGCATCACGGCATCGATCGTCGAACGCCCCTCTCGGAAACCGAATTGGGCGTCCGACAGATCGGGGCCAACCTCGCAGAGGTGCCGGACGATGCGGGCAGAGAGCACCCTCTCGAAAAGTTTACCCGCCTCGTCCAGCAACACGATAGGCCTATAGGCCGCGACCGAATCGGTAGGCCGTCCCGGCTTCCTCAGCAGGACCAGCTTCCCGCACTTCCAGCGCTCAGGGAAGCGTCCGGACGCCAGGCTAGCGTCCAACACTTCCCTGAGGTGGTCCGACATGTAGTCGAGGGCTCGGGCCATCACTCGGGCTGGAACCCCGTCCGGCCCGGGGGCAGTGTTCTTGGATCTAATCCGTAGAACAGCCGCCCCCAACTCCGATTCCCTGACGGGCGGAACCTCAGCCTCGCTGCCCCCGTCGTCTCCGGCTGATGCAGCCATCGACGGGGGTAACTTGAAACAAACCCTATACCAACCCGTCTGGCCAGCGTGGTATAGTAGGCCAAAACGAGAAAGGAGAGTCTTAGAAAGGGGGTTTTGGCCTAATAGTCTGCAGTTCTAATAATCCACTGCTTCTGTCTATGTCCAGCAGTGGACTATTATTGGCTTATGGCGCTTATGATGACGAAATGCATTTTAACACAAATATATTTTTATTAAAGAAATGAACCATGTGATATTCTCTTAACCGCTAGACATTTTTCATACAGAACAGTAGACTTAGAAGCAACAAGCAACAATTAGAAGCATGATGAAGATGATACTGTATACTATACAGGAAATATTAGTGTAGAGGATAAGAGATCCTACAGTGTATTGTGCCACTCTACCTATGCTTCGATACAAAAAAAAACGTTTGTAATACTCTCTAATTTATTACATACCATATTCATTGCAGAACATCTTGCACGCCTCCAGACAAAGCACAGGATCTGTGTTCTGGCCGTCATTTCGTGTCTTCACACAGTTGCCATCTTCACAAGACCACCTCCAGGGTGATGTTTGTTCGCCATTTATCAAGCTAAAATAAAACATAAGATTATTTTAATATTTAGTCCAAGGTCACAGTCATTTATGATGACACAAAGATACATAACTAATGAAAAATCGATAAAAAAATCAATGGAAAACTATCCATTTTACCTCTAATACTCTACCTACCTAACTAGGTAAGTGGAGAATATTCCAGAGACTATAGACTGAGAAAACTAAAATAAGAGACGTCTAAAAAGATTATAGATCTTTTTTATGGTTTTGATTTCGTCATCATCATCATCATCAACAGCCTTTAACAGTCCACTGCTGGACATAGGCCTCCCCTTAGAAAGGAGGTTTTGGTCTACTATACCACGCTGGTCAGACGAGTTGGTATAGCGTTTGTTTCAAGTTTTCCTTCTCTTTGCCGTGCTGTTGTCCTGCGTAGTTTGCTCCCTTAGTAGTCTCTTACGACACCAACGGGATGAATAGATGGTGACACTCAGTATTCTTAATCCGTCACCACAAGGACATGGTTTTGATTTACCAACCAAAAACTAAAAGGATAGGTTTTGACAAAAGATATGATGTTACTTCACTCAATTTTATTTTAGTTTACTAAATATAGATTATACTAGATACCGCAGTTACTAGAATAAATAATAATTAATTTAATGTAATTGCTATTATCAACAGGTACAGTTTTGTTTGATTAACTACATAACAGACGATCATACTTCATTTTAAATTATGATTCCGAATCATTTAGAAATCATCACATCGACGGTGGGAAGAAAAACCAAATAAACCGCCACTTTGATCGAAAATGAGCCTTATATTATGCTACTGAACCCGACAGACGTTTTCCCTGTACACACCAACACACCAACAGCCTTTAACAGGCCTCTCCTTAGAAAGGAGGTTTTGGCCTACTATACTATGTTGGCCTTAATCGAAAAAAAAATCATTTTATAGTGGACCGAATTGTGAATTGAAACCATTCTCGAATCCACTTCAGCACACGCAAAAAATCATTTAAATCGGTGCAACCGTTTAGATGAAGTTTAGTCACATACAGACTCACAGAAGAATCTATACAAATAAATAAAATTGAAGTGTCTGTTTGCAATGTCAAAATTATAGGTTTCTTTCATGCTTACACGGTTATTTGCACGATACCTATGCCTAAAAACCAGTTTAATTTTTTTTTGTCTGTCTGTATATCTGTTTGTCCCGGGTAATCTTCTAAACGGCTAGACCAATTTCGATAATATTTTACTACTAGCTAGCTACTAGCTGTCTACATAAGGAATAACTTAGGCTATTTTTTCTCTCAGAACTTAACATATACATATCTGTATATAGGTTATGTAAAGAGTTCCCAGCTAGGCATTAGGATTAGGATTATTAACACGAGAGGAGCGTTATATTAACTCATCTCATAAATCCCCGATACAATTGGAAATAAGTAGCAAAGGACGTACCCGATTAAATTAATAGAATAATACCATCAAGCTGCCCACGTACTTCAGATAATATTTATTTCATGGTTTGTTGTTGGTTTTAAATTTCTATTAAAACTTATAACTCTAGCTTCCACTATTTGACAAACCAAGTTAGTATAAACCCTGATCTACGATAAACTGTTCTACATATTTCATTTACTACTAGCTGAGACCCGCGGTGTTACCCGCGTTTGTTGTTATAACCGCGGGCAACGCCGCGGGGCGAAGCTAGTCTAAAAAAAGTAGCCTAAGTTACTCCTTATGTCATCAGCTATCTGCCAGTGAAAGTCTCGTCGAAATCGGTCCAGCCGTTCCAGAGATTACCCGGAACAAACAGACAGACAGACAGACAAAAATTGTAAGAAATGTTATTTTGGCATATGTACCGTGTAAACATACATATGCATTTAGTAAAAAGCGGTTGTTTTAATATTACAAACAGACACTCCAATTTTAATTATTTGTATAGATTATTATTATTATTATTATTATTTGCTTCCTGCGTTTTTAGTCACATTTCATCATCATTCGTGTTAGTTTTGTACACTATGTGTGAGAAATTAAATTTTCTTCAAAATTTTTGGTAATTTTTAAATTTTAAAGTGAAAACTTCTATAGGCGCGTTAGGCATTTTTGAAAAAAAAACAAAAGAATGTATTTTTTGAAATGAAAAAAAACTGTGACACTATTAGCGTTACCGACACCTCTGTATATAGGTATCTATATATATTGGCCCCATTTACAGGAGAGTTGAGTTTGGGTTTAAATACATTGATAATATAACGTACAACATTGATATATAGTAATGTCGGAACTTGTCGGAACGAAAAAAAAAGAAATTTTTTCCTGTTACAATAAAAAAAAAAACAAGTTTCCACTTCTGTCGGCACTCCGGGAGTTCCAGAGTTTTTTTTTTCAAATAAACATTTATTGTTTTGCTTTACACTTAGTTTGATTTGAAAAAAAAAACAAAACGAAAGGAAACTCAAGACCGGTTTTCTGTAAGGCCTTGGTATAACAGTTAATAAAAATAACTTTAAGTTGCAATTTGTTGCTACTTTAGGTTACATTATTGCTGCGAATGGATGACGTCATAGTCGCAAAAATGCGATCGGGCCGCAACACAACATATTATAAGGATTGGCCCGACAGGCGGGAGAAGCCCACAACTTCCCCGGGATAGGGCTTTACTAGGCGCGGCGTCGATCCGGGGAAGACCTGAATTAACATGGTCCGGGTCCTCCTTGGAGTAGGTCCCGCCTGAGTTAGGCCGTCGATGTGGTTTTTAGTGGAAACACCACATACTCCTGGCTCCTACATCCCCAAGGAACCGGAGATCCGAAAGGATTTTCCACACCGTCGTAAAAAAAAATGTTACATTATTACAATTTTCGTAGGGAACTGATTTTTTTATATGTAGCTTTCAATAGGTGAGTAGTATTTCAGTTTTCTCTTTATAATACCTTTTTTTTTTCCGTGCGGAAATCCCCTCGGATACCACCTGTCGGTGGCATGTCGGACTCGAACCGACTAAAACCGCACGCCGTCTCGGGTACTAATAGCCGGGGAACCAGGTATACCCTAGAAAGGAAGTCCCTGGTGCTCTCTTTATAATACCTGATGGTTTAGTGTATGATTTGAAGTTGAATACGGTGCCGCGTTGATTGAACATGAGAATATCCATACTATCCATACTAATATTATCAATGCGAAGGCGTGTCTGTCTGTATATCTGTTACCTCTTCAAGCTTAAACCGCTAAACCGATTTAAATGAAATTTGGTAAAGAGATAGTCCGAGTCCCGGTAGTTTTTATCCCAGAAATCATCCTTTAAGGGCGGTTGAAAGTTTGTATGGGGGAGATATTTTGATTGGAGAACGAGATAGGCCACTTTTTACTGCGTTAATAGACATTTACGCGGGCGGAGCCGCGAGCAAAAGCTAGTATACTTATATGTGTGTGTCATCAACAGTTATAATAATACATGACCTTGATAAACATATTTGTTAAAATTAATTAGTGTATTTGGTGGAATATGTAGCAACTACTATCTGTGCGGAAGTGAAGTGCGAGTTACCCTTTCCTCCATCTGTACAATTATATCGCCAGCAAGCAAATTGTTATAATTTGCTTGCACTATAAATACTTATAATATATTTTACAAGCTGACCTGCGCTAGTTCATCTGCGTCTCTCAAAAGGAATTTTCCTCGCCTTTTTACACGCTTTATATTAGCTTCACTTGTATGTTTGTTTGTATGTTTGTAACCGACTCCTTTGGGCGTGATTTTCACTGACTTTAAACGGTCAGAATTCGTTCAAACTCTGTAGATATATCGAGGACCGATGACAATACACTAATTTAAAAAAAAAATAGTTTTAAAAAACTAAAGGCGGTGCTTTTTACTATTGACAACAGGCACCCAACGCTTTTTCCATATTTATTTTCTGTTTTTTTGGTTTGGTTTTCTATAGAAAGCGTGCTTTTTAGTTTTTTTAAACTAGAATTTTTTTGCAACGTTTTTCATTGATGCTCTGCTCCTATTGGTCGTAGCGTGATGTTATATAGCCTGTATAGCCTTCCTCGATAAATGGGTTATCTAATCCTAAAACAATTGTTCAATTCGAACCTGCAATTCCTGAGATTAGACGTTCAACCAACAAACAAAATAACTCTTCAGCTTTATAATATATACATACTACCTATAGACATACTAGCTCATAAACATACAAATGGCCTAAATTTTTTTTTTTTCGTAATCTTCTTTTAAAACCCTTTATTTTAATACTTCACTGGACATAAATATTTGATTGGAACGAACGTTTCTTATAGTGCGATACACGCGCGAAAAATGAGAAACAAAACTGACGTGACAAATATGTAGTTTTTTTGTAATTCGTGTCAAATCTGGAGCTGTTGTTCATTGAGGCAGAAATTTAAAGAAATAAATATAATGACAGTGGCAAGTCAATATATTTATGAAAATGTAATATATGTTCACAAAAATAAAGATAGCTTTTTGAAAAAAAGTGATGTACATGCCATAAATACCAGAAATAAAAATAAATTTGTTGTACCCGCCTCTAGGCTCCAAAAGATAAACAAGTCTTTTCGAGGTCAATGTGTCCGATTTTATAATAAAATCCCAAATAATATTCAGGAGTTGAGTATTAACAAATTTAAATCCGCAATAAAACGTGGCTTGTGCCAGAGGGCCTACTACTCGATTGTGGATTACATGGAGGACAAGAATGCTTGGGATTAATTAGCGCAGGCTATTTCTTTCTTAAGTAAAAATGTGGTGTGGCTAGTATGTTTTTTATTATTTTTTCTATTTTTTATGTTTCACTTCATTTTCTCTTGTATTCGTTTGTTCTTCTTAATCTTGTTTTCTCTTCGTTGTTTTTTCACCTTTAAGTCCTTAATAACGGACATACTAGCACACATCAAAACAATGTTGTGATATATTTAATAGTGCCATTGTATCTACTTGTGAATTGCAAAAGAGTGGCCATGAGTTTGTTTGCCCTTTCTTCTCATAAGGCTCAACCCCTTGGAAACGGGCGGTTGTAGATCGGCACAGGCATATCATAGATTTTGTATGGGTTTGATTTTGTAAAATTTATTTGGTTACTATTTGACAAAACAGAGATTGTTGCTTTTGTGTGTGTTGATCTATGACTTTAGAGTCTACATGGAAGACGATTTCAAACAATTTTGAAAATTTTATGAAATAAAGAAAGTTTGAGTTTGAGTTTGAGTTGAGTTTGAGAATCGGTGCAGTTTTTTTTTGGTTTTAGAAGGCCACACCAAGCAACTTAACATTTTTATATACGAGTATGTATGGATGAATTTAATTCAAAAATAATTACCATTTTTCTAAATTGATTCAGACGTTTACCTATTACGAGTAGTTCCGAATTTGTTTGCTCTGTCTTCTCATAAGGCTCAACCCCTTAGAAATGGGCGGTTGTAGATCGGCACAGGCATATAATAGATTTTCGATAAGTTTAATTTTATTATTTTTATTTTGCCAAATATTTGATAAACCAGAAATTGTTGCTATTGTTTGTTTTGATCTATGACTTTAGAGTCTACATAAGAGTTTGAGTTTGAGGAACATAGGGCTGGAAATAGATATCCAACAAACTTATAACCTTACTTTTGGCATTGGCCAAATATATATCGCAAAGATATTGTTACATAATTAGTATTAATTACAAACATAAACACTTACCATAGTGATAATAAACCTACGTTTAGGATGTAGAAGAAAAAATTCTGTTGCCACATCATCTGTAACAAAAAAGAACTATTAGGATTCTATATTATCTGTACACAATCATCTATCTAGATAAGCTGTTGATAAAGAAATAAAAAATATTTAAACAATTTGCAACTTTAAATAAATTACGAAATATATTAATACTTTTATCATAAATGTGAAAGTAAGTTTGTTTCGCTTTCAAGCCTGAACCACTAAACCGATTTCAAAAATTATTTTACCAACGGAAATCTACATTATTATCAGCGAGTAACATTAGCTACTTTTTACCGCGATAACCGACAAACACGCGGGCAAAAGCTAGTATTTAATAATTCTAACAGTAATAGAGAAATCATAGACATAAATCGAACAGCTTGAAACTTTTTCCTATTTCAAACTTTAGACAAAGGACCAATCGAACGTGATTTTGCAACTGAACAATAAAATATACTGTACATACAATCTCACGCTATATCGTGAACGTGAAAAGTAAAAGGCAATCGAATGTAGGCTGTCCAATAACTTATAAAAATATATGCAATAAAAATCTCTAGCATGCACGTACAATACCCATCATTTTAAGCAATTTTAAAAATATAATATGTCACACGTGTTTTTTTAGTCGTGAGAATTAAAAAAATAAACAAATCATTTAAATTTAGAACAATTATTTAAATTATGTTGCGCCATCCGACATACTATGCAGCTTTGGGATGTTGAGACTACGAAACAAGCAAAGACAAAGCTCTAATTCAGACAATAGGGTGTCGAAACTGTGACTGCTATTGGCAAGGCTACGATTACTCAATAAATATTATTCAAAAGGTATGGACATTGTGTTTTAGATTTATTTTCTTATATAGAAGTAATAAAACAGTTTTCAGAAATAAAAATATAATTACAACTATTGTTCCATCTACGTCGTCACTTCGTCTACATTACTAGGGCAGTAAGAAAACAATGCCATGGTTATTTGTTACATTAGAATAGAATAATATTTTAAATTAGTAATATGTCCTCCATTTCTGTAGACATTAATATATACAGGATATTATTAAATTAAATGCCGTACCCCAGTATAATTATCGTAAGCCGAACTGTAACAGGCCAAGATATGCCTGGGAATATCGTGATAAGCCTTATCGTTCAACGCTTACGTTTAGCGATTTGCTCGCCGACATTCGCATCTTAATTACGCGACATTAAATTCTCATTACAACACTCTCATTACCTCAATAGCATATCACATCAACAGCTTATAATAGTCCACTGCTGGACATAGGCCTCTCCTTAAAAAGGAGGTTTAGCACATACAATATATTCACATATCAAAACATAAAAACACAAGACAATGTTCTAAGTACCATGAGGCATATTTGTACTTATATCACTTTATCGTTTTAGGCATACCTGAAAACTTGTTTTTTACGACACCTTTAATTTGTTTTTCATATCGATTGTCTTTCTACTACTTTTCGTAGCAATTCAATGTAAGAGAAAAAGAGGCAAAAATACAAGAACTTCCTCCTGCCTCTTTTTCTTTTTCTTTTAAATAGGTAAGCCAGCATCATGTTTTCAGAAAGAGATCACACACAAAGGCACATACATGAAAAAATCACTACCAGCTTCATTTCTACCCGTTATTACTTTTCGATGAAAAAATTTCGTAAATTGCTAATTTTCGACATCAGTTTCCACATTCGAGGTATCATGGACAATAATGTCAATTTGTGTTTGGCCATATAGTATCATAATATAAGCTATCAATAATGATATAAATAGTTTATAGAGATTATGTTTCTTTATGGTGACGACGAGCAGACGGGTTGGATAGTGATAACCGCAGCCCATGGACACCTAGAATATTTGAGAGTTTAAAGGGCCGTTAGAAAATGTTGTATTTGAAAAACCTAAACAACTGGAATGCTATACAATAGTGTAGCCATTAGCATAAAAGTAAATAATATAACCATAAATATTTAATAAATTTATTTAAAAATATCCTGTTAATGACTTAAATTACGATAATTTGTATAATATAAAAATAATGTTAAATACTTATTATAATTATATAACATATGTATATTAATAAAGCTGAACAGTTTGTTTTGTTGAATGCGCTAATCTCAGGAACTACTGTTTCGAATTGAAAAATTATTTTATCGAAGAAGGCTACCTAGGCTAGGGATAACATTACGCTACGACCAGTAATTACCAGTTAATTGATTGTAACCCTACATGCTCCTTTTATATTAAACTGGTAGTGTTACTACGCCCTTACAATTCATACGTAAACTTGAATTAAATAAATAAATCTATAACTGATTTCACATTACGTTACGTCTCTGACGTCTCGACGACAGAGACGCCCCATTTTGTTTCGATGAACGTGTCATACGTCACTTGCCTAATGCCTCCTCCTAAAACACGTGATCACGTTCATACTTAGCAGTGATTAATGATAGCATACCTTACTCGTTCGTTCTAATTTGATATAACTTTTCCCGGCACGGCCGATGCTAACATCGAAGCCCTATAATACGAATTTCATTGGCTTATTAGCCCAGTGATCGTGACTGCTAATCCATAAGCCGTAGGTTCAATTCTCACCCAGGGCAAAACATTGTGTGTTTTTTATGTGCACGTTTGTGTTTTTTTTATTAATTTATATATAACATTATTATTCTGTGAACAGTTTTCCGTGTGGTGACGGATTAAGAATGCGGAGTGTCACCACCCCTATTTATTCCGTGGGCGACACAGGAGCCGACTAAGGGAGCAAACTATGCAGGAAAATAGCACTGCAAAGAGAAGGAAATCTTGACACAAACCCTATACCGACCCGTCGGGCCAGCGTGGCATAGTAGGCTAAGGCGAGAGGCCTATGTCCAGCAATAGACTTTTGATTACGCTGCCTTGTGGGACGCCGTGTGTAGTACAAATTTCGTTGCTCAGATACTTGTCCACCATAACGCTCTGTGTACAATCACTGAGGAAGTCGGTGAATAATTAATTTGGGTTCCCCTAATTCTTATTTGTTCCAGCTTCTCTATTAGGACGGTAAGAGAGACCGTATCGAGTTGCTCGCTTTTTTTTTTGGTGGGTGGGTGTTAAGGACCAGGTACCCAGATACTACATCTGGGTCTGGTCCTTAACGGGAGATGGAATTGAAATAAGAGGACCTCCGTCTTATACAGGACCACCCGTAAGTCCAGCGCCTCAATGCGCCCAATCACTGGAGAGATATCCCTGGTGGCCAGGCGCGCTGCCTCTTGAAACTTCGCCCCCTGGGCTATAACCAAAGGGGTAAATCTACTCGAAGGCCCCAGTCGTACCCTATGTTCCACAGGAGTGTTCCAAGGACAGAGCGACAATTAATAGTGGAGTACCTCCCTGATGAAGCTGAATGCTATTGTCACACCAGCCAGCTCACCGCCTATTTGGCCACGACCCTGGGGCACAGCACACACACACACAACACAGCACCAATGTCCGAAAGCCCGAAAACCAAATTGAGCGTAACCTCGCAGAGAAGCCGGACGCCTCAAACAATTTATAAGCCTCACTCGGGCAGGTATCCCGTCTGGTCGGAGTGCGGTGTTCTTGGAACGGATCCATAGAACAGCCGCCGCTTCCTCCGTATCCATGACCAGTGCAACATCATTCTCCCCGTCGTTTTCGGCCAAAGTAACCATCCACGGGGGCGTGTGTTCCACCCCTTGCGGGAAAAAACCTTTAACCATTTCCTGCAGGAAGCTGGGCTGGAGTCTCCGTAGGGGAAGGGGGACGGGGTCGATACGTAAACAAGAAGGTATTGAATTGTAGAGGTTAGTAGGGGCGGCAAAAATTTAATAGCCTACTGGCGGCAAATATGTAAATCCGCCACTGTTATAAGCAGTTTAGTTACCATAGGCAAAAGTTCTGCCTGGTATAACATGCATGAACTGAAAAGAAACGAGAACAGAGGGACAGACATACATAAAAAAGGATCACTTAATCCTCTTTTTGGCTTAGCTGCATATGAATAAAATTCTAATAACGTGTGTTATGAGAGCCGATATGGTGTTATACCAATTTGGAAGAAACATTTAGAGACAAAAAACCTAAAATAAAAGTTAAATATCTTTAAATTAAAAAAAATTAAAGTCAGTGAAACTATATCCTCTGAAACTAATACTTTCGAAAGTAAAGACAAATTATATTATTGGTATTGCTGATAACTTTTAATCGGGACTATTAAATAGACACATTAACTGGATAGGACTATAACTGCGGTCTTAGAACTGTGTACCTACTGATACATAAGAAATCGATTAACCCTTTAATTTATCTTCAAATAGTATAAAATGAAGTCGCTATTTTTTCTTGTACGCTTTCATCTTTTAAACTACGTAACGGATTTTAATGCAGTTTACACCAATAGAGAGAATGTGCGGGTGTGTATGTATAATACATGCATATTATAGTAGAGGTTAGTATTATAGTAATCTGAGTTTTTCAAAGAGTTGTAATGTGAAGTAATAAAAATATGTTTTTGTGCGCTTACATTGCAAACGCTGGATAAAGCTTACGAGAAAGATCAAAATAATGTGCTATATATGTACAAAGATCTACAAAAAAGTCCGCCATGGTATATGTCTATCTCCTAAGGATTTTTTTTTATCACAGTGCATTTCGGTCATCATTCCGTTAGGTTATACTCATACCATCTAACCATACCATTATAGATTTAGTTTAAGTTAATATAAACTAGGTTGGCTTAACTCTATCTTTTATTTTCCCTATACTGTCACCATAACCCGTACATTTATATTTAAAAAAAAAATGTGTAATTTACGAAGCTATTTTAAACAATACAATAGATATTATTCCTTATCCAATTAAATACGTACGTTGTGCATTTAATGTAGATCCAAATTGCCTTTTAATAGCATATCATTAAAATAAATATCTTAGTACAGGGATTCACAAAGTGGTTGATATCGACCCCTTGGGGTCAAACTCGGTTTCGCAGGGGTCGACATAAACGAAAACTGATTTTTGGGGGACGACTAGGTCTAACAATCGAACCCTAATAATTAAAACAAGTTCTTATTTGAAACTTTGAAGATACTTTATAAGTTGTGTTACGTGTATCAACTTGTTAGAAGAATGACTAATATCTTTGTAGGAAGTATCATTGTTGTTAAAAAAACTCAACAAATCTATAAGCGTTGTTTTGTTTTATTTAAAAATTATCCAAAAAAAAACAATAAAGATACTACAGTGGCTCTGCAACTTAACTGTCATAGTTTTTTTTTAAATAATCGTCAAAAAATTACAAACATTTAACAATGACAAATTTATTTCTTTTTTTAATTATTAACCATCTACTTCGGCCCAGTATATTAAGGTTACTACAATTTTGGTAAATCAAATTATAAAACAGTGTAAAAACTAAACAAAAAAACAGGAAAAAAGAAATAAATTCAGGAGATAAGTTCAAAGAAAATCTATCAGAAACGATGGCCACTACAACCCCTTAAAGTATCTAGGTCGAATTAACCAGTAACCCTGTATTTATAGTACTGAAAAAATGTATCTAATTACCTTATCGTCTTTACTGTATACTTGATAAAATGTAAATGGTTGACTTCTTATAACGCCGACGTGAAAATGTTACACTCAATAAAAAAGCTTATAACATACGTATTTTTGGATGATTAATATAAGAAACCTAAATATGTTCCAACACTACACGATATCCGCTGTTTTGAAATCTATAATTCAATTATAGCTACGTTACATTAAAAAAAACGTTTTCTTTTTGCTATATCTAGACAAACAATGATCTATCTTTAAATCGACGTCATTGTAGGAGAAAATGGTATTTTAAAACTGGTATTTTTAAATTTAGTTAAAACTATCAATCTGTCAGTTACTTGAATAACAGGTTACAAGATTAATCGTTACTTAAGATAAGGTGGAAGACAAGAGCAGATAACGTGAAAAATTCTAAGTGAATATATAAATTCTCGATATATCACATCCACAGCCTTTTATAGTTCACTTCTTTACATAGGCCTCTCCTCAGAAAAGAGGTTTTGGTCTACTATACAACGCTTGCCCGACGGGTTGATTCAGGATTTGTTTTAAGTTTTTTACTTCTCTTCGCAGTGCTGTTGGCCTGCGTAGTTTGCTCCCTTAGTAGGCTCTTACGATACCCACGGGTGAATACATACCGTGCGAATGAATACAAGGGGTGGTATCACTCCGTATTCTTAATCCGTGTCACCACATGGACAATTATCGACACATACAATAAAAATAGAAATTGAAAGTAAATTAAGGCGCTTCATGAGGGTGTAATACACTAGTCTTTATTGGTTTTCAATATGCATACAACGTAATATGGATGAGAACTATACAAAAAAAAACTTAAGTTGCCAAATAAGTTTTTTTTAAAACATTGTTTATAATTCTGAAGTTAGATCTCTAGGTTCCATATCTACAAATTTATGTAATGTATGTTGAATCCTCTTTTTTATTTATATGTAGTTATCTATGAATGTGTTGTACAATAAAGAGTATACCTAATAATTATGTATCTGTGTATTTACGCATGTCAAAGTTCTCGGACTGTGAATGAAAAAAAATACAATAGTACGAAACATGTTCAAGATTCATTTAAACGGATACTATAATTTACTAATTCGCAATAAATAGTCAGGAAATAATAAATAACCACCTATAAGGACCTACTAATGAATTGTTTAGGATGTTGTTGACCTCCCACATGTAAACAATGGATGACAACAAATAACTCAAATGCCAAACATTATGCCGTTTGTCTTCTTTCTTTTTTTTAAATTCGATCGAAACAACTCACAGATGAAGAATGTACTTAGTTTTAAATATTTATAGATCACATACAGATATTACACGATATATTGACAAAAGTAAAAAATTAAATACAGATAAAAAATATATAAATACTTACAAAAGAAACAGATTATAAAAAACCTTTAAAAGTGTATTCGATATTAAAAAAATATATAAATAACAATAACACGAAAGAATCTAATCAACTAATAAATGCGAAATGTATAAATAAAATACGCACCAAAACGTAACGTCCTCGCTGATCCGCGAAGGCAACAACAGTGACATAACGTGCTGTCGGTTGTGAACAAACACCCGGTCGACGCAAAATGTAACCAAAACTTGTTTTTATCGCATTATCCTGAAGCAGGATTTGAAGTCTAGTGCGAATCCATATTTTAAAGTCTTAGTTCATAAAATAATGGCTATTATTTCATTGATATCTTTATTTCTCAATAACTAAAAGAGAAATTTCTTATCTAAGATAGCCTATTTTAAAACCAATACTTATATAAGTGCTATATACCACAATATTTCTAAACCAATTTTACTAATACATACTAATATATCTCTCGTCTCTCCGCCTTGTAAATATAAATCTTACTTTTCATAGAAAAAAATAGATGTCTGAGTGGTCTTTTAGGCCAGTCACTTAAATAAACAATGACTCATACGCTACATAATACTCGTAAGAAGAGCAAATATAACTGGTTTCGGCAACAGTCAAAGACCTTAATAAAGTCATCCCTGATAAACATAATAATAATAATATTCTCCCACATTCACACAACGCCATCTAGTCTCAAACTAAGCAGAGCTTGTACTATGGGTACTAGACAACTGATATAAATACATGTATACTTTTTTTTTGTAAATACATGCATTTTATACATAGAAACACCCAGACCAAATCAAACAATAAATGTTCATGCACACAAATGTTTGACTTGAGCGGGAATCGAACCCGCGACCTTTGGAATAGCAGTCCGTTACACAAACCACTGCGCCATTCGGTCGTCAAACCCTTCCAACAAACGTACATGCGTGTGCGAGTAAAAACATTTTACCCGACTGCGCCTGAGGAGGGTTATCTTAATCGAGTGCATGCATGTATGTATATTTCCTTGGCACGCTCTGTAGCTTAAACGCCTTGATGAATTTAGGCTTAATAAGTATCGTTAGATTCGTCTTAATTATAAGTCATGCTGGGTACATGTAAAATTATAAAAATTACAATCACTTGTTTAATAGTAACCGTTCCGAGAAAAAGGATCGTGAGAGACAGTGTCCTACGGGAGCGTACTTGTATTTCTTGAGTTCCAGGTATCCTTTGGTGGCGATAGTTATTTACCCTTTTTTTCCGTGCGGAAGTCCCCTCGGATACCACCTATCGGTGGCATGTCGGACTCGAACCGACTAAAACCGCACGCCGTCTCGGGTACTAATAGCCGGGGAACCAGGTATACCTTAGAAAGGAAGTCCCTGGTGCCCCGACACCTGTCACCCCCAGGCCTGCGCTTATGGAGGACGGAGGTTGTTCTGCGACCTCCGGCGCTTGAGTCGCCTGCGGTACCTGGCCCGTTCCCGACCCTGGCGGGCCGGGAGAGTCCTAAACCTCTCCCGGTCCCGCTCCGCCGTCTCCTTCGCGAGCATAATTGTTATTTACCCTGTGGTGACCCTTCTGGTTTTTTTACCCTATTCCATAAAAAAAAGACAATGAAGTGATACTATAAATTTCTTTTCTGTTTGAAGAACGGATCCCTATATAAATAAAAAATCCTGAAAATGTGCATGAAAAAGATAATTAAACTGAATTTCTTTACCAATCTCGTTGGCGGTTAGCCTTGATATTGCACCCTCCTCTGGCAGGCGATAAGAGATAAGAGCAGCCCTTGAATATCCACTGGGTGCTACCTGCGAGCCGTCATTGGGGCCTATGTGCGTGACAGGATTTTATCGAAATTTATCGATCGGAAAGGAGTGGAAAATTGAAAGGAGCGGAACCTTGCATAAAACGCGGTACTTCGCACCAGTCTGCCCTCCGGGCCTAAGTATCGTTTGCTGTGTCAACACACTAATACTGGCTAAAAGGTCACACTTCGAGGAGGTGCTTCAGTTCGCCGAGCAGGAGGTGACTTGTGTCGTGGGAAAAAATCGTGAGCTGAGCCTCAGAAAATTAAGGCGATATGGTTCCATGGCGTAAGAATCAGGAAACACCCAGCTCACTCCTCCAGGGTGGTGACGATGAAGTGCAGGTGGGCCGGTACATGAAGTACTTAGGCCCCATCCTGGACAGTCGGTGGAGCTTCAAAGAGCATTTCGAGCGATTGGTTCCGCAGGTGCAGGGGGTAGCGGGTGCGCTGCATCGCCCAGCTGTGCCTCAATCTTGGGGTACGGCAGGGAGGACTCCAGAAGCCGCCGATGCGTTCCTGGAGCTAAGTAGGTTTCCGCTGGGTTTAATGGGTAGACCAGTACTCTGGGAGTCCCACACACCTCCTCCGTTTCCCCAACGGAGGGTATGGTGCAAAAAGCATACCCCTTTTTAAAGGCTAGAGAATATTTTTGATGTATTTTATATGTTCCCACACAATTATGTAACCCGTTGTAGGTATAAACACAGAATATTAATAAAAAATAGTAGAAAGATTCTTATTATAACTTTTATTCATTAAATTGTACTTTGTTTATCTGCATCTTAACCCGATAATTCAATGTAAATATTGCAATCATGCGATAAGTGGCACTTCTGTATAGTACAAATTGCGGTTATGCTATAACTTAAAATGGAAAAAAACTCCAAGCAGATATGTCGATTACCCTGATGAACCCTATTTTTAATTCTTATGTAACAACCAACTCTTCTCATTGACATACTCGTAAAAACTAAATTAATTGGTACCCATGACTACAAGTTATTTAATTCCATAATTAAAATTCGCCTACACTGTCGCGATTAAAAAAGCCGATTATATTTTACGAAGTATGAAATTGATAGCTTGTTTTATTTACTTCGTCAATTTGACGTGAAGAATTTCAAGGCTTTTTTAGTCAATGTGTTGATTCTAGATTTAAGCAAAAAGTACTTACCAGGCATCTCGGCCTTTAAAGTGCTGTCCTCTTTCAAATTGCATAAATGTGTAGCGATCTCACATAAGCTGTTCAAAAGTAAGTGATATGCCTACTTCTTATTAAATAAAAACATGCATGCTTGATATATCAGTTTGTCAAATTAGAACCAAGTCGTGTTGAGTCAACAAAATCTCAGTCTTTTGGAAATGTCCTACAAACGCAAGCCAGATATTTAAAAGCGAGAACTAGTGGTGTTAAGCCTAATATTTAAGAGTACATTGACACTAAGTTGGGGACCTTCACAACTCAAGTACTAGGCGATACCGAAGTTCAGTAGAAAGAAACGGGTAGTTGGAGCTCTAAAAAGTCGAACAACAGAATTGACTTTTTAGTAAAGTATAAGCTGAGATAATATGGTAGCGCCGTAAATTTATTTTGCAATTTTGCATAATGCAACAAAAACTTTGATCAAAGTCTATGATACAAAACACAGATTAAACAGGCTCTTCAAAACATAAAACCATAGAGATATAAGCATAGGGAGAATATGGGGTAAGAGGAAACGATACAGGCAATGAGAGAGATAAATGCCCGATATTTCCCTCTGTCTCTGCTGCGATTTGCTACCTATTAATTCCCCAGCCAACTACAGAGCTCGACTAGAAAGAGATATAGAGGAGTATCTATTATCCATCTCTCTCGTTGCCTATATGGCAAAATTGGGGCTCTGGTTCTGTCTAGGTTATATCTCTAAGCATAAAAAACAAATAAAAAAAATCTAAAAACCTCTGCTTCAGAATGAGTAGGTTGCCGCGAATCTGACATACGTCAACTGTCATACTGACAATTATTAAGTCGAAACGAAACACAGTGAACTGGTTTGAAATACACACATTTGAGTAAACATGATAAAAAATATACTTACTTCTTAGATAAAAATTGAATATATAACTACTCGTTCAATCACAATGGATCCCGCTTTACTACGAGAACGTGAAGCTTTTAAAAAAAAGGCACTTGCTACTCCGAGGTACGTTACATTCTTGTGAACACTGTTAGCTAACTAGCGCGCAGAGAACGCGCTGTCACGCAATTGGGGTACTTTCTCTCGCTCCCTCACGCCTATTCCGGCACGCAATTATTGTAATTAATATTGTGATTACTGGATATTACAATGAGCATGCCTATTACCATTTTATGCTACCTGATACAAAGCTATAACTCAGAAGACAATATTATTATAAATTTATATATTCGTAACTATCTACTAAATGCTGCTGCATTTCTAAATATTACTAAACTCATTAGGTTTCAGCATAACTAAAGTATTAATATTTATGTTTTATATTTCAGCATTGAAAAAAAGAAAACAAGTAAGGATGATTCTCAATTTAAAGATGATAGCAAGAAGTCAAAATCAAAATCATCAAGCTCGGTCAGTGCTGGACCGAAGCTTGATGCCTCAAAGTAAGTTATTGAAAAAAAACATTATAATTTCTATTCATCATCATTATCATCAGCCTATCGCAGTCCAATCAATCAATCAATCAATCAGTTTATTTTTCATCATCATTATCATCAGCCTATCGCAGTCCACTGCTGGACATAGGCCTCTCCCATTGCACCCCACTTAGATCGATTTTGGGCTACTCGCATCCGGCTCCTGCCAGCCATCTTGCGCAAATCGTCACTCCACCTGGCCTTTATTCAATATTCATTACACTGTACAAAAACTAATGTCTATGTCTAATACCTTTAAAAGACAATGCAGTTATATTTGTTTTTCATGTACACATTAAAATAGATTATAGACATGTTTTTGTTGATAAAAAAAAGTTGACTATAATACTAAAAATTAAGATAAATAAAATTTACATTTAGGTCTAGATACATTCTTTCTCATTTTTCAATCATTTTATGGAGTCTACGGTAGTTTACTAGAACTCTAAAATAATTAATAAAAATAGAACATATACATTCATAGATATATAGACTAACTCATTATTATTTTAACACCTCTTTTCAGCTACAAAACTATGACAGGAAGTTCCTCATACCGATTTGGAGTACTTGCACGAATAGTCAGGCACATGAGGGCAAGGCATCAAGAAGGAGATGATCATCCTTTGACCCTTGATGAAGTGTTGGATGAAACTAACCAATTGGATGTTGGAAATAAAGTCAAGCAGGTGATTTGACTAAACATAGACTATTAGGGAAACAAATATTAAGACAGACAATAGTACTAATGATACCTTATCATTTAAATTAATATTTTAGAAGATATTAGAGCTATAAAATATGGGGGCGCAATGACCATCGTAGTCATAAGTCAGGATCGGTTCGGGCCTACAAATATTGCATTTAAAAGTGTCTTGTAGTATTGTTCTATCATAATAATAGTATATTTAATTACTCCACACTGACACCACATTAGTAGTATCTACATTGCACCTGTACGAAGCCGGGGCATATCACTAGTATTGTATATAAAGATGTCCTGTAGTATAGTCCTACCGTAATAATAGTATATTTGATTACTCCACACTGACACCAAATTAGTAGTATCTACATTGCACCCGTACCAAGCCGGGGCGGATCACCAGTATTGTATATAAAGATATCCTGTAGTATAGTCCTACCGTAATAATAGTATAAAAATTACTCCAGACTGACACCACATTAGTAGTATCTACATTGCACCCGTGCAAAGCCGAGTTGGGATGGCCAGTTATTTTATTAATTTGTATAACTAAATACTCTACATAAATAAACTCTTTGCTCAATATTGTTTTGATCACTTTCAGTGGCTACAATCGGAAGCACTTCAAAACAACCCCAAAATAGAATGCACTCCAGATGGAAAATATAATTTTAAGCCTGTATACAAAATTAAAGACAAAAAGTCATTATTACGGTTTGTTTAACAAATAGTATTTTTACTTTTTTATTAAAAAATATATTATGTACTGTAACCGTAATATGTAAGTAAATGACTTTAAAAATTTTAGACTGCTGAAACAACAGGATCTCAAAGGACTTGGTGGCATTTTACTAGAAGATGTTCAGGAATCTTTGCCTCACTGTGAGAGAGCACTCAAGAGCTTAGCACAGGAGATTCTCTATATTAGTAGACCTACAGATAAGAAGAAAATATTATTCTACAATGACAAGACTGCTACTTGTGACGTGAGTTTTTTATTTACAGACATTCATTTAATAACAAAACTATGTTGACACTAAAGCAGTTTTTCTTTTTAGTTGGCTTGAAAAAAGTTAGCTTTTAATCAAATTCTAAATATAAACATAAAAATATTCATCATAACTTACTTTAAAAAAGTTCGTAACACAGTTAGGTTTTTTAATAAGTATAATATGCCATGCAATGCTTCCCATCGTTTCCTAGTGCTTGCTAAAAATTTCCTCACCAGTCCCTTCAACAGTTGAGTGTATGATTCCACATTTGCTTGTAATGCGATTGAAACTAAAAAGATCTGGTAGATTTCACTAAAACACGCTTTAAATTACAAACTAGATGAATTTCTCGAAAATGTCTGTTAGGAGGTATGGGCTATTCATAGAGAATGTTTTTTTATGATTCTTTGCTTCTGCGCCAAGGGATCAAAAAAGATACATTTCTTTCATCCAATAGATTAAAGGTGAATAACTGGTTGTCAAATCCTACTTCTGAATTCATTTCTTCAGTCTGCACGGATAGCGTAGTGGTTTAAGCGGTCGCCACGCCGCTTACTACTACACTGAGTGTTGTGGGTTCAATCCCCACATGGGACCACACTTTGTGTGTTCCACAAATTGTTGTTCTGAGTCTAGGTGTTCTTTGTGTCCGTTTCATGTATGTTTGTAAAGTCCCCCGCGACACAGGATATATTCCTAATGCGGGCGTTGTCTTTTAAAAAAGAAAAAGAAAGATTAAATTCTTTATTTATTTACTTTTTCGTTTGAAGGTCGACGAAGAGTTTGTTAAGTTATGGCGCGCCACCGCTGTGGATGCAATGGATGATGCAAAAATTGAGGAATACTTAGAAAAGCAAGGTATTAAGTCGATGCAAGACCACGGGCCTAGGAAACCTGTGGTACCTAAACGCAAGAAAACGGCACAAAAGAGGAGGCAATTCAAGAAACCGAGAGATAATGAACATTTGGCTGATGTGCTTGAAACTTATGAAGATAATACATTGACCCAGAAGGGTGTTGTATTAAGTAAATAAATGCTTGATTTCCATTTCTATTTTTATTACATGTCTCTCTCTCTCTCTCTCTCTTCAACCTGTGTAATGTACGCCACTCATAGCAATTTGGAGCCACTTCCTTCCTGATATCCTCTTGATGTCATTCGCATCTGTTAGTCGCCACTTGACTTTGCTGTATGTCGGTAGAATAGGAAAATTCGTCAAGTACTCACTATGCTCACCTCTTGTCGTCAGCGTGGCAACTGCGCGTACCTATATACGTTACTCCTAAGCGTCTGGTCGTATTTAGCATTTGTTTCAAAACGTATAGGTACGTACAATGTATGTTTACAAGAACAAGACTATTACTTAGAATATTTAAGAATATCACATCAACAGCCTTCAATAGTCCACTGCTTGACATAGGCCTCTCCTTAGAAAGGAGGTTTGAGCCTACTCTACTACTTTAAGAATATGATTTGAATTATTTTTTAAGTGTTCAAACAACATTCAAATTAGAATTAGACTACTAGTTTTCACTTTTTAGCTGAAAATAAACACATTGAAGTTTGGTTCTACCAATTCAGTATGTATAGCTCAATTCAACTGAAAATATTCATTAGGTACCTACATTCACATCACATCAACAGCCTTTAATAGGCCTCTCCTTAAGAAGGAGAGTTTGGCTTACGCTGACTAGACGGATTGGAATAGGGTTTGTTATAAGTTTTTTTCTCTTTTGTTGTAAGTTGCTCCTTTAGTTGGCTCTTACGACACCCACGGGATAAATAGAGGTGGTGACACTCCGTATTCTTAATCCGTCACCACACGGACTTACCAACATTAGCCTATCTTGTTTTAATTATTGATGTGTAGCATCTTTCTTTTAAGATTGATTTTGTGAAATGGGACGGCAGCGTGTAACAAAAAGCCGAGGAAGCGCGACCTAATTTATTTGACTAATAATTCATTGAACTTGAGTTGATTTAGAGGGTAGGGCTTTTGAAGAAAGGGCCATAGTTTTGAGTCGGCCTGTCCATACAGACGGCATACTGCTGACATCGAAAAGACTTCTTTACTTTTTGTAGTCTGGTGGTTGGTAACACGAGTTTATCTTAACATGAATTACAATATTTGGTTGATTAAACAGACTAATACTATCTAGTTGCAATTACCAAAGTTTATTGACGTCCCTTTTATTTTTTCTGTGCGACACCCGTCGGATACCACCCAGCAATGGGGTGGTTATGTCAGGCTCGAACCGACTAAAAACCACACGCCGTCTCTAGATACCAGTAGCCATGGCTTTACCCTGGAAAAGAAAGTCCTGGTACCCTGACGCACCTCAGGCCATTTAAGGCTTATAGATGACCCCCTCCTGTGTGGGAACCCCGATGTCTCTTCCTGTTTTCGAAGGGCGTGCGCGTTCCGTATCGCCTCACCTGTCACCCTCAGGTCTGCGCTTATGGAGGACAGAGGTCGTTCTGCGACCTCCGGCGCCTGACTCGTCTGCGGTACCTGACCCGTTCCCGTTGGCAATAGCTTTGCCCCGTATTATGTAAGTGGGGATAAAAAAGGGAGTGTACGTCTGTATCTTAATGTATTATTACAGAGTAGCCTAAATAACAGCACTAATCAGTCTTCAGAAAAGAATAAAAATACTGTAAGTAACGTTACGATTATTATTTTAATGTTATGTTATGTACATAAGTTCTGTTAGGTCTAGGACCACCCAATTCGGCCCTGACTGCTGCTAGGTACCAGTTTAAAGTGAGGTAATTGAAATTAAAACACGATGTAACTCCTGAGGGCGTAACTCGTAACGTCTAGTCGTTTAATAGAGTAACCTACTGTGACTTTCGAATTTAAATCCATACTTATATAGTAAATGCGAAAATGAGTATGTTTGTTTGTTACGCTTTCACGTCTGAACCGATTTTAAAAATTCTTTCACCAATGGAAAGCTAGACACACATCTCACACACGGCCGCCTGATCCCAAACTAGGCAGAGCCTGTACTATGGTAAGCAGACTGCTGACAAACATACTTATATATTTCTAAATACATACATATTATAGATAAATTACACTCAGACACAGAACAAATGACCGTGCTCATCACACAATTATTTGTCCTGGGTAGGAATCGAACCCACGACTTCTGGAGTAGCAGTCAGGGTATGTATGGAGTACCTGTTTAATGGCCGACTTTGTTATACTAGTATTATATTCTGTAGTGTCGTTATCTTCATCGGATGATTCCTAGGTTTAAAACTAATTATTTCGGCTGAATTAAATGTAACATCTTAAAGTACAGCGTCCATGGTCCTCCATTATCATTTAATGTTTTATTGTTTTCATATATTCAAATCAACATTATATATGAACAATTTAGCTTTCTTTATTTATTTATTTAGGTTCACCCACAGAGGGTCTCAGTGTGAGTGGCAGAGTGTTAATCGAGCAAAGTTAAGCAACCCTAGCCAGGTCAGTCTATTGATGGGTGACCATTTTTAACACATTGAGACCTCCCTGTGCCTCAAAGCATACTCGTTTTGACACGATATACAACACGCTTCAGTGGCTTCAGAAATGTTTTTTATCTATTTATTGCAACAACAATGTGCTGCAGCGATGCATGGCAGGGTACAGCGAGTAAATAATAATAATCCGAGTGGTGACGGATTAAGAATACGAAGTGTCACTACCCCTAATTATCCCGTGGGTATCGTAAGAGCAAACTACGCAGGGTAACAGCACTGCCAAAAGAAACTTGAATCAAACCCTGTATGGGCAGCAACCTGTCTGACCAACGAGGTATAGTAGGCTGAAACCTCCTTTCTAAAGTGAGGCCTATGTCCAGCAGTGGAATATTAAAGGTTGATGATGATAATCATAAATTTCTGTATCCTTATCGATGTTTAAATTCGAATACGAGTTTATATTCATTCAGTTGAGTAGGGAGGGGGAGGGCGTGTATAGGCTATAACGCTATCACGATACGAGCAATACCAGCCAAGCTTCAATGAGAAATATTCCTAAAAAGGAACAAAATTATGTCTTTAGAGAGACGCAGCTAGTAGATAGCATATAGATTAACATATATAATAACAATAATACTTCGGACATCTAACACACAACGCCATCTAGTTTCAAACTAAGCAGAGCTTGTACTATAAAAGCTAGATTGACTGATGGAATACTTATTTACTTTTAAATAATGTAATGTAAATAATAATAATACATTATTCATCACTTTGATTTATAGTTTTCTCTTATGTTAATTAGATGGTAATTGAAATTTAATAAAAACAAATACATACATATTATACGTAGAAAACACCTAAACAAACAAATATTTGCAGATCATACAAACATTTGGTCCGACTAGGGAATCGAAATCGAAACCTCAGCATAACAGTCGTATACGCTAGCACTGCACCACCACCAATATTATTGATTAATTTATCACAAAAACGTTTTATTTAGTACTTGCTGTTTCAGGAGAAGTACCTACACACAACCATCCATTCCACGACGGCAGAATTTTGAAGAAACTCCGCCTCAATATTATTTTTAAAGCCTTCAATGAAGCCGAAAATCGAGCTGAACAGAAAAGAGCACTGGAAACTGTAGAATTAATACAACGTTCCACAGCTAGTGATGATTCAGAATAAACTTATTATTAAAACCTTATTTTTTAATTGTATATTAATCCCAATCATGTTTTATTAATGTGAATAATTACGTCATTAATTATAAATAATTTACGCGTCTCATACACAGCAGTCTGATCCCAAAATAGGCAGAGAGCCTATGCTATGGTAACCAGACTGCTGAAAAATATACTTAAATATTTCTAAATATGTACTTATTATAGAAAAAATACACAGAACAAATGTTCATGCTCATAACACAATTATTTGTCCTGAGTGGAATTCAAACCCAGCACCTCCAGCGTAATTAACCACAATACCAACAGGCCACACAGAAAAAATATATCAATATGTTCGGAGAAAGCAGCTTCGGTAACATTTGGTAACAAATAGGTTTTGGCGACGCCTTAAAAGTGCACACTTACACTCGCCCGAAGTAAGATGAGGTAAGTGTCAACACCTTTTAGCCTTTTGCCTTTTATTGCCGACACGCTCCGTTATGTAGTCTTGCTAATTTGCTGTTTTTTTGTAAACGAACTAGTGGGATGCCGCTCGTTACGGGTCTTGCGAGGAAGACTTCCAAAAGAGTGGAGCCAGAGCACCGAGGCTCTTTTGAATTGCCTATGTTCATTGATACTTGTCTTGAAGGAAAAAGTAGCGAGAACACATAAGCGGATAAAGGAGTTGTCTAATCATTCAAAAGGTTCAAATAGTCATATGTGTCATCTAGATTGCAGCAACATTTGGGGGCACGTACCCATACTACGAGGGAGTGAAATCTAGCGCTTTTTCAAGTTGTATTCAAATAGGGCAAGCGCTGTATTAATAAAGACAAAAATGACTAAAATTCAATATAATTACTATGTAAAAACTAGAGGAAGGGGGAGGGGCTTCTTGATATATACGAACTGCACGGATGGCGTTGGGTCACCTCGCCGGTCCCTACTGCGCTGAGTGTTGTGGGTCCGATACCCACATGAGACAACACTTTGGGTGATCTACAAATTGTTGTTCTGAGTCTGAGTGTTCTTTGTGTCCGTACGATGAATGATTGGAAAGTCCCCCGCGACACAGAATATATTCCTAACGCGAAAGTTGTCTTAGTAGTCACCGAGGGGCGGCGGGGGGTACAAAATTAAAAACATCGGGTCACGAAATACCACGAACAATACACTGTGTACATAATGTAACGCGCCAAAAAAAGTAAGTATTTAGGTAGGTACTTAGTCGGACCATTTGGAGTTAGTTGACATTTTTGTCAACTAACTCCAAATGGTTAATATCATTGATATATACTTACATAGATGAGTAATTACCGCCTAAAATCGTTGCTACTGCACATCTGTCCACAGGCATATGCGTAGCAAACGTCAATTCAGTGTTCAAAGTGGCGTCAACCGAGTTGAACATAGCGACAAAATGGTTAAATGCGTAGTGAAAGAATGCGATTCAAGGTCAGAAAACCATAATAAATCATGCGGAATTACTTATCACGTGTAAGTTTATGGTTTTTGTATTGATAATATCGTAAATAAGGCTATAATTGAAATAAAACATTGATAATTGTAATTTAGAATCAGTGTTACCATTAAAAAATCATTTTGGTTTTCCCACATTAGTGGGAGAATTTATAATTTATGAAATAATATGCTTTATACTGTGTTTAAACATTTTGCCAATAATAATAAAATATAGGAAGAACGGTTTTTTTAGGGACCCGTTGAACGTTCACCTTCTGCCAAGCTCGCAGTGCTGGAGACTTTTGTACAAAAGAATTAATTCATTGTTTTTCTTAACTAATTATCAATTTTAAATAATAATTGTATAGGATACCTAAAGACGGAGCACGCCGTGAGAAGTGGGTTGAAGTAATTCGATTGCTGAGAAAAGAGACGGATTGGCTACCTACTAAATCCACAGTCATTTGTTCGAAGCACTTCCGGGAGCAAGACAAACTAGTGCAACAAGCTTAATGTTTTATGCTCTATAAATAATAAGGAACATATTGCTATAATAAACAAGTCTTCCTTTGATCGTCATGAAGATATGGATTCGGAAATTCTGCAAGCTACTAAAACAACAGAAACAGATTCATATAAAGATTGGGGCGTGCAAGAAATGAATGATAATTTTTTTACAAATATAACAACACAAGTCGTGGGATATATATCCGGCTATGTTGTTAACAAAGTTGGTAAAGACCTTAAATGTGAAATATGCATCAAAGCTTTACTAGCTACAGAATTTGAGTGGTTTCACAAGCTCATTAGTTTAAAAGATAAAGGAGGATTATGTTATCCATCGAAACATGTATATAAAATATGTATGAGTTGCGAAAGCATTATAAGACATGCCATAAAACTTTCCGACTTCAAGTCTTTGTCTCCTAAATTTGGGCTCATTGTATTAGCGTCAAAAACCTTAGAGAAGCTTCAAGGAAACAAAATATTAAAAGAATTTGCAATACACCCTGGGGATTATTTATTATCAGTACAAGTGGATCATTCACTTTTATTATTAAATGCCATTATTTATACATATGTAAAAATAAGATTGTATCATGAGAGCAAAATATCCACACAAACGTATAAAAAAGAGTCTAAAAGACAATTGTATACAAAACTGATGCTTCACAGCGGAGTTTGATTTTACACTGAGTATAAACCCTTTTAACCAAATATTTCCAGTTATTTTATTATTTATACCTATTCCATTCAATTCGAAATTTATTATTTAAAATATTTAAATTAATTTATTTTATTACAAAATTGTTTAAAAAAAAATTGGTTGTTATGGGTAAAATTTCATACGGTAGTCAACACTGGCCCACCATCGTAAAGTTATGTATTTGTCTTTGTCTAATCCGAGCGATGGTATTGTTCTTGCCTCGCGTGTAAATGAGACATAAATATGTTTACTTTCAAATGCTTAGTGGTATCAAAGCTACGTCGTCAAAGTTCAAAAGTGGCTACACTTTTTTCGACGTGTGATAATGAGGTTTGCTTCTCTAGTGTTGTTTTAACTCAATGGTTAATATGGTATTGCTTATGGTATTCCTTATTCAGCAACTGTCTTTTACATTGAGCAATGTATGGAGTTTACCTTGTATTTTAATATATTTTAAACAGTATTCACACACAATCAGCATTTATAAATTAAATTAAGTGGAGTTTCATCCTATAACAAGTGTTCATAGTTCATAGACAAAAGTTCAGCCAAAGTAATGTTGTCTACAATGTCTACGGCAAAACCGAACGCGTTCCAGTGCTATAATTCTTATAAATTTTTGCCTGTTTGTTTTAGGTTTCACTCTTTCGTTGTAAAATTATTTAGTTATCCTTGTCTAACCTAAATAGGATATACACACTCAAATAAGAAAGATTTTACCAAGGAACGCGAAATGTCACTTTTTAATACGAATTGTTATCTGAGTGAAACAAATACCGATTTGTAAATAAACGAAGAATATTGAGTTTTGAATCATGGCTCAATCTCAGTTTTCTTTAATGTGGAATGCACATAAGAAGAATATATGTAACGGATTAAGCACTCTACAGCAGGTTACATTTTGATAAGTTTTTAAATAATAGTCGATAACCTTTTGTTTTTTCTCACTATTGTAGTTAAATTATTCCAGAATGGTGAGTTCGTAGACATGACTCTGGCTGCAGACGGTCATCTGGTGAAGGTACATCAAGTGATAATTGCCCTTGCAAGTTCATACATTAAAGATCTTATATCGACAGCGCAATGCCCGCATCCTGTAATATTTCTCAATGTAAGTACTATTTACTTACTATTTGATGAAAAGCTAAATGTCATCTACAAGTACCTAATAGTAAATACTAATATAACTACTTTAAAAGATAATGTTTTAACTACAACGGATGGTAAATACAGTCAATATTTGGCAAACTTGCATTCTACTTGCATATAACTGAAATAGCATTATCTACTTAAAGTAGTTCACAGCAGTGTCATCTGCGCTTTTAGTTACAGCTCTGCAGTGCTATCCTCTAAGGAAATAGCCTTGCATACAGCGCTGCCACAGTATTGAATTTCAGTCAACATCTACATTGTGGCAGAGCTGTACGCAAAGCATTCTTGAAATGTATGCAATGGTCCGTGTGGTGACGGATTAAGAATACAGAGTGTCACCATCCCTATTCATCCCGTGGGTGTTGTAAGAGCCAACTACGGGAAAAAACTACGCAGAACAACAGCACTGCAGAGAGAAGGAAAACTTGACACAAACCCTATACCAACCTGTCTGGCCAGCGTGGTAAAGTAGGCCAAAAATTCCTTTCTAAGGCTCTCCTTAGAAAGGTCCACTGCTGGACATAAGCCTCTGCTTATGTCCAGCAGTGGACTATTACAGGCTGTTCGTGATGCAATGCTGATTCCTTAGAGAATAACACTGCTGCTCTTTATGTGTTAGGTTTCATACACAATGCATTAGAAAATGTATTTTCTTCATTATTCTTTTGCGACTAATATGTGAAGATTTTGTAATAGGGCTCACCCTATTACAATTAAATGAGCACCATTATGCTTTGAAAATTGATAGGGCTAAGCTGATAAAGCTCATAATAGTGATCATTAAAGTCAAAAATATTTAATCATACTTTGGTAAACTGTCATAACTATAAGTACAAATTGTATTCTATTATTTCTAAATTAAAGCTATGAAATGTTTACATAAATTACAATGAATGAACTAATTAGTTTAACAGACAATTCTTGATTAGAGTCTGCATGCAGAAATTAAATAGAAATGTTGTTAACCAACCAAGGATTTCATCAGATTAATAACCTTTTATAGTCAACTGCTAGACATAGACCTCTCCTTAGAAAGGAGGTTTTGGCCTACTATACCACACTGGCTAGACAGGTTGTTATAGGGTTTGTGTCAAGTTCTCCTTCTTTTTACAGAGCTGTTGTCCTGCATAGTTTACTCCCTTAGTTGAAACTTACGACACCCTCGGGATGATTGATGTATTCAAAATCCGTCACTAAGGATTTAACTTCCGATAATAAGACTTGTGTTATATAGGTTTATGTGTAAGTAGGATCCTTTTTATTTTTTTAGAAAATTTCATATACAACACTAAGTGCAATATTGGAGTATGTTTACACAGGAGAGGTATTGGTGTCTATAGAAAATTTAAATGATTTTTTACAAGCTGGCAAAGAACTACACATTAAAGGACTCGAGGATATGGTAAGTTTCCTTTCTATGAGGTCCATCATGTGTTGGTTTTATATATGTATCTAAGTTGATATCAGATTTAATTTGTGTACCACTTTGCAATGTATAGCATTTGTAAATTTTTGTTTAGTAATAAGGAATAAGTAAAAAAATAAGTTCCTGATGATCATATCTGTCATCTTAAGCAATACAAAAACTGAATTGTTTTATTACATACTTAAAGACAGTAGTTAATTCAAATTCAAATTATTTAATTGGGACAAAATCTATATTGTGTTAGTAAACTAACTAAGCTTTACTTTTCGAGTTATTCTCAGCAAGCTCATTCATTTGATACCCATATTCTAGTCCGCTATCTTGGGTGTTCCGCCATGTTGGATTTAGAATGACGTCATACAGCTAACCATGCATTATCATCCAAACTAAACGTGTATACCAAATTTCTGCTTATTCCGTTGAAGATATCTGCTTCAAAATTGAGTTGCAAAAGCCATTTGTAGCAAAAGGTCGCTTGTTTTTTATACATATACATGTGGCTACAGTACCACTAGAGGATCGTAAAACGGTGAACTCTGTATGGTACGCGACCCTTTGTTTGCCAGAAGTCTTTGAAGAAATAAGAAAGAATAACCGACAACGCAGAATCCCTCTTCATCATGACAGTGCTAGCTGCCACACATGGCCCGGACAACTCAGTATTTGGAAGATCAAAAGATCGAATTAACGGGTCATCCGCCGTACAGCCCTGACTTGGCCCCCAAAGTCTTCTATTTATTCCTGAAGAATAAATTACGTGATCAACTTTTTCGAGCCGTGAAGATGCTGTTCATGCGTTCAAAATGCACGTTTTGGAGATACTTCAATCAGAATCGAAAAAATGCTACGAAAATTGGTTCGAACGTATGCAAAAGTGCATCGATCATCACTACGAATATTTTGAAAAGCAATAAAACTATAATAAATGCTACATGTTTGTTTCACTTTGTTATTCTGGATACATAAATAGCAGCCCTCGTATAACATGTTTATACATATAAACATATGATTTCAGAAAATACATGACTCCTTGAACTCCAGCCAAAACTTCTCTAAGAATGATAATGACGCAGAATGCAGCATGGACACTTTGAATGACGAAATATGCTACTTCGAGATCTCCAATAAAGATGATGACGATTCTAAATATGTTGAAATGACTAAAATTAGGTAAGCATTTTGTGTACAAAGCACTAATATATGTCTATGATACTTTTCCATATTCAGTATTAAGTTCAATACACAATTAGAGGGATTGGCTTTGCCGGCAATAAACATCGAACTCGTGAGGTGTCGCTCGGTAGCCGTAAATTAATTCCGAAAAATTGATGCCGCCACGCACTTGTAGCTTAATACTCAAAATGAACTTGGTGTGCATGTTGGTAGTATTTAAAATTGACTTACAAGTTTACACAAACTTTCTCTAAAAAAGAAGAAAGCTAATTGTCACAACCGCGCGGTAAATCGATTATTTGCTGATAAATGTTCGGGAATCACAATCCGCTCGGCTACCGCACACGATCACTTGGCGATAAATTTTAGTTAAGTAATGCTAAGAATGTGGGCCGAAGAGAGAGAGACCGCGACTTCCGAATGAAAACTGACCCCGAAACCCGAATGAACTAGCCGATCGGCACAAGCCGACTGAAACCGAATAACTAGCTTTCGTCAACTACTGCCGAACCGAAAATGTCGCTCCTCTTATGTGTGGAACAACCCTTATCTTTTCGGTTACACATTTCAGTAGAATAGCATCAGTCTTAGTCAAAAGTGAACTGTTTACTCTTGGTGAGTTTAGTCTTGTTTGGATAGTAAATACTTTAAAAAGACAAGGGATACTCCCAGGGGATTATTGTAAAGTTCTTGCTTGAGTGATAAAAAATATTTACAGAGATACTGAAGGTGAGAGCACAATGGTACTGAGTACAAACGACGATAACTTATACACGGACGGCAACGATGATGACTCTATGACTGATGTAATCAAAGCACAATTTGAAAAACAGGACGGCAATTTCGATAAAAGTAAGTGTTAGAACAGTATTCGATAAATGAGCCTGGTGGCTTAGGTTTTTTATGGTATGAAAGGAGACGAGCAGCCGTCATCTTTAAGTGGCTGTGGACATCTCCAGGTGGTGGTAACAAGTGCTTTGTCGGCCTTTGACTGGATGTCCCTTGCCCAAAATTATGTGAGAGGAGGGGGTTTTTGATCTCCGGTAACCTTACTCACTTGGTGAAATGCACCGAAAGAATTGCTTAAGCCTTATTGTAAAGAGGGAAAAAGATAATATTTCTGTAATTTTTCCCTGCATTATTCTTTTTCACCCTTAAAAGTGGTCCGTGTGGTGACGAATTAAAAATACGGAGTGTCACCACCCCAATTCGTCCCGTGGTTGTCGTAAGAGTCGACTTAGGGAGCCAACTACGCAGGACAACAGTACTGCAAACGCTACACTGAGCTGTCTGGCCAGCGAGGTTTAGTAGACCAAAACCTCCGTTCTAAAGAGAGGCCTATGTCCAACAGTGGACTATTAAAGGCTGTTGATGTGATGTGTAATGTGACAAGTAGTGAATTTTCTAAATTATAAAATAAAAAAAAAAAATGCCACCACCAGCTAGTCGAGAACCACAAAATCAAGAAACATTAACCCAGAACATGGTCGTTTTCAGATTATAGCGTGATGCAATACACCGTGTCAAACCAGGGCTCTTTACAAATGATATTGAATAGATACGTTTACTATTTGAAACACACGAACAGGAACAACTCCCGCCAATGGCGCTGCGTCGATTATCTCAACAATATTAAATGTCCCGCCCACGTTATTACCAAAGATGATGTAGTTATACAAAGGTAAGTAATGTTCTTTTATATTTTTGAGGGAGCGGAATAGTTTGCGTACAAGTCTTAAGTCCGGGTCTCACCGCGAGCGGAGCGGACCCGTTATGGATTCCGTTTAACTCGTAAAAGTAAACTATATACTTGTATTCCCACCAATAAATGGTCGGGTGGAAAGGACTGAGCGAGCGATAAATGAAATGAACTTAGTTGTAGGGAGCGGGGCGGAGTAATTACGAAGTCCTTTCAAGTCGCAATAGCAATTTAGATAGTAGCGTTTGTATACAGATAGTAGTTGTAGTAGTTGAAACGAATCTGTTACGGCAAGGCAGGACATGACTCTTTTTTAGTGGTAATGTAAATATATTTCATTTTAAAGGAGTCAGTCCCGTCTAATCATTCTTCGTACATATATCCCTTTCGCGGTGGAAACCCGACCTTAAGGTCGGCTGTGCTATTTCATAATCCAGTAAAATACACTTGCCAGGAACTCATATCCTTTGCAGTGATAAATTGTCTGATGATATGAAATCTTTAAAAATGGGAATTTAAAAATTGCAACAACTAGTAAGTAGGTACTCTCGACGTCCCCAAATTAACCAACTCGTTTTTTTGGCTCATCGCTTAAAATAAATCTCGTGTCCCTTACAAGTTTTTGAATTGTATAGCTGAAAATAGTGACGCATTGATCAAGCTCTGCTCCCTGACCAATCAGGTGCCAAGGATTTGTACGAAACGATAACTTCTTGGAACCTGATTCGTCAGGGGTCGGAGCTTGATGAAGGCGTCACTATTTTCTTAGCGTGAATAGATTATAGACAGACGAGCCCTGATGCAAAATAGTTCGCCTATAGTCCAGCCGCTAAAAGAATGCGTTTCTGACACCTGTCAATTCAATGTACAATAAATAACATTGAAAATATTTACTAACGTTATTTATTGCATTCATTATGCATATTTAATTTAATTTATATGTTGTTATTTTTTATAGGAATTATATTTCAATATATTCAATAAATATTCACGATCAATTTCAATGAATCAATTAATTGAATTAAATCGTAATTTCTGAATGTAACGAAGGGAATAAAAATAAAAATGCTTTATTTATTGGAAAATGTATATTATGAAATACATAGTTTTAAGCCTTATACAATGAAGACTTTGTTAAACAGTTTAATCTTCAAATCTTCAATCAATTCGCTTGAGGAGTCGCTGTCATCTTTACTAACGTGTATAATCATATTATTGTCAATCATAGAATCTATACGGATATCGCGGTCAGTCATCAAATATAATCTATTTAGTTTTTTCAACCACATTCATCCAGTCATCTCTTGTGACTTTTTCGCATGCATCTTTTAAAAGCATCTTCATCTTTTTTATGCCATACGGTGGAGAAGTATTATGACGGGATGCATAACCTTTAATTTGAGCCCAAATTAGCTCAATGGCGTTTTATGGCAGTGGTACGGGGGAATTTGGAGAACGCGATGACCGTACTCCAGAGCCAACTCATCTATTTCATATCGAACATTTATCGGCTTATGGTCATTGACTAATTTCATCGGCTCTGCTTTTAGCATTGACATATTTGCGTCAATGCCACTTTTTGCAGCCAAGCCACCAATTCCTCTTTTCTATTAGCAAATAAAGCACCTACCCAATAGGTGCTTTATTTTTTTGCACCGAATGATAAGGGGCGTTATCCATTAATATAACTGAAGGCTCTGGCAGGCCAGGTAGCAACACATCCTGGAACCACTCCTTAAACGAAGCCGCATTCATTTCTTCGTGGTAGTCAGTAGTGGTTTTTGACTCAAATGCCAATAAACCGTTTTCCACGAAACCATACTTCGCACAACCAGCGTGGCATATTATAAGTCGTGCTCCTTTACCCATTGTCACTTTTGACGTTGACGCTTGAGTGTCATCTGTCCAAGAACGAGAAATCGTGTGATTGGCGTTCAGCTATGTCTCGTCGATGAAAACGACATTGTCCCAATTATCGATTTTTGTCACTTCTCATAAAAAAGTAAATCTTTTTAAAATTATGTCATTTCTTTCTAAAAGAATTTTCCTTTTGTCCGTTTTTTTATTTTGAAATCCAATATCTTTCAAAATTTTAGATAAAGCAGTTTGGCCTCCCCTAAATAAATCAGCTCCTTTCAAAGGTGCTAGAAGCATAGACCTATTAAGATACTCATTCCTGGAATAATAACCATATAATAGGTCTTTACCTATGAAATTGCCGTTTTGTATGCAATAAGTGAAAGTACTTATTTTTTCAAACTTTTTTATTTCTGTTATTCAAAGTAATCACCCATGCAATCGACGCATCTTTGCCAACGCATTGGCAGTTTTTTGATGCCCTTCTTGTAAAAATCAGCTGGACGGGAGGCAACAAACTCTTCAAAGGCATTTTGTACTGCCTTTCGGGAATTGAATTTTTTACCCACTAAAAAGTTGTCTAAATTTTGGAAAAAGTAATAGTCGGTAGGTGCAAGGTTTTTTTTAATTCATCTGACTGATAGTATGACACTAATTTTCTTAAGTTTTGTTTGGGCGTACCTTTATTATATTATTAACTTTATTAAATACTAAGTACATTATATATTATAAAATTATAACGTTTTATTTTATATTATACCGACAGATTATATTAAGACTACAAAAATATTCGATTACAATTGCCTCGTTATTTTGTCACATCACTACAAAAACAAACAGTTGACACCTTGAAACAGCGCCGTTTGACGTGGTTTGACTTTTAAAAGCTATTGTTTTTATATTTGTTAATTAAGTAATTGTAATAATTTTAGCCCAAAATTAATACATTTATTGTAAGTTGCCATAATTATTCGAATTTTAATGTTATCACTCGTTAATAAGGTAAATAAAAGAAATTTAAAATTTTGCCGTAAATTGTACGCCAGTTCAAAGTTACATCGCCCAGTCGATCACGATTCTGTCAGAAACGCATTCTTTGAGCGGCTGGACTTTAGTGTGAAATTTTCTGAGATTTTTTCTAAGTTCATTATTTTTGTATATCTACATAAAATATTAAGCTGTTCTCCTATCATATGTCGCGTTACTTATGCCATTTTTTAATTATGGACCAATAAACTATTTTAGGTTTTTAAATTTATAGATATCCTGTTTTAAATTCGAAGAAGTTATAAGCAAAATAGTTCGTCTAATTGTTAATTGATGCAAAAGAGTTCGTCTATCGGTGAGTTCAATAAGATTATTCCTTCTTTGTACAATTATGTTGCATAATTTAAATTTGTAAAAGTAATTCTGTGTCAGTTTTCAAGTGAGACAGTATAAATTCTGAAAATTTCAGTATTTTTCATTAGTTTTCAAATAACAATGGGTCGTGGCAAACCTGTGTGTGAAGAGCTTCGAAAGCGAATAGTTTGTGGGGTCGATGCTGGTAAATCAAGTTACAAAATATCTAAAGACTTGATACTTCCCAGGTCTACAGTCCAATCTATCATTCAGCACTATAAAAAGAATAGAATGACTTCTTGTTTGAAGAAAACTGGTAGACCACGCATCACAAGTGCAGTAGAAAACAGAATCCTAAAGAAAATTATCAAAAATAATCGTCGTGCTCGAGCTGGAGAACTCACGGTGCAATGGAAGGACATGATTCACAAAGACGTCTCAGTTGATACTTGCAAAACAGTCCTAAAAAGAATGGGTTACGGGTTTTACACCGCTAAGGAGAAACCACTGTTGACTGCTGTACAAAAGAAAAAGAGGTTGAAGTTTGCTCGTGATCATTTAAATTGGACTTCCGACCAGTGGCGTAGTATCATTTGGAGTGACGAGTCCAAATTTGAAGTGACAGTCGGCGATGAAAGGAAAAAAGTGATTCGGAACAAAAATGAGGCATTTAATACTGATTGCCTCAAACGGTGAAGTTTCCGGCGTCTCTTATGATATGGGGCTGCATGTCTGCACAAGGTGTTGGTGGTATGCAGTTTGTGGATGGTTCTATCAATGCTGCAAGGTATCAAAACCTTTTGGAAAAGAATTTACTGCCCTCTATATCGTCACTTAAGCATCAAGATTCCTTCATTTTTCAACAGGATGGTGCTTCCTGCCATACTGCAAGGACAACGAAGACGTGGCTACTTGCGAAAAGCATCCCTATAATCGAATGGCCATCTAACAGCCCGGACTTGTCGCCGATCGAAACTCTATGGTGGAAAATGAAAAAAGTTCTCCGTAAAAATCCATCAAGATCGAAGAGCGACTTAAAGGCTAAACTCTTGGCTGTCTGGGAGTCAATTACGCTTGAGGAGTGTGCAGCGTTGGTTGCAACCTCTTCGCATTAAAGCTGTCATTGAGAGCAAAGGCGACACAACTAAGTGGTAGACGGAACTATTTTGCGTGAGTGACAAGGGTAGACGAATACTTTTGCGTTATGTTTTTTAGAATATTAAAAAAAAAAAAAATGAGATGTAAAGTCATGAAAGAATTTCAGTTATGTTAAAATAAACTTTAAAATGTTCCTCAAATTGTGGTTTAATTTTGATTAAACGTTGTTAATTATTTTACCAATATTTACTATTTACGCTTTGCACTACTTTCCATACTAGACGAACTATTTTGCATCGGGGCTCGTATTATTATGCGTTTAAAAAAAATATAGCGCGTGACGTGACGTGAAGTGACTTACGCTATGTTGACCATGATATGTTGTTGGGTTCACATAGTACGTGATGACAATTTGGGATAAAAGTGTTGTCTATAAAGTAGCTAACTCCTCTCAGATAGGTAGACATGATCTTTATGACCCTGATTTTTCTTGATTGATTGGTATCAAAATGTTAAAACTGCAAACCAAATAAAATTTACGCGTTATACTTCAATGACGATATACAGGATCTCTACATTTTTTTCATGACTTTTCCGACTTAAGTTACAATAATTTTTGAAAAACCCCGACTTCAATGGAAATGAAATATTTTCTTCAAATTTAAATGAGACCAATGTTGAGTAGAACCAATTAAGTCATTCAAACAACAAAAGATAATTAGAAGTTGTCTCAAATGACAAAGATGTCGCAATTATAGTGTGGGTGTTTCTTTTTTAGAATTTCGGCTCATGTTCATCCGTTCCACGATAAGAAAATATTGAAGAAAGTGCGCGCTGGAACAATCTTCTCTGCTATAAATGAGGCTGTACAAGAAGGGAAAAATAAAAAGAATCAAAATAATGATGAATAAAATAAACTTTAGTTTTTATATTACATTGTATTATTCAAAACTAGACTACTGGGAAATGGAAAAAAATAGATCGTTCATATTATTATACCAGAATTGATCATGACAGACTAAACAGAGAGGTTTCCAGCAAACAATTTTGATTCCCTCAATTATGATCCCATATTATTCCAGTCAACATTCATTATTATATAATTATAGAACCACAGTGTCCGGCTAATAAATATTCTACGGGAGGTTAGATTCAAAGTCGCCATATATGAAGACCCCGCCACCGTCTGTCACCCCGCAGGACGGCGCGCACGACGTTGATGGACTATAATTTCATCTTATTTTTTTCCATATTTTGCAAGTTTCGAAGTACCTACCTACCTGTAAAGTGTGTCTACATAGGTAGACACACTTTACAAGGTGGACATAGTATTACTCTTAAACTAAATTATCACTGTGAGTTAAAAACAGCCATAACTTACCTGTGATACTCATTCACACATAATCAAGCGAAAAATTAAGCTTTTAAGGGACCCGCTTAAAAGCTCTAACATAAATTAGCATCGTTAAAACGATGCATCCTACATGTAACAGAGGTACCTCCCCTAAACTGTAGGTATTCTTATTTTTAGGGTTCCGGACCTCCAAAGGTAAAAAAAGGAACCCTTATAAGATCACTTTCTTGTCCGTCTGTCCGTGTGTCACCACCGATTTTCTCAGGAACGGGTAGACCTAGCAAGTTGAAATTTATACCAGATACTGAGGTCTATGGTCTCTACTAGGTGTATAAAAATCAAGGTCCTGAGTCAACACGATAAAAAAATATGTGAAATCCGTGTGGTGACAGATTAAGAATACAGAGTGTCACCCCTATTCATCCCGTGTTGTGTGTGTCGTGAGTCTATTAAGGGAACACACTACGCAAGACAACAGCACTGCCAAGTGAAGGGTAACTTGACAAACCCTATACCAACCCGTCTGGCCAGCGTCGTATAGTAGGCCAAAACCTTTCTAAGGAGAGGCCTATGTCCAGTAGTGGACTAATAAAGGATGTTGATGATTGATGATGACTCAAAGAGAAGCAACGAAAGTACTGCTAAAGGCCGGTTTTATGATAAATGATAATAATGTATTGTTTAAAATAGCTTCGTAAATAACCCATTTCTTTAAAATATTTAAAAGATAAAAATTATTACTGTGGTTAATCCTTAGGAGATAGACATATACTATCGCGGACTTTTTTTCAAATCTTTTAAAGATATACAATTCCGTAGTACATTATTTTAGTACATTTCGTAAGTTTTAGCCAGTGTTTGTATTGTAAGCGCACAAAAACATGTTTTAAAATCTTTGAAATTCTTGGATTTTCTCTACTATAATATGCATGTAACATACATGTAAACCTTCCTGTTGAATCATTTAGTCTATTGGTGAAAAGCGCATTAAAATCCAAATACAACACAAAAAAGCGACTTTATTTTATACTACGTAAAGATTTTCCACCCTTAGACATTCTATTTTTTCTTGGAGTTTAAATAGAACCAAACGGAAAGTACAATTTTCCAAATCAGTTCATAAATCCCGAAGTCCAAGGTAATAAACTAAAAAAAAAACAGAGACAGTCAAAAGGACTGTCGACAGAAGTGAAAACTCAAAACATTCAAGTAAGGTTTCCCCTACCAAAGATAGCTCAACTCGGCTAAAGAAGTTTTTAACTCAAAATAACAACTAAAACGGTTTTCTGAAGTTGATTATAAACAAAATATATAATAGCATCATAAAAACACAAAAATGTATTCTCGTTATCGTGAACAATGTTATCACTTGAGTTTACAGTGAGATTGAGGTATATGTAGGTTATTAATTTCATTTATAAAAACATTACCTTTATTTAGCTGTTTCAAATTCGAACATAATTAAAACACAAATTTAAAAATATAATTTATTGTCCCTGATTCAACATTCATAAAAATATACAAAAAAACGTTGTACAAAATATTTACTTATTACGATTTGTTTATCACATTGCATAGTTCATGAGCAATTTTATGGAGTGTAAAATGAGTGGAATGTGCTTTATAATAAGTTAGTACATTTAAATTTATTTTTATTAATAATTATTATACTTAAAAATAGTGACGATTCTATTTAACTAAACTATATGTGTAACAAAGGCCGCATAAATATATATATACATCTATGACCATAGTTAAAAATTTGAAAAATATACATGAATTGTCATTAACTTGCAGTTTATTATTTCAGGATAACACTCATTACTGGTTGAATAAGTCAATTCCTGATATATTAAAAAAGTAAATGTTTCAGTATTTGAATGTTTGTAATTGTATCACATCACAATCTACCCACCTTTCTAATAGGAAAAAAATTACATCCAAATAGATTCATCCACTTCGGAGTGAGAGATCAAAGACAGACAGACACTTGAAAACCTGTTCTTTTTACAAGATTGCGAAAAAAGGAGAGTCATGTTTTTCGAGTGTATGGATGTATATTTCTTATGCACGCTCTGTAGCCTGAACGGCTTGTGTGATTAGTCTTAATCATTTTTTTCATTTTTTTTTTATTCAATTTTTTTTTGTCATTCAGAATCTATGGAGTGGGAATCGAAATAAATTCATATATGTCTTACAAAAATATAAACATACTTATTATACAATTTTAACGCAGTCTGTTTTTTTTTAATAATTACTTCTTTCCACAAAGGGTTGGGACAAAAATTGACAGTAATCTGCCTAAATCCCTTAATATGGAAAGAAATGGCCGTTGGTTAATAAGGATGAAATGATTGTTCTAATGATAAGGCCACTTGTACAATAAATATAAAATGTATATTGTTCAATAACATTGTATAATAAAATAGATATGCTCAGTATTAAATGGGAACGTTCCTTTGCACATAGAGCTACCTTTAAAAAATATATATTTTGAAAATTAACTTACTTATATCATATATTGTTATTCATATCTTTTATCTTATTAATATTAAAATATTTGTTATTAATTATATGTTTTATATAATTTGGCTATTAAAATTTGTTTAAATCTTATTCTCATTTGAGGATTTAATGAAAATATTAGTAATTTATTTTACTAAATTTAGATTGAGAGTATCTGTCAATTTCTATTTTTATTAATATTATTATTCATTAATAAGTCCATTATTAATAAAAGAAATCAAAATAAAATGTTAAGTTTCAACCGAGTATTATCTAGTGTCATAACACTTACATGCGAATATAAATTTTAATATAATAACAATGGTAGAAAAAATATGTTTCTATTAAGATCTCTGATTTTGGATTGTAGATTATGCGATTACATGACCTTTTGATAATAGAAGACACGGGAAACTGCAACAGGGTTTTGTCCACTAAGTTAATTAACATGTTTAGAAGTTTAATTCTCGCAATAAAAATTCTTTCACAGTTAAGCCCGATCTACTCTCGATTTCACATATGTAAAAAGTATTAATCATCCAAAGTTGATTGTAATGTGATAATATCGTATTGTGACCAAAAGTTGAATCGGTATTCTGATAGAAATACTTTACTACGAGAATACCTTTAATGACATTTCTGAGAATGAGAGTAGTGTGAACTGAATTTTGATTGCGATTATTAAACATACACTGCAATATCCGAATTTTGGTCAGTAGTGATGTACCAGTAACATTTTATACTTTTTATTGTGACAAAACTCATCCGCACATGATTTATTATAGAAAAAGAACATTTTAATACAGTACATATATAGTTGCGTTTCTAGCGCCGATATGTATCACTAAAATCATTAAAATATCAATAGACTTGACATTCAAATTTCGAATATATTCTTACATCTATTTAAATGCACATTTAAGTACAACTATGTTACATGAAGTACATCAAGCTAAGTGATTTTTGACAAATGTAGGTAAAACGAATGCCGCTTTATGGATTTCACTATTGTAGTACTTGAGATTCATTGCTTTCTCATCTTCTGACGTTAACACTAGTTGTGGCTCATCAAATTTAATTTCACTATCTAAAGACCCGATTACGAATCCTATTTGTCCTGAGGGATAAGTAGGCACTGTGGCATATCCGTATGTTGCTTTAGGAAACTGATTCTTACAAAACTTTAAAGTATTAGAAACTAATTCCAGATCATTCCAAACCGTGCCAGCTTGAGAGCAAACAATGCCGTTGGGCCTTAAAGCGCTCTTCATGAGAGCGAAGTAATTCTCTTGGAACAAATTGACAGCGGGTCCTACAGGGTCGCTGCTGTCAGTAATAATAACGTCAAACTCTTGGCTGTGATTTTTCATGAACTCAAAGCCATCACCGACGTGCAGTTTCAGTTTTGGACTGTCGAAACCCACTGCCATGAAGGGTAGATACTTTTTAGATACTTCAATTACTTTTGCGTCGATTTCGACCTGTAAAGAATAAAAAATAAAAATGCCTGCATTACTTAACACTCAAATGGATAGTTAACGGAACAACTTACTACTGTTTTGCCCATAGCTGGGCATTAACTCGTTAATCCGTTAATCGTTAATTAACGAAGTTAACATTTTGATTAACGGATTAACTTTTAAGTTAACTTTTAAAAATGTTAACGGACACGTTAACTTCCGTTAATATGTGCAGAAGTCCGTTAATCGTTAATCCAATGCCTAATAGACCTAATAGTTACCGCACGGCACCGGCAAATGCCGGGCGGCGCGTGGCAGCGAGTGAAACAAAAACAAAACTAGATATATTTTGCCGGCGAGTGCGAGTGAGAAAGAAAACTGCGAAGAGATTTGTTTCGTTTGATCATTTCATTACTTAGCGCCGGTGCTTAGAGTGACGAGTGTTTTGTTTGTTTTGCCGAAAGACACCAAAATAAAAGTTCATGTATCAAGCCTGAATAATTTGAAACAACATGTAAAAAGGGTACATGAGTCACAATACGTACAGTTTGAAGAGATTGTTAAGGCGGGCTCTAACCGGGGCAAGACAAAAAGGAGAACTCATTCTGAAAATGACAATATTAATGATGATGATAGCACAAGTAGCAGTAATCCTACTCCCGTTAAAAGAATAATACAACAGGGTCGACAGCTGAGCATCGGGGAATCGTTCGGGATTGCAGCTACTGGCAGCGGTGTACCCCAAGCCAAAGTGGACAAATGTATAGTCAATTTATTTGTTTTAAACATGATTCCTTTACATGTTGTCGAAAGCAAGTCTTTTGGTGCGTTGATAATTCAATTTCAAGAAGAACTTTGGGTAGACGCATTACTTACGAACACATTGAATTGAAGCAACACCTGATTAGGTAAGTAACTAAAATAAGTACCTATTTTCGAGGACATTCGCGACAGGTGGCATAACCTGTAAATAATTACAGGTTATGGCACCTGTCGCGAATGCCCTCGATCGTATCCAAGGAGAAGCTCAAGCATATCTCGGATCACTACTACCGACTATAAATTAAAAAATATTAAATCTAAGGGCCTAGTAAATTGCACAGCTTTATCCAATGCCTTATTTAATGCCATAGAGAAAAGGTTTGGACCACTCCTGAATGATGAACAGTGCCAACTTGCCGCGGCATTTCACCCTAAGTTTCGGTTGATATGGCTGGAAACGTATGACAGCAGTAGAGTGGATACAGTAAAAAAGTGCATGAAAAAAAAAGGTAGAAGATGCCTTACGACAAGAAGCAGCGGAAAATTCGAAAGACAGAGATAGTTTAAGCGGCGGAGGGAGCAATGCGAGTAACAACGATGATGACGAGGAAGACTTTTTCAATTCTGTCACTCAGTCTATAGAAAAACCAAAGAACTCCAACTCTTTAAAGAGTAAAGCGCAAAGTCTCGTTAAAATGTGGCTAGACATGAAATCAAAAGACTCGTTCAACGATGCTGCATTCCTCGGGGAACAGATATTCATAAATCTATTCATTAAATACAATACTGCTATACCCTCAAGCGCTGCAGTTGAACGTCTTTTTTCCACGGGTAAAGACATTTTAACACCAAAACGAGCCTCGCTCTCAGACGAGAACTTCAACATGTTAATGTTCATGAAGGGGAATATGCACCTTATGCCCGACGATTAAATTACACATTTGAATTATACAAGTATTTTGTTTTGTTCCTAACCTGTTAACTTCCAGAATCTAAACCAACAGGTTTTATAAGTTCACTAACGCAACGATATATAGATGCAATTTTACACATATTAACGGATTAACGATTAACTTTAACTTGCGTTAATTCTTCCGAAATGTAACGCTTTAACGTTTAACGAAGCTAACTTTTTTTGTAGCGGATTAACGATTAACGAAGTTAACTATTTGATTAACGGTGCCCGGTTATGGTTTTGCCCTGATAGATAACTCATGTTTACCAACCTAAAAAAAATAGACTTGTTGCTAACAAATATGAGACAGAGGACAAAACTTTAAATTCTTTAAAATTAACTAAGAGTGATTGTATAGTCCAATAATACATAACATTAATTTCTTTTTTATTTCTAGAGAAGTGGGCAAAAAGGCAATAATTACCATAGATAAATTTAAAAAAAGATCTGAGAGAATCTAATTTCAAAATAATCTTGAAATATTAGTCATATAACACAGTATGATGTATGACATGTTTTAAGCAAGAAATATATTGAAATATAATTAATATGTCATGAAACATTTACAATGTTGTAAGTGTTAAGGTCAGCTGCCCTTCTTATCATGTCACAACTGATAAGTCATAAAGAACAGTGAGCTTCTGATAATAAGGTTACATTAGCACTGTGTTCCTACATAAAAGCTCCATTCATTACTAATCAGATAATAATATAAATATTTTATTGTATTCATGTTATATTATCATTATTCTGCTACTTTGGTAGTTTATTGATAACTCCTTAGGGCTGTGATAGCTTGCTTGCCAAATGCTTGTTAAAAATTATAAACTTTTCTTTCTTCTTCTTTCTTTCTATGTATTACTAAAATATGTTGTACCTGCATAGAAGTGGCATTTTTAGATAATTGTCACAAATTTTACTTACCTGTTGGTTTAGTGGTTCTTGAGCTAGAGGTCTTAGGTTTGTATCAAACAGGGCAAATAACATAAATACAATCATTCATACTTTGTCTATGAGTAATTTGTCTTTACAATGTAAATATCTAGTAATATCTAAGAATGTTCTCTGCTTAGTTTGGGGTCTGAGATATGATTTTTTTCATGGTATTGGATCAAAACAAGCAGGTGGGTCACCAGGATGGTCAGTCACCGCCACCACCACTGTTATGATTTTTTTTGTAAATTAATTTTTAATTTTTTAATTATTTTTTTAGAAGTACTTAGAACCATTTTCCAAATATTATTATTCCATACTATAAATACTTGTCAGCTTTAACATAAAATATTTCTTATCTAAGCCAACATACCTGGACAATTTCCTTAACTTTAGGATGCTTGGCAACTTCTCTGGCAACACCGCCATCACCCCCACCAACTATTAGCACCTTTTCAGGGTTTTTATGGCAACACAGGGGCAGAAATGATATCATTTCCTGGAAGACATACAGTACATTTAAGTCAATATTTATATTACAACAATTGCTTTTGAAATATTGTGACAGCAGATAAATAAGATTTTAATTACAGTTATATTATTAAAATAATAAATTAAAAATGCATGTCATGTCATAGGGTCTATTTATTTTTATTTTATCTTATATTCTTAGTACTACTATGACCATTTCTGATCTTTTGTAACATAAAAATATTATTCTATTCTAAAAAATATCTTCATTATATTATGCATTGGTTAAGTTACAAGAGGCTGTATGTGTCTTTTGGATTTCCAAACTACTCTATCTTCTACACTTCATCCACAAATATTTACTAACCAGATATGTTTTGATTAAGAATTAAATTTCACTAATAATTGTTTTGAATCCTGGCCAAACTATCTAAATAGAACTGCTTGTCTAGGAGTCATGATCTTTTGTTAAGGCCAGAATTCCATTTAGTATTAGATATATCTTTTCTTATTATAAGAATTACTGTACATATTAGAAACACATACCTGATATGAGAACTCATCCTTCTCAGTACATTGTATGATGCCATCAAGCACAAGGACTTTACCCAGGCTGGTGCTCTCACAGACCAGTATATCTTGGTAATCAGACTTTTCTGAGTGTAGAATCTTCTTAACTTCAAATGAGAATGTGGCACCGGGCCACATCTCACAAGCCTCACTAAACCAGTTGTTCTTTAGTTTATCCATTTATAGATTTTGTAAACTGAAAAAGAATACTTTGTTATGAACATGAGTTAGACAGGAGCTAACAATTATTAATAACTATCTTCCATTTATATACATTTTTTCACTAAATGTAAGCTTTCTTTCGAAAATTCAAGGACAAAGTAATATAATAAAGAGCATAACATAGGAAAATTCCACTGTGAAATCAATTAAAATGCGTGTCATGCACATGTTTTGTTAAAACTAGGTAACAATTGTAAAATGTGTTAAGTTAATATATATATGCCTTCACTATATGTTTGTGTTTAAATTAAGGCACCTAAAACCTATTAGGTATATAAAGAGATTAAAGCCATGTATTAATGTGGACACATCAATTTTATAGGACTGAACTATATCCTAGTGTAGATTTAGATCTTATGAATGAATAAAGTTACGTTTATGCAAGGCAAATAAAGTTAAATAAGTTAAAATAAAATAAATAACATTTAAAGAAATAAATTATTCAAAACTATAGATTTTATAACTATATACTGTACCTTTTAATATTGACGATAAAAAGAGAACAACGTAATGCTTACGTCGTCAGATTCTTACTGCGGCGCTTAGGAGGGCTCGCACGCCGATAATTATCCACAAGATAACACAATTTTCATAAACTGACTGAACGACTTACCACTGATGGCTTTGAAAAGTGATAAAGTCCAAGGGTGACGAAAGTTGCACATATAGTTTCGATAATAGTGTACAATTATTTGATTAACACATCACTAGGGCGATGTTTAATTAGAATCTAAAATTTAATTAGAGTTGATCTTAAAAACAAATGAACGAAAAGTAATACCAGTTACCACTAATTGAAACAGATTGTCAACTGTCAACGAAATGTCAAATCAGTTTTTAATGACACAATGGTTTGCGTTTCTTTCACTCACTGTACTTCAGAGCCGATTTTATTTATTTATAATAAATAAAAAATAACATCTTTGACTAACTTAATATTCTATTTATTTTTATTTTTGGCAATTGTTATTTCAAAGTTGCAAGAAATTTTGCAAATGAAAATCTTCGACTTAAATAAAAATTTTGCCATTGGATTTTGGTAAATCTTGTCATCTACATGTACGTATGTCCAAACAATTGACGTTAATGACATGCTTAAGTTAATGTTTATTTGATTTATTTTGATCACAATTTGTTTGTTTACTATTGACAAATATTAATAGCTAATCACGTAACATGCAATAATGTACTTTAATTATGTGATTATGATTTCATTTTCATATTTTAGTTAGTCTCATTATGTCGTTTAAACCATTGCAAAAATATATTTTTAAGTTTTAAAACTGTCTATATCTATCCTAAAAGTCAGTATAGGTAATAATTAATAGTTGCCATGAATTCCGCTATCGAGTTAGAAGAATTCCTACACGCCGCACAAGAGTTTGTGAAAAAATCTGATGAAATTGGCGATGGGTGGTCTATTAAAGAGTGTGGAGACGATAAATCCAAAACTTTTCTAAAGAAAGATTTGTACGTAGAACACACCGATGACAATAACAGTATTTTGTTGAAAATGGAATATATAATCTTCTATAATTTAAGCTATGGCGTGCCAGCTTTCAGCTTTAATATCTGGAATTCCTCTGGCACATTGTTATCATTAGAAGATGTAAGGAAAATGTCTTTTATTCAGTAAGTAACACCATTTTGGGTTCTTCGTAATCTGTAAATTAAGTTTATTTAAGAAACTCTGTGCAGGTGGCTCGTAATACCCAAACTGTTTCTATTTAGGTGTTAGTCATACATAATGGTACAAATAACACCCAGACTCAGAACAATAATTTGTGGATCACACAAAGTGTCATCCCATGTGGTGATTGAACCCATAACACACAGTGTAGTAGTAATCGGCGTGGTGACTGCTTAAACCACTATGCCATCAGTGCAGTCAGGTGTCAGTCAGTATAACTATGGAAATGACCTACAAGCTTTACAAGTAAACATCTCTTAATCATGCCATGCTTTGAAGACAGTTGTTAAGCAATTATTTTGTTGCTTTTCAATTAGTGAGAGGAGGAGGTACCAGTGGCCCAAATTGCCCAAATTCTGGTGTGGTAATCAAAGGACAGCACTGCTCTTGTGTATCCGGGCACCCAGATACCCTTAAAAACTGCCAAATTCACATGACCAAATTACCAAGATCTAGAATTTTCCACCAGGAATTTGCTTGCTAAAAGAAGCCTGTCTGTCTGTGTATTATGGGTAAAAAATTAGGAAACTCCTCCTCCTGAAACTTAGGAAAAAAATTGAAGATCATTAGCTCTTTCAACTATAGACGGGTTTCAAAAATTTTGAGTTAGTGATTTTTTTACTCACGTTTGTGTATGTCAATATCCATAACGAAATTTTTATTACAGAATTAGCCAAAAGGACTTCTACTCGGTAATCACACAACAGGAGCATCCAGTATTTCAAAGACCATACTTCATAGTTCATCCATGCCACACAGAAGAACTACTGGCAACATTTAAAAATAAATCTCAAAACATTATAGTAACATTCCTTGGACTTATTACTCCATTGGTTAAATTAGATTTGCCTTTAAAATATGGACTGTAATGTCTAAGGTATTGATTACAATTTCTCTTCTATTATTTTCTAATCAAAATTGGTAAAAACAGAGTAAACCTCACAAATTATACCAACCATACATTATATTATCATTTTATTTCGTTAGTGTGATAAGTAGGAATTTCATTGTATTCCATAATTTTATACATCGATATTGTGTATCAAATTATAACACAGTTATACATAACAGGGGAGATTAACCAATATTGAACCGGTACCTAAATTGGACCACTTCTGTATTTCTACCAAAAGGCACTATTTTTGACACTAGCAAAACAAAGAAGCACTAGCAGTACCACTACCACTAATACTTCACCATTTTGTAGCGCACCTTTTGGTGTCAATATTGGTTACTCCCCTATATAACATATTTTATAAAACTACCGTGTATCTGTCACCTAAGTAATATGTTTGGTACGAAAACTATTTATCAAAATGATTTCAATATTATACACATACCTACGCGAAAGGTAAATAAATGCAGTAATATTATCTGTAAAAATGATAACAATATTTTTTCTCTAAGATAATACTTACACTTGTGCGTTAAATGAAATAAAATAGCAATGGTTAAAAAGAAAAGTTTTGCTAACACAAAATCACAAGGCGTTTTCTATGAAAATTGCAGTAAAGTGAAAATAATTGAAACCACATCTTAATAATGAAATTTTATAACATGTACGCAATGAACAGTACTCTTACATCAGTTTTCATAAGAAAACAGTAGCTTTGTGTATAAAGTAGTTCCGCTAGGAGGTATGCTACAGGTATGCAAAAGCCACATTCGAGACTCATTTCTTTGTTACCTAGTGTACGTACAGCGATAACGGCTTAAGAACACTATGTACGTTTGACATACTTTATTTTAAGATTTAATTGATGGGTATTAATTATGGTGACTTTGTGGCAGAGGCGCAGAGCACGACACGACATCTCGCCTTGGTAATAAGCAAGTTGGTACCATCTGATGGTCAGCTTTAGCACCGCGCGCGGTCATTGGTCAACTCAAATAGCGCATACTAAATGATTTGACCAATGAGCGGTTTTCTTCCTCAACCTCCATTGCATGGCAGAGGACAGATGTTTTATATCAAAAAGTATCTTGGGCATTCAGTGCTTTATGGTGAATGTGATAAGGCTTTGATTACAGTAGGTATACAATTTATCTAAAAATTTACGAGTACAGCTGCATCAATTATATGTAAAGAGATAACGTATGCTTTTATAATATAAATGCGAATGTATGTTACACTTTTGCTTTTTAATTACCCTCAAACTTTGATCATCAAAAATTTTTGCAAATACGTTACATTCAGGAACGAAGCCCTATTACTAAGCGTTACTAAAACACTTACATGAAAGAAGCAACAGTCTAAAAACTCTCACAAACGAATACAATGAAATGCATGCCTTTTAATCCTTTTATGAAGTAGCGCATAGTAAACTAGAAAGTGCTGCGTCAGTAGGATTGTATGTTTTGTTGTATATTCAACAAATTAAAAAGACAATAGGATAACATTAACGGAAAATTAACTCGATGATTGTGATATTTTTACCCGACGCGACGTTCAGTTTTACATTGACACTGTTATTATGACCTCTTTGGCAGGCCCGCCGGGTACGAGCGTGCATGGCGCACAGGGCGACATTTTGAAGGGGCCGACAAAATCTCTCGAAACAAAACGACAACGAAACATTTTCATAATTTACATGCCTAATTTATTTTTAATGTCATAATAATATCACCTATTGATGAGTGTACGAAAATAAATGCATACGTTTATAAGCATCGCATTACTTTATAAAAGGTACCTAAGTATGCATATACTCGTATGTATAATTTGAATCACTCGAGACGCAGCCTTAATCGGGGCACGTCATTATTGCGGCGGTAAGAATGGAAAAACGGTACCCTCTCATACCGGCTGACCCAGGTGATCACCGAAAAAGGATGCTTTGGAGATCACCTGTGTCTGATCCGCAAGGAGCCAACGCCTGGTTGCCACCAGTACGATGGCCAGAGCGTCTCGGGATCCGTCGGGATTTCCTTTCATATTACACCTAGTACTTTGGCTACGGTGTAGCAGAGGATGCGTGGAGAGACTCTACCACCTGAACAGCTACAACGTAAATAGTTAAGTGGTGTTGTCTTAAAGGACGTTATGCATATATACCTATTCTATAAATATTAAGAAATTATAGTTGAGATTTCTTTTATTTCATTTTCATTTATTATTACGTACACAATATTGTTGCGCCATAGGATTAAATGGTTCGATTGTATGAAATGTGGAGGACAGCGCCATCTAGTATCGACTAAAGTACATCTTTTAAGATTGTGGTAAATACGAGTAGTTCTCATCGGAGTGAATTTCTAGTGCGACTAACGAGATTTATAGTGATTTCTAGTTTATTATAGTGAGTATTTGTAAATACAGTGCAATAAAGTAATTAACCGACAACTTTTATTTGTTTTATACCCCGCTCGTAACAATACAAACATTTACAAAAAAAATAATACATTAAGGAATAGTGGGCACAAAGGCAAGCTTAACCCATAATTGAGCTCCTTTAGAAAACCTAAGAGTGAAGAGAGGATAGCCCAACAACAGAGAGTCGTGTGTGCAGAGAAATTTATATAGTTGTATATTTCTATTATTATATTGATATATTATATTGCTCATTCTTACATTTTCAATATTTTATTCAAATCTTTCTTTGATTTCCGCGGGCAATTTTTTTATTGCGGAAGGGGACAAACTAGCAGACGGATCACCTGATGGTAAGTAGCTACCGCCTCCCACGGACACCTGCAAGAGTCACAAGTGCGTGCGTACCCCTATAATCAGGGGCAGGTGGGGTTTGGGCCTTGTAACCTACCTCGCTCTGTGAAAAGCATCAAAAGCTTAAAACCAGTTTTGAGTGATGCCGTGGTATCACTTCGGTCGAGCGGCCCATCTTTGCCGAAGCATGGCTCTCGAAAAAAAAGTTGTAAATAATGTAATCAAGAAGTGTGTAAAAAAAGGATGGCCCGTTAATCTTAGGCGCTTAACTTTATTGTACCGCACTAAAGTATTATAGAACAATATGTGATAATACCTATTACTTTTGACGAAATTATGTTTGAGCAATGACTTCACAGGATTTATATACCTACCTAACTCAAAACATTCTTGTTAGAATATAGATACGAATTTGGTCGTAGATACTGATCGAATTTGGCAGATAGGGTAGCCCGAGGCGAAACGTATCTATGGATGAATCGGATCAAAATAAGAAATCCTTTAGTATGTAGAATAACGCATTGAAACAGAACAGTCTTTCGACCCTCTCCCGGCATCGGTAGTGTTTTGATTTAATTAGGACATGAGTGTGTCAGCGCTGCTCACTCGAGTCGGGTATTTGTGTGCGTTACATTTTTTGCGCTCATCTAAGTACGTACTTTTACGATTTGTATTCAATCTGATCAACAGCCTATACTAGTCCACTGCTGGACATAGGCCTCTCCTTAGAAAGGAGGTTTTGGCCTACTATACCACGCTGGCCAGACGGGTTGGTATAGGGTTTGTTTCAAGTTTTCCTTCTCTTTGCAGTACTGTTGTCCTGCTTAGTTTGCTCCCTTATTCGGCTCTTACGACACCCACGGGATGAATTGGGGTAGTGACAATTTGTATTCTTAATCCGTCACCACACGGACTCGATTATACGATTTGTATTAAAACTTTGAATTTTATGGCTTATTATTGGGATATATATTTGATTGGGAAGGGGCCTATTTTAGAAAAAAATATATTTTCTAAGCACAATGTCATAGGTAAATATGTAAAATATAAATTTAAAAAGTCTTTAATGTGGGGTTATTCGGATCACGTCTTCGGAGGCGAAATGTATCACTTTTTAAAATAATTTATTTTTTAAATGAGGTTAAAACTGCATTTTTATTTCATTGTAGATAGTTTGCACATATAAAAGAAAGACAAATGCGTGAGAATGGGCCCAAGAAAAAAAACCGGTCAGGTACGAGTTGAACTCAGGTAGCAGGCAGGGTAAGGTTACGGAACCTTACGGAACTTACATAGATTTTGCGAAAATTTGTAAGTACGAAAATTTATCTTAATTTTCACCTTTTTTTATTTTTACGAATTATTCCTTAATTTGTGCTGTAAGACGTCTCTTTTTGCCAGATTTCGTGATTCTAGGACAACAGGAACTACCATATAGGTTTTCGACCCAAAACTTATAGGGTACTTCCGGTTGACCTAGAATTGACAATTTTGGTTAAAAGCAAAGTCTTACAGCACAAGTAAAGAGAAAATTCTTAAAATAAAAAAAAGTTGAATAATTTTCAACTTTTTTTTATTTTATAAATTTTGGTACTTACAAGTTTTCGCGAAAATCGAAATTTGGCCATATCTTTTTATCGTGTTGACTCAGGACCTTGATTTTTATACACCTAATAGGGACCATAGACCTCAGTTCCTGAGAAAATCGATGGTGACACACGGACAGACAGACAAGAAAGTGATCTTATAAGGGTTCTTTTATTACCTTTTTAAAGTACGGAACCCTAAAAATAGGAGTAATTGCAAATAAAGTCCTGGCCAAAGAGTTAACGTTACGTCGGGCGGCTGAGATTTACGAATTACAGTACACAAGTTTATAAAGAAGAGTTTCTTTCTCGTGGGGTGCGACTAAACATGTGGTGGATAAGCTTAAGCCAAGCCAGTCTTAGATGAGAATGCTGAAAATATTTTAGCAGACCGTTTACTGCACTTAGCGAGTCGTGGCTTGGGAATTACAACCAAGTTGTGGATAAACTGTGGAACTGTGGAAAAAGACTGATGGCAAAGACAATGTGAAGAAGAAGAATAAAAGGACGCTTGGAATAAAAATGCAAAACAGAGAGATTGACATTGTATTTACTGTTCTGAAAAATTCATTCATCCACCATCAGAGGATTGGATTTAGTGGCATGCATGCGAAGAATG